TGAAATAATAAATTAGTCCAGACCTATTCTTTCTTGTTTTGTGAAAGAGCCGGAACATAAATTGAATAATGAAAATAGATGGAATAATATAGAAAATATGATTTTTAAACACCTTTTTGTTTGCATTTTGCAAAACAATGTGTCAAGGATCTATTTTTATTTCAAGTTATTTTGTTATTGGGGAAAGTAACCTCAAATAAACTATGACTCCATCGTTTAATTTTGTTCCCCCCTCCTCCTGCTTCTTGAGATATTAACCTAAAAACTACAGAAAAACAATAAACAATATTGGTGTGGTCTTGTTACAGAAGAGGAGAAAAGGCTTCCTGGAATACAATACTGAAAATATAATTAATATTATCAATTCTAAATGCCAAACAATGACAGTCAGCATTATCAATCAAAAAGAGGTTGTACATTGTTTTGGATGTATTCATTTTAATGTTATCAATTGTAAATGCCAAACAATTTCAGGGATATCAATCAAGGCTGTACATTTTTTTAAATACACTGGTACTGCATTGTTTCTGTCTCAGTCCGAGTGATCCCCCAAAATGCCATCATTCAGCTCACAATGACAACATACATCAGCTTTGATCAACACAAAGCACCTTATATAAACATTGAGAAGACATAGGAGTAGTGGTAAGACATCAGCCCTGATAGACATGAGGAGATATTTGTTTTAACCAGACTGTGAAATTCCCAAACATGATTTAATATTGTCGTGGGTCACATTTTTGACCCTGCAAAGAAAACATGCCTATGTTTATTCAAATGACAAAAATTCCATTGATTGTTTTCAAGTTTAGATTTGTAACTTTTTTCAAATCATTTTAAATTCCTGTGAGCAAAAATGATTTTTAGAAGAGTGAGTATGGCTTTATGCCATTAGTAGCAATAATCTCTACTGAACACAGCATCAAACCCCCAAGACTAACATCTTAGATTTATCCTAGCAAGGACTCAGCTCTACTGAACACAGCATCAAGCCCCCAAGACTAACATCTTAGATTTATCCCAGAAACAAACCTTCCAGACAAGCATCTTAGATTTATCCTAGCAAGGACTCAGCTCTACTGAACACAGCATCAAGCCCCCAAGACTAACATCTTAGATTTATCCCAGAAACAAACCTTCCAGACAAGCATCTTAGATTTATCCTAGCAAGGACTCAGCTCTACTGAACACAGCATCAAGCCCCCAAGACTAACATCTTAGATTTATCCCAGAAACAAACCTTCCAGACAAGCATCTTAGATTTATCCTGGCGAGGGCTCAGCTCTACTGAACACAGCATTAAACCTCCCTGACTATGATCTCAAATTTATCTTGGCAAGAAATCAAGCTTTACTGACGCAGCACCAAAAGCCGGCAAGACTACATGAGCAGGATGTCCGAGTTCATTCCAATCCCATCTCCGGATGTCGTGGCCCTATCAGATAGCCGAGTGGTCAAGGCTGGGGATACCTGGCGAGCCTCTCACTGTCCAAAGTTTCCATGTAGATGATATTTGTCCCAGTAAACTTGTAGCTTAAGCAAGTGCGATGTTTACCCCAGAATGTGTAAACACGGATCACCAAAGTACACAGTGATTAGATATCATTTGTAGCAGCCTTAGCATTTCACTTCATACACAGCCCGGGCTCTGGTGTGTTAGCCCCTATCAGAGATCAACTCTTTCAACCTTCAGTGTACACGTTTAGAACAGAGCTTCTCAAGACTTAACGATTTTGTAACTTTGTAGCCATGAAGAACTACCGATTACATAGACTCTTAAAGTCTTTGATGCGCGTTACATTTTTAACCCTGTTACTTACATAGGATTAAAAAAACTAGTTTTAAAACAATTTCTCTTTATGCAAGCAACAAAACAGATTAAAGTATATACAATCTGATGTATTTTTTACAGGGCTAAACAATTTGCTTATGTCATTTTCAATCAAATAACACATACATTGACACTCCAAAAGGAGTGTGTTAGTGATCTGGTCCGCTTTAAACAGTATTCCAGCTATAGCAACTCATGCCAGCTTGATGTGGGAGGATACCCCAAAGTGATGCAGGTGCCTCAGTAAAGCTTTCAAAACATTTCATGGTAGACATGTGCAGGACATTTCCTAATTTGACGCAACAGTGACAAAAATGATGTCTGATGCAATTTCCCATTTTGACTTGTACCATATGTTCCTGTTTTTTTTCAGGTGAACAATTGACATGCCTTTGCATGTGTGTGTGATGGGTGCCACCAATGGGACAGGACACGCTCACCTTTTCATGAACACCTGATATTTCTAAAAGTCTGATATCGAAAATCAGTTTGTCTCAAACCTTGAACTTCATATAATATTAATCAGGTGAGAAGTAGGACCATCGATTTTCCACAGGTCTAAGTTATCACAACAAGCTGAGTTGTGTCCCTTAGCTGGGTCAGGATCTGCTCATCAAGGGTTCAAATCTTTAGTTATGATCTTTTGCCTTTCAGCACCTAACCGATGCTTGTCATCATCAGCAAAGAGATGATATCTAACACGTATCATAACTTTGTATTTCCTTCAACATTAAGCTGTCATGCCATATCATAAAATATTGTTCAAAGCGGCCATAATCCCAACTCACTAACTCAGGTGACAGCTTAATATGGTGATGATATGAAGCATGTATGACTCAGAATACAGCCCATGATTACACAGGACCTGCCATGGTGAACACGACGTCCCTAAAACATGGGAGGAGATTTTCAGATAACTCTGTGTACAATATTACTCATTCTTTACTCATTGAAAAAACAAAGGTCTCAGATAAATCAAATCAACATTTTTAATATTAAGACAGAAGTATTTCTCAGGCTATTCACTGACTAGTCATGTCAATAGAGACAAAGGTGTACATGAAAATACTACATAGCCTGTCAAGCTTGGAATGAAGTTTAAATACTGTATCCATGAACGTTGCTTAGATCATACAGAGCTCTTTGACTTTTAACTCACTGTGCAGTTATTGATTTTTTCAATGTTTTTTTTCATAAATAGCTTTTTCTGTCCAGTAGGTACACTGTTACACATGAATAAATTGAAGTATTTAGGCCAATGAAGAGCAGGTACTGTGGTTTTATACATGTACTTCTGTTAGTTTGTAGCCTTGAGATATACTGTATTCAACATAATAATCGCCCAGGGCGCTCTCTAAAGTAGAAATAGGGGACTCTTATTAGAATATTATTTTGGTGAAAAACAACAGAGTTGAAAGATCGTAAATTTCGTGGTTTATGCTGACAGCCTGAAATGTTCAATACGACAGATTTATTTTTCCAGAATTTAATTTCCCATAATTAAGGATGCATATAACACAATTATATACAGGAATAAAAAAGTCTTGTGTACATTGAACAATCGGAAGGGGCGCTAATTGGGATTGTTCACTAGCCAATATATTAGCAAATATCGCTGTGGGCGCTTATTAGAGAGGGGCACTTATTAAGTCGAATACGGAAAGTGATATTACTGGCACTTCACATAATATTGCACAAGAATTTAACTCACTTATGAAAATGGAAAATGAGTACCATGGAATTGGTAACAATATTTGTTTGACGACAGTCTGAAATTCCAGCGTTGTGACGACATCCTGTACATAATGGAGTCGGAGCCAGATAAACCAGTGATTGATATCCTGAGCAACATTTCACAGCATTGGGGTATGGTGACTCACAATCAACCATGTCAACCAGACCATTAGATATTTGTAGTCGCGTCTTACAAGTAAAGGTTGCTGGGATAAAATTCTTACCCAGAACCCCCATGGTGGTAAACCTATACCAGGTACATACATGGGTGGGTGGGTGAGTGAGTGAGTGGGTGGGTGGGCTGGTGGGTGTTTGGGTGAGTGAGTGAGTGAGTGAGTGAGTGAGAGAGAGGCTTATGGCCTCAACTAACTGTGGGAGGAAATCCTGAAGTGCTGCATGTTGTAGACACAGTGAGTGAGTGAGTGAGAGGGGGTTAAACCCTGCTTCAACAGTGAGGAGTGGGGTTTAACCCTGCTTCAACAGTGAGTGGGGTTTAATCCTGCTTCAACAGTGAGTGAGTGGGCTTTAACCCTGCTTCAACAGTGAGTGAGTGGGGTTTAATCCTGCTTCAACAGTGAGTGAGTGGGGTTTAACCCTGCTTCAACAGTGAGTGAGTGGGGTTTAACCCTGCTTCAACAGTGAGTGAGTGGAGTTTAACCCTGCTTCAACAGTGACTGAGTGGGTGGGGTTTAATACTGCTTCAACAGTAGCGAGCGAGGGAGCGAGTGAGAGAGAGGTTTATGGCCTCACCTAAGTGTGGGAGGAAATCCTGAAAGCTTCATGTTGTAGACATTTCTCATTTTGGTGGGAATGAGCATGGGTATGGTGCAAACAAAACAAGAGACATAATCTAGGTTAAGCTAGGACTTGAACCACTACAGTGGATCCTGTATAAGCTGTGAGGCCTTAGGCCATTGGGCCACCATTGCCCCTTGCACAAGTAAACATCAACTTCATAGGTAATGCATTTGTGAGGTAAGTCTCAACTGGGTCTCATGTCGCTGTGTTTAAGATTATTGCACATATATAGTGATGCACCTGTGTGTGTGTGTGTGTGTGCATGTATGTGGAAGGGGGGTTTACTTGTACTAGTCCGGACGAATGCCAGTTTTATAGTGCTAGCCCACTGATATACCATGCCACATCTTAACATGAATACCCAACTCAGACACATTAAACCAACTCCGAGCTGACCAGTCTTTGTTCAAAACCAGTGTATTAGTAAGCTCTTCCATTATGATAAACACCCTGGACCAACAATAACGAATCTTTGAAATAATTTTCTTCTCAAATATTTTTTTTCATTACTGAAATTTGTTAACAGATTCTGTGGCAAGGATGTTCACATTTTACTTCACTCTGGAGAATTATGGGGTTGGCAGATGGGTATACAAAGTAATAAAACAATGAATGCCTGATGGAGGTCAAGTCTTACCTTAAGGATCTTGTCATAGAAACTGCAGAGGAAGCCGAAGAAGATGAGGACATTCTTATACACCGAGTATTCCTTGGGAGTCTTGTCATTGACTGGCACACTGGAACATTGAACACAGGGTTACCCCAGTTCCGGAAATCAAAACACGAATGATGAATGTGGTTTTAAACCAAGGTCAGCAGTATTTCAGCAATATCACAACAGGAGACACTTTAGTGAGTGATATTATGAGCAATGTTCCATCCATTTGGAATATGACCCTGAAATCAGTTTGTTTAACCACCAGATCCATTTTGTGACATTGCAATGATAGACATAGGTTACTGGGGTCCTATTCTAACCCAGAATACTTGATATGAGTAAGTTCTTAATTCAATCACTCTGAAGATGAGGTTTCCAGACTAAGAAGCTCCTAATCCTGTCGAAGATGAAATTTCCAGAGAAAGAGAATCCAGTCTAAGAAATTCTTAATCTAATCACACCAAAGATTGAATTTCCAGACAAACAGAATCTAGACTAAGGAAGTCTTAATCTAATCACACCGAAGATGGAATATCCATACAAACAGAATCCAGACTAAGTTCTTCATCTAATCACACCGAAGATGGAATTTCCAGACAAACAGAATCCAGACTAAGTTCTTCATCTAATCACACCGAAGATGAATTTCCAGACAAACAGAATCCAGACTAAGTTCTTCATCTAATCACACCGAAGACGAATTTCCAGACAAACAGAATCCAGACTACAAAGTTCTTCATCTAATCACACCGAAGACAAATTTCCAGACAAACAGAATCCAGACTACAAAGTTCTTAACCTAATCACACCAAAGATGGGATTTCCCGACAGAAAAGAGACTATCTGATCTGTATCTAATCAAATCAACTGTTTTAGTATCTGAGCTGACAGATGTTGGTACTTACGTCTTGGCGCCGACCTGACAGACACTCCTGACATGGGCTAGCACCAGCAGCCTCTTGAGGTACTTGACACGGTGCTGCTGCCACTTCTCCGGGGAGTGCACCAGGATGGACAGGACAGGGTAGTACAGTGGACCCTCGGCCTGCACACAGTAGATGCCAGTCAGTCAAGGAGTCAGTGAGTGGGTGGGGTTTAACACTGCTTCAACAGTAAGTGAGTGGGTGGGGTTTAATCCTGCTTCAACAGTGAGTGGGTGGGGTTTAACACTGCTTCAACAGTGAGTGAGTGGGTGGGGTTTAACACTGCTTCAACAGTGAGTGAGTGGGTGGGGTTTAACACTGCGACAACAGTGAGTGGGTGGGGTTTAACACTGCTTCAACAGTGAGTGAGTGGGTGGGCTTTAACACTGCTTCAACAGTAAGTGAGTGGGTGGGGTTTAACACTGCTTCAACAGTGAGTGAGTGGGTGGGGTTTAACACTGCTTCAACAGTAAGTGAGTGGGTGGGGTTTAACACTGCTTCAACAGTGAGTGAGTGGGTGGGGTTTAATCATGCTTCAACAGTGAGTGGGTGGGGTTTAACACTGCTTCAACAGTGAGTGAGTGGGTGGGGTTTAATCATGCTTCAACAGTGAGTGGGTGGGGTTTAATCCTGCTTCAACAGTAAGTGAGTGGGTGGGGTTTAACACTGCTTCAACAGTGAGTGAGTGGGTGGGGTTTAACACTGCTTTAACAGTAAGTGAGTGGGTGGGGTTAACACTGCTTCAACAGTCAGTGAGTGGGTGGGGTTTAACACTGCTTTAACAGTAAGTGAGTGGGTGGGGTTTAACACTGCTTCAACAGTGAGTGGATGGGGTTTAATCATGCTTCAACAGTGAGTGGGTGGGGTTTAACACTGCTTCAACAGTGAGTGAGTGGGTGGGGTTTAACTCTGCTTCAACAGTGAGTGAGTGGGTGGGGTTTAACACTGCTTCAACAGTAAGTGAGTGGGTGGGGTTTAACACTGCTTCAACAGTGAGTGAGTGGGTGGGGTTTAACACTGCTTCAACAGTGAGTGAGTGGGTGGGGTTTAACACTGCTTCAACAGTGAGTGAGTGGGTGGGGTTTAACTCTGCTTCAACAATGAGTGAGTGGGTGGGGTTTAACACTGCTTCAACAGTGAGTGAATGGGGTTTAATCCTGCTTCAACAGTGAGTGGGTGGGGTTTAACACTGCTTCAACAGTGAGTGAGTGGGTGGGGTTTAACACTGCTTCAACAGTGAGTGAGTGGGTGGGGTTTAACACTGCTTCAACAGTGAGTGAATGGGGTTTAATCCTGCTTCAACAGTAAGTGAGTGGGTGGGGGTTTAAAACTGCTTCAACAATGAGTGAGTGGGTGGGGTTTAACACTGCGACAACAGCGAGTGAGATGGGTTTCAACAGTGAGAGAGTAATACTTCAAAGTGATGTAGGTAATAGGAATCAGGCAACAGACATCCATGTAATGAACACAAACACACAGTTTCAGCAGCAAGAGAAGAATCCTTCAGTGGCACACCCTTACCTCAAAACAGTTTTCTATCCATTTTTCTTTCGGCATGTCAAGGAAGGTTTGCACATTCTTCTCATCCCTTGTCATAGAGCGTGTTCTGGAAGAGAGAGACACTCATTCATAACAGGTGAGGTGAGGTGAAATCGGGTTTAATGTCGCATCCAAGATTATAGCACTTATATAGCCATGTGCATGCACGTGTATGTGTGTATGTGTGGCTGCTTGTACTAGTCCGGACTGATGCCGATTTATAGTGCTAGCACACTGAGATACCATGCTGCAGTTTAACATGAATACCCTACTCAGACACAGTATACTGACTCCGAGCGGACCAGTCCTTGTTTCAGCCCCTTAATGCCGAGCGCCAGACAGGGTAACAAGTACCATCTTTTAACGTCTTTTGGTATGACGTTGCTGGAGATTGAACCCCGGACCTTCCGCTCTCCAGGCGGATGCTCTACCACTAGACCACGGAGGCTGTCCATTCATAACAGAGATGATCTTCCTTCTTAACGAATACAGAGACCTGATGGGCCAGACCCTGTCTTGTAAACACTCAAGGCAGCATGCAGTCTTGTACGGATATCATGTCATAATGTTGGGTGTTACATGCTTTTGGACAAATATATCAACACATTGACAGCAGCGTAACATCATGTAGAAATAAACTTACATGTTGACAATGTAGAGAGACCAATATCCACACGTTAACAGCAGCATAGCATCGAGTATAAGTAGACTTACGTGTTGACAACGTAGAGAGCCATATATCAACACGTTGACAGCAGCCTAACATCGAGTATAAGTAACTTACGTGTTGACAACGTAGAGAGACCAATATCAACATGTTAACAGCAGCATAACATCGAGTATAAGTAGACTTACGTGTTGACAACGTAGAGAGCCATATATCAACACGTTGACAGCATCATAACATCGAGTATAAGTAGACGTACATGTTGACAACGTAGAGAGCCATATATCAACACGTTAAAAGCAGTATAACATCGAGTATAAGTAACTTACGTATTGACAACGTAGAGAGCCATGTGAACCATGTAGGGTACGAGATGCATGTTGCTCTGTCGGCCGCCGCCACCACTCTCGTCGCTGAAGGACTTCTCCTGGGCGAACCTCATGAGCAGCAGCTTGATATCATGCACAGTGTAGAGATGGCTGGGGTCCCGCACCCCCGTACACTCCTGTAGATAGTTGTTGTGTCTGCAAACACAGAGCAGCTTGGGTTAACACTGCTTTGACCACACCTCAACACGGAATGGTAATGCTTAACGGGCAGATTTTACAACTAATTTGTATGTAGCCAACAGGGCTTGCTCCTAAAAGATACTGGCCCTTCTCCAAACTGGCCTACAACTAAATGGCGGAGGCCGCGAAGAGTCTGTACCTGAGGTCACGTAGCCAGCTAGCAGGGTTCTAAAAACTTTAGAACTCACCCCTAAAACGATTTTTCCTAAACTCTTAAGATTAAATTTTGTCTTCCATTTGACACATTTCATTTCGATATTTGAGCAAATATAGAAGTTGTTGTACACAACATTACAAAATGGCGGCTAGTCATTCTACCGAGAAGATCCCCAAAAAACAATTCAACATACAAGAAGGGATGAAATTTTGACTAGCCAGATGGGCTATCTACTTTACGTTTTAGCAAGCCTTTTGAAATTTTAACTGCCCAGCAGTTAAATCGACCCCTGCTTAATGGTTAGTCCCGTGAAGATGCCGGGTTAGAATTGGTCCACAGCAACCCATGCTTGTCGTAAGAATTGTCTAGCAGGATGCGGTGGCCAGGCTCGTTGACTTGGTTGATGCATGTCATTGTATCCCATTTGCGTAGATCAATACTCTTGTCAATCACTAGATTGTCTGGTCCAGACTCAGTTACCTACGGACCGCCGTCATATAGCTACAGCTACGAGGCACCAACTCTTATGACAAGTACTGAGGGTCTACATCAACACAAAGTAAGCAACTAAGTTTCCATCCATAACGGATTTGAAAAGGACAAAATTGAACTCAACGTTGAGTGGAAGTTACAGGACTCAAGTTGACAAGATGGTCACGTTGAACCTACCTGGCGAGACAAGTGGCGAAGACAGACTCCTGGACCTGCGGACCCCACATAGGGAGGAGTCCGTTACACTTGGTGTTAGCATTCTGGAGTGCCGCACTCTCCCACTCCTCTCTACCCCGCGCATGTCTGAAACAGGACACTCATAGCTGACTTCTCAACATCACACATACCTCAAAATTTACTTTTTCACTAAAGCACATTTTAATCAAACTTGATCTGATGATAATTTTGCATCAGAACAATTGTATGCACCAATGACGTATCGGCTGCTGTTTGTAAACTTGACTTGTAATTTGACTATCCAATTGTAAACAGAAATAAATGTTCTCAAAGGTAAGACTTAATTTTAGTATTGTTATTTGACACGTAATGAGAAATACTTCTTTGGGACACAAAAACACAGTACGCAAGGATAGATAGATAGATAGATAGATAGATAGATAGATAGATAGATAGATAGATAGATAGATAGATAGATAGATACACTGCCCATGAGTGTTGAAAGATCAAGTGTATCAAGGACGATGTTTTAAATGAAAGACGATGCAACCATGACCTAATGTCAGTATTATTCACGGCTGAAACTTGACATCTCGAGTTACCAAGGTTACCGTACTCTTCACCCTCCTGTCACTTACCTTACAGCAGCAGCATGACACTCGACGTGTATGACGTTGAAGTGGGACACGGTGGTGTAACCCACGGACTTCCTGGTCTTGTTCTCAAACTCGTCCAGGTTTGTTCTCTTGGTGAAGGTGTAGATGGCAAGCACCTGCAGGTACAACACGCTCAATCTTCTTAATCATGTTTTATGACATATATGTGCATATACTTTATGAAAGAATTGCAGATGGCAGATAACACATAGCAATGGGTTTTTTTAGCACTGATTATATATGCTGAATTATAGGAATATAGGAATAGAGCTATCTCCCGAATCAGACCTTAACTTTTGTGAGTCCGATTGGCCTCGTTTTGAACAAGCGGACAGCATGTGCTGTGTAAAACGGTTTAAACTCCATGAAGTCAGTCACATTTAAGCTATCTGTTCATGCTTAACAAGCTTAACATGTCTTCAAACCAACTGCAATGGCATCTGCTTTTCAGCTTCTGGCCCTCGTGTAACAACTCCATAAGCTGAATGATACTCTGCTTCAGTTTTCCAACAGGTGAGGTGGGGTGAAACGTCGCGTCCAAGATTATTGCACTTATATAACGACGTGCATGTACGTGTGTGTGTGTGGTGTGGTTGCTTGTACTAGTCCGGACTGATGCCGATTTATAGTGCTAGCTCACTGAGATACCATGCCGCAGTTTAACATGAATACCCCACTCAGACACAGTATACTGACTCCGAGCCGACCAGCCCTTGTTTTGGCCCCTTAATGCCGAGTGCCAGACAGGGTAACAACAAGTACCATCTTTTAACGTGTTTTGGTATGACGCGGCCGGGGATCAAACCCCGGACCTTCCGTTCTCCAGGCAGACGCTCTACCACTAGACCACGAAGGCGGTCTTTTCCAACAGGAATCGTTATTCATGTATAACTTCCATCTCAGACTTTGAGACTTTGAACCTTGTATTCAAACCCTTATTTTGTTGAACTATTTATTTTTTAAGCCTTTTATGACTAAAATGGGCACTAAGGGCATCCTTAGTAACCACTTATTTACTGTTGCCAGCCTGCATATGTCATGTTCAGGTCAGCAGTCAACCCAGACTCCCATATTCCTGCATGGGACCTCCGTAAATTATTGATGGGAGTCACCTGGCCTACCTGAAGTCAGGTCAAGGTGTGTGAGTTTACCTTCTGAGGCTGGTACCTGTAGCCCTCTCTACAGATGCAGCAGGTGAGGCCCGTCTCCTCCTTCAAGTCCTCCATCTGCTTCAGCACCGTGCTCTTCACCGTCACCTGCCCCTTCTCGTTCGTCTACAACAGTCAGTGGTGGGAGTAACAACAGGGAACATACAGGAGTGTTTGGGTTTTTTGTTTGCTGTTTAACGCCCCACTCAGCAATATTCCAACTATATGAATGGTTGGTTGGTTTGGTGTTTAACGCCCCACTCAGCAATATTCAAACTATATGATTGGTTGGTTGGTTTGTTGTTTAACGCCCCACTCAGCAATATTCAAACTATATGATTGGTTGGTTGGTTTGTTGTTTAACACCGCACTCAGCAATATTCAAACTATATGATTGGTTGGTTGGTTTGTTGTTTAAGGCCCCACTCAGCAATATTCAAACTATATGATTGGTTGGTTGGTTTGTTGTTTAACGCCCCACTCAGCAATATTCCAACTATATGATTGGTTGGTTGGTTTGTTGTTTAACACCCCACTCAGCAATATTCCAACTATATGATTGGTTGGTTAGTTTGTTGTTTAAAGCGGCACTCAGCAATATTCCAACTATATGATTGGTTGGTTTGTTTGTTGTTTAACGCCCCACTCAGCAATATTCCAACTATATGATTGGTTGGTTGGTTTGTTGTTTAACGCCCCACTCAGCAATATTCCAACTATATGATTGGTTGGTTGGTTTGTTGTCTAACGCCTCACTCAGCAATATTCCAACTATATGATTGGTTGGTTGGTTGGTTTGTTGTTTAATGCCGCACTCAGCAATATTCCAGCTATATGACGGTGGTCTGTAAATAATTGAGTCTGGACCAGACAATCCAGTGTTTAATATCATGAGCATGCATTGATCCATGCAATTGGGATCGATGACATGCATCAACCAAGTCAGCGAGCATGGGTTGCTGAAGACCTATTCTACCCCGGATCTTCACGGGTCTCCAGCTATATGACGTCAGCCTGGACATTGATAGTGGGCAACAATCCATGCAGTTGGGTACAAGGACACGATATCAACCATGCCACCAAGCCTGATCATGTGATCCATTTGGTCCCCTCTTACGACAAGCACAGGTTGCTGGGACCAGTTCTAACTGGATTCCCCACAGATTGATAAAGGAGTGACTGTGTTGGTTTATGATACTTTGAACAGTGATACAGTTACACAGTGTTCAAAATTAAGCATGAAAGTCATGGGGTCCTTGTCATAAACCCCAATGTTAAAGTATAGAGTTGAAATGGTCCCCAAACTAAAATACTACAGGAGGACCCCACGATCCCCCTTCCTTGGAGCACAGTCATAGGGGTTTAACGTCACATCCAAGATTATTGCACTGATATAGCGACATGCATGCATGTTTGTGTGTGGCTGCTTGTACTAGTCTGGAGTAATGCCGATTTTATAGTGCTAATCCACTGAGATACCATGCCACAGTTTAACATGAATACCCCACTCAGACACAGTATACAGACTCCGAGCCGACCAGTCCTTGATTTAGCCACTTAATACGGAGTGCCACACAGGGTAACAAGTACCATCTTTTAACATCTTTTGGTATGGCATGGCTGGGGATTGAACCCCGGACCTTCTGCTCTCCAGGCGTACGCTCTACCACCAGACCACAGAGGCGGTCTTGATGTGGGAGGAAAGCCTAGGAAAGTGGTGCAGGTCTTCCCACTTTGGTGAAACCAAAGTACATGTCATGTCAAACCAAGAAGCATAATCAGGCAAATATATAATCATAGGTTCCTTGCACGCCTAAGGGATGTAACTCAGCACAGACAACTGCTTCGCCTTAGAGGACTGGGGCATTCATGCCCCTGAATGATCAAAGAGGATAGGATACATCAGAACCATTGTGTACAGTCTCAGCCAAGTATTCCATAAAGTGATCATTGCACTAAGATGATTGTAACACGACTAATGACAGTGATACTGTGAAGACCAGTATGTGAATGAAGCTCACATCTCACTTCCCAACGTGATCTTAGTATTAAAACAATTGTAAGTCTAAGTTATAGTATGTGAGTCATGACTGCCTTAGTGCTAAGACCACTCAGTGAACGAAGCCCACATCTCGCTCCCTAACGTGATCTTAGTACTGAAACAATTGTAAGTCTAAGTTAAAGTATGTGAGTCATGACCGCCTTAGTGCTAAGACCACTTAGTGAACGAAGCTCACATCTCACTCCCCAAAGTGATCTTAGTATTAAAACAATTGTAAGTCTAAGTTAAAGTATGTGAGTCATGACTGCCTTAGTGCTAAGACCACTTAGTGAACAAAGCCCACATCTCACTCCCCAACGTGATCTTAGTACTGAAACAATTGTAAGTCTAAGTTAAAGTATGTGAATCATGACTGCCTTAGTGCTAAGACCACTTAGTGAACAAAGCCCACATCCCACTCCCCAACGTGATCTTAGTACTGAAACAATTGTAAGTCTAAGTTAAAGTATGTGAATCATGACTGCCTTAGAGCTAAGACCACTTCGTTGGCTCAGGACAGTAACATTGAAGGCCTTCAGCTCACCGTCATCCCCAGAGCTCCGAGGTGCTTCTTCCTGACGGCCATGGCTAACCTCTTCTTCTCCGCCTTAGTTTGTTGCCGAATCTCCTCAATCTAAACATCATCAATAGTCATGATCAGTTCAGCTTGATAACAGTGTAGGAATCTACAGGGAAACATTGTCCAATGCATGAACCAGAAGCTGCTATGCATAAAGTTGCATGTTTTCTTATTTAGGTCTAGAATGCCAATTAAACAGCTAGCAGACTGGCAGTCACATCTAACCCTGCTTTGTGACTCAGTGATTTACTTTCCCACTTTGCTAGCTCACTGAGATACCATGCCGAAGTTTAACATGAATTCCCTACTCAGACACAGTATACTGACTCCGAGCCGACCAGTCCTTGTTTTAGCCCCTTAATTCCAAGGGCCAGACAGGGTAACAAGTACCATCTTTTAACGTCTTTTGGTATGGCATGGCTGGGGATCGAACCCCCTGAACGTTCCGCTCTCTGGGCGTACGCTCTACCACCAGACCACAGAAGCGGTCTTGGTGTGGGAGGAAAACCCAGGAAAGTGGTGCAGGTCTTCCCACTTCGGTGAAACCAAAGTACATGTCATGTCAAAACAAGAAGCATAATCAGGCAAATATATAATCATAGGGCTGCTTTGTGACTTAGTGATTTACTTTCCATGACAAAATGACCCGTATGAACCCTGTTGTATTGTGTTTCTGCAGCAATGTTTCACCTTTCTGGCAGCAGACTCGTTGCTCTTGAGGGCATCCAGGAGATTCTCGGCCAGCGTCCCGATGTGCTTGTCAGATGAGACTTGCTCCAGCTTGTGGAGGATGGGTATACAACTCTCTGCTATCAGGTCCTGGAAACAGAGGAAAGCTCCGGTAATACACAGCACATATTCAAATTCATCAGTACCGTATTCACCACGTTAAGCAACCTGCTACAATAAGCATCCCTGAAGCAAATTCAAGACCAATTGGTAAGCAATCTTTATAAGCACACCCTACTAAGAACGAAACCATTCCTGTCAGTATGAATTTTCTTGGGTTTGTTACACATATAGAAGCAGTGTAGAAGGAGAACATAATTTTATGAAGCATCCAAGGCGCTTATTAGGGGAAATACAGTATGTTGAACACACAATCTGGTTTAGCTTAGCTGTAGTGATATTCTAGCCAATAGGTGAGGTGAGGTGAAATTGGGTTTAACGTCGCGTCCAAGATTATTGCACTTATATAGCGACATGCATGCTCGTGTGTGTGTGGCTGCTTGTACTAGTCCAGACTGATGCCGATTAATAGTGCTAGCCCACTGAGATACCATGCCGCAGTTTAACATGAATACCTCACTCAGACACAGTATACTGACTCCGAGCCGACCAGTCCTTGTTTTAGCCCCTTAATGCCGAGCGCCAGACAGGGTAAGAACAAGTACCATCTTTTAACGTCTTTTGGTATGACGCGGTCGGGGATCAACATGACAAACAAAAGATTCTTCAAATGCTGATGAAATACTGATCAACTAAAAGAAAGAAGTCTAAAGAAAAAAGTCTGAAAATGACAAGTGATCAAAGGTTGACTTGTTTCTTGGTCCCACTACGTTTTGACTCTGCATTGTTTGTTTGTTTGTTTGTTGCTGAACACTGCATAAAATGAAGCAACTAGGAACATACTGGATAATTTTGGGACTAAATGAGGAATTAAAACACAAGGTTATCAATCACCATAAGCTTGATTGACTGTATAATTTTGATCTTTCTATTTCATTTTATCACCCACAAATTTGTAACCTTCCGACACACAATAAAACAAGTTAACAATTGATTGCATATGTGAAGGTGAGCTAACTACTCACCTGGGTCAGTTTGTGCTTGGTACAGAGCCCGGTGAGAAGACGGAGAGCGTATCCAAGGGACTGCTTGCTGATGAACTCTTTCCACACCTCCGAGTCAGTCCTGCAACAAAATGTGGTCCTTGATTAAAATAAAATAATTAGACATTTTGTTGAAATTTTGTTGAAATTTTGTAGAATTTTCCTATTCGGAATATTCTATAAGTAATACGTTACCACTGTTATACCGAGGCTGTTGTCTCCCACAACTGCTGCTATAGCGAAATCTACCACAGAGATCTCAATTACCTCATGCAGCACGTGCGTAGCCACCTAGCTGCCATGTGACACCCTTCACTCTTGTCTCCTGCGAGAGCAAGTGCTCGGGGGACGGACGGGCGGGCAGCAGCCCAGTGGTAACGTATTACTTATAGAATATTCCGAATAGGAAAATTCTACAAATTACATTAAGTAATACGTTACCACTGTTATACCGAGGCTGACTACCACAGTAGACGGTGGGGAGCACCTACAACCCGAATCCTGACTGCTAGCGTTCCTTCCGACCAGCGGAAGTAAACACCAAGGCGGAAGCATTCGATGCGCATGCACCTAGCTAGGCGTTACCCTATAGGAATACCAAAGCACTGTCAAGCGCATACCGTAAGGCTCAATCGTCATTGCCAAAACGATTGGTGACTCCAAACGGCCCCACTGGATAGGTATTTCATCGCCGCAGCGGATGAGAACACTGTATCCGCGTGAGCTTAATCTTAGATCAGGTTAAACAGTCGAAAAGAGGGAAATTAATTTCATTCAGACCGTATATCCCAGAGCAAGCCTACTTAAAGTATGCATTAGGCGCGTGACCTAATTCCAGTATTTGTAAGCATGCATCACAAGGTTGGGATACACGACAGACAATTAAAGACATAATTGTCAAAATACAAATAAGGACAAAGCACACAAAAAGCCGCCCTCACCTGTGGTGTGAGTGCGCTGGTTTGCGGGACCCCAACTCCTGTACCCACGGCAGTGGGAACATTGGAGTAGACCCAGATTGACCACCGTGCAAGGTCAGACGCCTGAGGAGTTCGGAATTGCGCTGGGCACACCCCTTAGGTGCCCGCTTGCGCCGCGATCCGCGGGCCAAGACGGTGCACACTCTCCACGACGGCATCAGCGACCTGTTTGAGGTAATGATTGGCAAAAACCGAGTCAGAACGCCAGTAACAACCTCGTAATATTCTGCGAACAGAGATATTCGAGTGTAGGGCAAATGTTGCCGCTAGCGCCCTGATCTCGTGCGGGTTTGACCCCGCTACCGGTAACCCCCGAGACCGGTACGCCAGATTGATGACAGAACGAAGCCACAACGCAATCGAGTTGCGAGGTATGTCAACCGTGCGATTAGGGTTACACGATTACATGTCGGCATACGAACCCCTCCAATGAGAGTCACCTGGAGGGGCCCTTGCCGTCCGTCGACGACTTGGGCTTCCCCCAGTTCCCCGTCTTCCCGCGAAAGGGCAGCTGATTGCCCATACCGGAGCCCTCAGGGCGGGGCTACTTCCCAGAGGAAGAAGAACCCGACCCCTTAGACCTACCGGCCGCAGCAGCCTGGGGCGCGCTCCGGTTAGGAGCGGCACCCAGGCGCCTATGCAGGGACCCAACAAGAGCAAGTGTGTGCCGAGAGTCCTCGGCAACGTACTCCAGGGAAGCATTTAAACTGAGCAGGCAGTTGTAAATGCGCTGGTCACGGTCCGTGGGAGAACCTTCGACCAGACGGGCCGCTGCAGCCAAGTAAGTGTCTCCGTGAGACATGGAGTGCCGAGCGAGGGCGTCCAGCTGGTGCAAGGTAGCTTGCGTTATCGTAGCAGCCGGTGGGGCACGGACACCCAACCGCTCAACATGGGCCTCCGCGGTAGGACCAGCCTCGGGAAAGGCAAGGTCATGTACCGGGAATAAACCCTTTCTCCACGACGTCGGAGGCAACGGGAGACCCTGACCGGAGGCCGCCGCGAAGGCGTTCTCCAAGGAAGGCTTGAAACCGCGCAGCAAGGTTGATGCGGGGAAAGCCGTGTCGGAAGACTCATCGTATACCTCGCAAGCCTACTTAAAGTATGCATTAGGCGCGTGACCTAATTCCAGTATTTGTAAGCATGCATCACAAGGTTGGGATACACGACAGACAATTAAAGACATAATTGTCAAAATACAAATAAGGACAAAGCACACAAAAAGCCGCCCTCACCTGTGGTGTGAGTGCGCTGGTTTGCGGGACCCCAACTCCTGTACCCACGGCAGTGGGAACATTGGAGTAGACCCAGATTGACCACCGTGCAAGGTCAGACGCCTGAGGAGTTCGGAATTGCGCTGGGCACACCCCTTAGGTGCCCGCTTGCGCCGCGATCCGCGGGCCAAGACGGTGCACACTCTCCACGACGGCATCAGCGACCTGTTTGAGGTAATGATTGGCAAAAACCGAGTCAGAACGCCAGTAACAACCTCGTAATATTCTGCGAACAGAGATATTCGAGTGTAGGGCAAATGTTGCCGCTAGCGCCCTGATCTCGTGCGGGTTTGACCCCGCTACCGGTAACCCCCGAGACCGGTACGCCAGATTGATGACAGAACGAAGCCACAACGCAATCGAGTTGCGAGGTATGTCAACCGTGCGATTAGGGTTACACGATTACATGTCGGCATACGAACCCCTCCAATGAGAGTCACCTGGAGGGGCCCTTGCCGTCCGTCGACGACTTGGGCTTCCCCCAGTTCCCCGTCTTCCCGCGAAAGGGCAGCTGATTGCCCATACCGGAGCCCTCAGGGCGGGGCTACTTCCCAGAGGAAGAAGAACCCGACCCCTTAGACCTACCGGCCGCAGCAGCCTGGGGCGCGCTCCGGTTAGGAGCGGCACCCAGGCGCCTATGCAGGGACCCAACAAGAGCAAGTGTGTGCCGAGAGTCCTCGGCAACGTACTCCAGGGAAGCATTTAAACTGAGCAGGCAGTTGTAAATGCGCTGGTCACGGTCCGTGGGAGAACCTTCGACCAGACGGGCCGCTGCAGCCAAGTAAGTGTCTCCGTGAGACATGGAGTGCCGAGCGAGGGCGTCCAGCTGGTGCAAGGTAGCTTGCGTTATCGTAGCAGCCGGTGGGGCACGGACACCCAACTGCTCAACATGGGCCTCCGCGGTAGGACCAGCCTCGGGAAAGGCAAGGTCATGTACCGGGAATAAACCCTTTCTCCACGACGTCGGAGGCAACGGGAGACCCTGACCGGAGGCCGCCGCGAAGGCGTTCTCCAAGGAAGGCTTGAAACCGCGCAGCAAGGTTGATGCGGGGAAAGCCGTGTCGGAAGACTCATCGTATACCTCGCAAGCCTACTTAAAGTATGCATTAGGCGCGTGACCTAATTCCAGTATTTGTAAGCATGCATCACAAGGTTGGGATACACGACAGACAATTAAAGACATAATTGTCAAAATACAAATAAGGACAAAGCACACAAAAAGCCGCCCTCACCTGTGGTGTGAGTGCGCTGGTTTGCGGGACCCCAACTCCTGTACCCACGGCAGTGGGAACATTGGAGTAGACCCAGATTGACCACCGTGCAAGGTCAGACGCCTGAGGAGTTCGGAATTGCGCTGGGCACACCCCTTAGGTGCCCGCTTGCGCCGCGATCCGCGGGCCAAGACGGTGCACACTCTCCACGACGGCATCAGCGACCTGTTTGAGGTAATGATTGGCAAAAACCGAGTCAGAACGCCAGTAACAACCTCGTAATATTCTGCGAACAGAGATATTCGAGTGTAGGGCAAATGTTGCCGCTAGCGCCCTGATCTCGTGCGGGTTTGACCCCGCTACCGGTAACCCCCGAGACCGGTACGCCAGATTGATGACAGAACGAAGCCACAACGCAATCGAGTTGCGAGGTATGTCAACCGTGCGATTAGGGTTACACGATATGAACAGACGGTCACGCCCTTGTCTACGTTCATTCGAAGCCTTAAGATAATACTTAAGGGCCCTAACCGGACACAGCGCTCTGTCCTCAGTATCAGCAGGATGTAAGATTTCTTTGAGTGATCTTACAGTGAATTCTCTCTCCGTTTGCCCGACTCTCTGATTCTTGGCGACGAAGCCCATGAGCAGGCCCAGGCGGACCGCTCCTTCGTCACCCCTATCGAATCGTACCTTGGCGACATCGAGTGCATGAATTTCGGATACACGTGCCGCCGTGGTAAAAGGAGAGGAGAAATGCTGTTTTCCAAGTCACATGCCGGAACGAAGCACTATGCAAGGGTTCATACGGAGCTTCCGTAAGTGATTGCAACACTAGGGAAAGATCCCAGGCCGGTGCCCGAAGGCGGCCCTTCTTAAGAGGCAGTGGAAGTGGCGACTGCGTGACCTGGGTCAGCAAGTCGGGGTACCACGATCTGTTCGGCCACATGGGCGCGATCAGTAACATTCGACAGCGAACTCCTCGGAGCCGGCTTAGAATGTGTGGTATCAATGCTGTCGGCGGGTAAGCATAAGCGACCAAGCCCGTCCAGTCTAACGCGAGAGCATCGTGATCGATGGCCCTCGGGACCGGGACTGGTGATACAAACAACGGGATTTGATTGTTGAACTGCGTTGCGAACAGGTCGACCATCGGACGACCCAAACGTTCGCACAGCCACTGAAACACTACTGGGTTCAGCATCCACTCTGTGGGGCTCGGATCCTGAGGCCTCGATAGAGCATCGGCCAGTACGTTCCGCACACCTGGGATGTGACGGGCGCGTATCTGGCACGGGACACTGTCCACCAGAGCGTAAAACTCGAACGTGAGATCGAGTAGCGAGTGACTGTGGGTTCCCCCCAGTTTGTTCACATAGGACACTACCGTCGTGTTGTCGGTCGCCAGCATGAGCCGGGCGTCGACGAGACGATGCTTCCAGTGATTGACTGCGTTGATCACTGCCTTGAACTCAAGACAAGTGATGTGAAGACCTAGTTCGTCTACGCACCACAGCCCCGAGCTCACCTCCCCCTTTAGATGGGCGCCCCAGCCCACTAGAGAGGCGTCTGTATACAGGGTCAACGTGGCCCGGTAGGGCCGCATAGAGACTCCTGATAAGACAATGTAAGGGACCGTCCACCACTCCAGATGCGGTCGGAGCCGATCCGGGAGGGCGACGGTCGCACTGTTCACCTCCGTTGCTAACAACTGGATTAAAAACCGTTGCAGCGGGCGGAGTTGGAGACGACCCCGTGCGGTGCAGTCCTGGGCTGATACAAGTAGCCCTAACAGCTGTTCCCAAAAGTGAACAGTCTGTTGCACCGCTAAGACTTTGGCAATCATCGCCTGAATTTTGTGCCACCGGTCTGGGGGGACAAAGAGGCGATGGGACACCGTGTTGAACCGACCTCCGATGAACAGCAAGTTCTGAGAAGGGGTTAACTCGCTCTTGGGGAGATTGATAATCCACCCAAATTGCTCCAAGAGCCGACGTGCGAAATCGAGATGGCGTGACAGGGTGTCCGTCATTCGATTTGCTACTAGCGAGTCGTCCAGGTATGCGAAGTACCGGACACCCCTCCTGTGGAGGAACCCCACTATGGGGGTGGTTAACCAGGTGAACAGCCAGGGAGCGGACGTGTGAATCATTCTGAGTTCGGCACTGTCCTACTTGGGAACGAGAAATATCCTGGAGTAAAACCCCGGTGTTATTTCTGGTAGAGCTAACTCCCGTACTGCCCCTTCTCCACCAACCTGCCGATGGCATCGGCGAGGATGGGAAGATCGGTTTCCGAATCGAAACCTGCCAACGGGGCAACGGTGAGCGGCGGATTCGCTTTGAGATCAAGCCGATAGCCGTACCGAATCGTGTTGACCACCCACGGGTCGTCGAACACTTGTTCCCAATTCTCCCAGTAAGTCTGGAGTCTGGCTCCCACTGGGGAAGGAGAGGGGGCCCTGACAGGTTGCGACAGGCGCAACTGTCCAGGGCCAAGTGACTCGGGTTCGCCTAAGGGCCAACCGAAGTTGGCGCTGTCGGCATACGAACCCCTCCAATGAGAGTCACCTGGAGGGGCCCTTGCCGTCCGTCGACGACTTGGGCTTCCCCCAGTTCCCCGTCTTCCCGCGAAAGGGCAGCTGATTGCCCATACCGGAGCCCTCAGGGCGGGGCTACTTCCCAGAGGAAGAAGAACCCGACCCCTTAGACCTACCGGCCGCAGCAGCCTGGGGCGCGCTCCGGTTAGGAGCGGCACCCAGGCGCCTATGCAGGGACCCAACAAGAGCAAGTGTGTGCCGAGAGTCCTCGGCAACGTACTCCAGGGAAGCATTTAAACTGAGCAGGCAGTTGTAAATGCGCTGGTCACGGTCCGTGGGAGAACCTTCGACCAGATGGGCCGCTGCAGCCAAGTAAGTGTCTCCGTGAGACATGGAGTGCCGAGCGAGGGCGTCCAGCTGGTGCAAGGTAGCTTGCGTTATCGTAGCAGCCGGTGGGGCACGGACACCCAACCGCTCAACATGGGCCTCCGCGGTAGGACCAGCCTCGGGAAAGGCAAGGTCATGTACCGGGAATAAACCCTTTCTCCACGACGTCGGAGGCAACGGGAGACCCCGACCGGAGGCCGCCGCGAAGGCGTTCTCCAAGGAAGGCTTGAAACCGCGCAGCAAGGTTGATGCGGGGAAAGCCGTGTCGGAAGACTCATCGTATACCTCGGAGGAACCCACAGTCGTGGATTCCCCGCGGTACCGGCCGGGGCATGTCCTCAAAGAGGTCATAAACCATGGCCACGCGGTCCTAAACCGATAGCGGGAGCAACGGTTCGGGGGAAGGACCGGTGACCACGGGAGCCGCCGCCGTACCGGTGGACCCCGCGTCCGACCCCGCGGCCACCGAAGTGGCCGGGGACGGAACAGCCAGCGGCCTATCCTGAGATAAGGCCGCCAGCTTGGAGTCCACAAGTTATGCAAGTAATGCAGCGACGGAATCCCCGGACAGCACACGGGCCGCCAAGAGATCCGCCGCTTTACCGGTGGACCCCGCGTCCGCCACCGAAGAGGCCGGGGACGGAACAGCCAGCGGCCTATCTTGCGATAAGGCCGCCAGCTTGGAATCCACAAGTTTCGACAACAATGCGGCGACGGAATCCCCAGACAGCCCGAGGGCCGCAAGGGGATCCGCCGCAGCCGAGGAGGTGGTACCCGCACGGGGACCCCGACCGGACGAACCGGCCACCACAGGGGTGGAGACGGACTGTACGTACAGCCGGTACCGCTCAAAATCCGCAGGCCCCAGACCTTCGCACAGGATGCACCGGGTGTCCCCGCAAGGAACCCTGCACCGCGGGCAACGATCGTGGGGATCCCGGGACGACAAAAACTTTCTGCACACCCCATAACTCCGAGGAGCAGGGGTAGAGGGGGTGGATACTGGGGACATATCCATGTCAGACATTGATTGTTTGCTATAAACAAAGAACAAAACATGGTTACAACGCACGCACCACAATGATTCACAAACGAACATTTTCACAAGAAAATAAACGAGCAATGTGAACATATAACATACACATATAACTTTTATTAAAGAAATAAGTTATGTTAACCCCCAAAACATACAAGAACAGGGGAAACGTAAAACACAACGTGCATACGCGAACCCCGCAAGTATATAGAAAAAAGGGCGGGAAAAAATTTCCGTTTGGCGGGAAAATTATAACCAAGCGTAGCTACCGCAGCGCCCCATAAAAGCACAGTTTATAACAGCAAGTTCCAAAGGCCACTTATTGAACATGCAAGAGTGATGAGTACAGGACGCAGAAATGTGCATCCAGTACTCACAAATGTTCGTCAAAAACGCACAAATGTATAGAATGGACATAAAAAAAATTATACATGGTGTCACCATGGGAAACACAATAATGTTCACTAAACCAAATTCTAGACAAGAAATATACTTGCTGTAATTTAAGTAATTATTAACACTACACCAATTCATTACTTTACAGGACCCTCAGATTTGCCATTGAAATTAGTAATTGGGGTTCCCTGGGCCCCTAGTATTGCAGGTTAAGGTAAACAGACACTTACGCCAGGAGTGTTTTGATGGCCGGGGCATGCATGAGAATATAGTCCACCGAACTTTGAACAACGCCGTCTTGTAAGATCAGATTCTTCAGTCGGATTCCATTGGCATTGCTCTGTTCAAAATGTATAAATCAGTCAGTGAGTGAGTTAATGGTGCTTTATACAGCACTTGGCATTATTTCAGCTGTATCTACAGTAATAAGATTCAAATATTAATTGATGCAGAATTAAAATATAAACTGATACAGGTAAGTGTGTATCTCGTATCATATTGTCCGAGAATATTATTGATGCACCGATGTATTGATGAATCATGGTTGGTTGGTTTGTTGTTTAACGCTGCACTCAGCAATATTACAGCTATATGACGGCAGTCTGTAAATAATCGAGTCTGTACCAGACAATCCAGTGATTAATATCGTGATCATCGATCCACGCAATTGGGATCGATGACATGCATCAACCAAGTTAGCGAGCCTCACCACCCGATCCCGTTAGTCGCCTTTTACGACAAGCATGGTCGCCTTTTACGGCAAGCATGGGTTGCTTAAGACCTATTCTTCCCCGGAATCTTCACGGGTCTAAACTGATGCAGGTAAGTGTGTATCTCGTATCATATTGTCCAAGAATATTATTGATGCAGCGATGTATTGATGAATCATGACATCAACCTGTATGTTTTATGATGCTTTTAACAATATCACAGCAGGGGACACCGGAAAAGTGCTTCACACATTGTACCCATGTAGGGAATGGAACCATAGCCTTCAGTGTGAAGCAAATGCTTTAACCACTCGGCTACTTGGCTCCTCATGTGATCCCAAGCCAACACAGTAAATGTGACAGTCGTGAGAGACACAAGATATGTATCGTGATGGCTTCCTCTTACCTCAATACCACTTGCGATGACACAGAAACAGTCGAGGTGCACCTGCTCATCCTGGCTGTGCTCAAAGTCAAACCTGGCAGAAGAAAGGCAGATTAACACCTGTATAAATACACTTTTAACCTTGTTTCAGTTATACCAGGGCATGTCAGATCCTGGCAAGGCAAAGGTATGCAACTCTAGGCACTGCAATGCTTAACAGACCTACATCGTCTGTCTGGTGTCATCAGGCCTTAGCACCTGTCTGATTACACACTAATAGAGGATAAAGGTGAGGTGAAATGGGGTTTAACGTTGTGTCCAAGATTATTGCACTTATATAGCGACGTGCATGTACATGTGTGTGTTTGTGTGGCTGCTTGTACTAGTCCGGACTGATGCCGATTTATAGTGCTAGCTCACTGAGATACCATGCCACAGTTTAACATGAATACCCCACTCAGACACAGTATACTGACTCCGAGCTGATCAGTACTTGTTTTAGCCCCTTAATGCCGAACGCCAGACAGGGTAACAACAAGTACCATCTTTTAACGTCTTTTGGTATGACGCGGCCGGGGATCAAACCCCGGACCTTCCGCTCTCCGGGCGGACGCTGTACCACTAGACCACGGAGGTGGTCAATAGAGGATAAAGACATATTGAACTTAATAATAACTTTCAGTGCTTGTATTAGTTGCTTAATAACTTTCACTGTGTTTGGTATTACTTCCAAGAAAGAACATCAACCAAGCCAGAGAGTTTGACCATCCCTTCTGTTAGCTGCCTACTTCCCATATTGTGACCACCCAATCTCACTTGTGGATTCAAGCATGGGTTGCTGGGGGCCTAATCCGACCCAGAAACAGCATGTGGTCATGGCGAAAGCCTGCGCATCCTAAGTCCTGCTCATCCACAGTGTCCAGTTGTCCAGTTATATCAACATGTGGGAGGAAACACCATGCAGGTTGTAGCTGTCTAGCACCATGGTCAAACCAATGGGAGTATTGGTGCAGGCAGACCAAGGATCATAATCAGGGCTATTCTGGGATTCAAACCCACCACAGCAGGTCCTGGCAAGGTGAAGATCTGTTATGCTTGGCACAGATCCACAGCAAGGCTGGAAAGACCTGAGTTTGTCAGCGTCATGAAGTCTCAGCATCTGTTTCCACAAGTGATAGAGTGTCCGCCCGGAGAGCGGAAGGTAGCGATATATATACCAAAAGACATTAAAAGACGGTTCTTGTTCTTACCCTGTCTGGCGCATTAACAGGGTATAACTAGGACTGGTTGGCTTAAAGTCAGCATACTAAGTTGGATATTCATGTTAAACTGCCGCATGGTATCTCAGTGGGCTAGCACTGTAAATCGGCATCAGTCCGGACTAGTACAAGCAGCCACACACACACACGTGCATGCATGTCGCTGTATAATTGCAATAATCTTGGACGCGACGTTAACCCCATTTCACGTCACCTCACCACTTGAAGCCACACAGGACAAAGTTCTATTTGAACTTCCAGAGGTAGCTGTTGCTTAACAATACATTCCATGGCATCTGGTACAAATTCTAATCCGAAAAATGAATCTCTATTTGAGAAAGTAGTCCTTGCAGTTTGTGTTAAGCATGGATTGTATCATCAAGAGATTGTACTTACTTGTTGAAGTCGAGGTACTGCTTGAAGTGGTTGAGTAGCGCCATCATCTTGTCGTCCTCCCCGAAGGCCAGGAAAGGGATGAGCCTCATGAGAGCCTGCAGGACGTTGTTGTTGGCGCGGACGAAGGGGGAGTTGATGCGGCCAAGCAACATCATCAGCTGCTCCTTGTCGCCACACAGCTTGGAGAATTCCTGGGGGATTACAGTGTACAGTGTCAGATCGTACAGTGTCTCCTTGTATAGTGTCAGATCGTACAGTGTCCCCTTGTTCAGTGTCAGGTCATTCAGTGTCACCTTGTACATTGTCAGATCATACAGTGTCCCCTTGTACAGTGTCAGACCGTACAGTGTTCCCTTGTACAGTGTCAGGTCATACAGTGTCCCCTAATACAGTGTCAGGTCATACAGTGTCCCCTTGTACAGTGTCAGGTCATACAGTGTCCCCTTGTACAGTGTCAGGTCATACAGTGTCCCCTTGTACAATGTCAGACCGTACAGTGTCCCCTTGTACAGTGTCAGGTCATACAGTGTCCCCTAATACAGTGTCAGGTCATACAGTGTCCCCTTGTACAGTGTCAGGTCATACAGTGTCCCCTTGTACAGTGTCAGGTCATACAGTGTCCCCTAATACAGTGTCAGGTCATACAGTGTCCCCTTGTACAGTGTTAGGTCATACAGTGTCCCCTTGTACAGTGTCAGGTCATACAGTGTCCCCTTGTACAGTGTCCCCTTGTACAGTGTCAGGTCATACAGTGTCCCCTAATACAGTGTCAGGTCATACAGTGTCCCCTTGTACAGTGTCAGACCGTACAGTGTCCCCTTGTACAGTGTCAGGTCATACAGTGTCCCCTAATACAGTGTCAGGTCATACAGTGTCCCCTTGTACAGTGTCAGGTCATACAGTGTCCCCTTGTACAGTGTCAGGTCATACAGTGTCCCCTTGTACAGTGTCAGGTCATACAGTGTCCCCTAATACAGTGTCAGGTCATACAGTGTCTCCTTGTATGGTGACAGGTCATACGGTGTCCCCTTGTACAGTGTCAGATCATACAGTGTCCCCTTGTACAATACAATGTCAGGTTATAAAGATCCAAATCTATAGATACAGTGACAACCAGCAGTGTCTCCTACAACTACTCACAGTATACTGCTCCGGGGTCTGCTGACTGGCCTCCAGTAGGATGACCTCCAAGATCTGCAGGATCTGCTCCGTGATGGTCTGCCCCTTTGTGGCACTGGCCCCTCCCTCCTGCTCACTCCACAGGGCCTGCACACACGAGCACACAGGAGTCAATGTTACTGTACGTCACAGACAGCAATATTCCAGTGACCTCACAGCCTGCAGCCCTTGTACAAGCTCTAACCAGGCAAACCAGACACACCAGACTGGATCAATGAGCCAAAGTCTCACACAATAGCCACAATGACTCAAACACAACCAGGTCACACCCTGCAATCCTCAGACCCAAGGTCACACATCCCAGGTCACACATCCCAGGTCACACACTCCAGGTCACACATCCAAGGTCACACATCCAAGGTCACACACACCAGGTCACACATCCCAGGTCACACATCCAGGGTCACACATCCCAGGTCACACACCCCAGGTCACACATCCGAGGTCACACATCCAAGGTCGCACATCCCAGGTCACACATCCAAGGTCACACACACCAGGTCACACATCCCAGGTCACACATCCAGGGTCACACACCCCAGGTCACACATCCGAGGTCACACATCCAAGGTCGCACATCCCAGGTCACAAACACAAGGTCACACATCCAAGGTCACACATCCGAGGTCACACATCCAGGGTCACACACCCCAGGTCACACATCCGAGGTCACACATCCAAGGTCGCACATCCCAGGTCACAAACACAAGGTCACACATCCCAGGTCACAAACACAAGGTCACACATCCCAGGTCACACACCCCAGGTTGCACATCCCAGGTCACACCCCCAATCCTAATCAGTTTTTCCATAAGTAGGGTATATACCTAATCTGCCCCAGAATCAGAGGATGCAAAAGCTGACCACACATGTTAAAGTATTTCTACGTAGTTAGGCCTTTTATTTTAGCTAATGCTTTAAATATACAATAAACACTACACTTCACCAAACAAGTCAGCAGATAAGTGAGTGGGGTGTAACACCGCTTTTTCACAGCAATATCATGTCAAGTCAGTTTAATGTGGGAGGGAAGCAAGAACTGGAGCAGGTCTTCAGGGGTGCATCTCCACACTTAACTGCTAACCCGAGTTATAGGTATCCTAAGGTTTTGTGGAATTTCCTTATATTTTATCTCTTTTCGGACTGGTAATTATTTTCATTTGCATTCTAGATCTGAAACGTTAACCCAAAAAGTATGGGTATGGTACTGACAAACCCAAAATTAAAATCAGGGCGAATCTAGTATACTGGTAGGTCTGAAGAACACAACTTGATCTGCACAGTGAATTGCAGCGCCTAACACAACTTAGCCACTTGTGTGAAGCATGTGAGTGTGGACTGACCAGATTGAGAGCGCCCAGCATGATGTTGATAGTGTTGAGTTCCGGTTTGATCAGCTCCTGTCTGTTGGCCTTGACATTGACAGCGAAGCCAAACAGCTTGAGGAGCACCACCATGAGCTGTTTGCCCAGAACCAGGTCCTTCACCGACGACAGTCTGAAACATAACCACACATGTGAGTCCACAACACAGGTAGCTTCTAATGTCTTGCAAAGTGTCATATTTGTTTCACCTTGAGAAGATTTTCTAGTTCTTGTGAATAGAATGCTGTTCTAGTTGCAGCCAGCTATTCCAGATATATCAAAGTGGCCTATAAGTATTCGAGTCTGGTCCAAGCTGACAGGACCCGTGAAGATCCGGGGTAGAATAGATCTTCAGCAACCTTTGCTTGCCGTAAAAGGCGACTATGCTTGTCGTAAAAGGCGACTAACGGGATCGGGTGGTCAGGCTCGCTGACTTGGTTGATGCATGTCATAGATCCCAATTGCGTGGATTGATGCTCATGATATTAAACACTCGATTGTCTGGTCCAGACTCGATTATTTAGAGACCGCCGTCATATAGCTGGAATATTGCTGAGTGCGGCGTTAAACAACAAACCAACCAACCAAACCAATCCAAGCTGACAGAATTACAAATGATCTACAGCGTCATAGCAGAGCCATAAGTATCAGGGACCTAATCTGACCTGGGATCCCCAATAAGAAACAAGCCGGGGGTACCAGGGACCGTTCTCATCCGGAATCCCTGTAGGAAACAAGTTGGGTACCAGGGACCGATTCAGACATTGAATTCTGGTGGGGAAACAAGTTGGGTACCAGGGACCGATTCAGACATTGAATTCTGGTGGGGAAACAAGCTGGGTACCAGGGACATTGTCTGACGTGGTATCCTTGATCGGAAACAAGCTTGGGTACCATATTAACCTGAAATCATGTTATTCACTCACCTCTCTAACATGACCTCGAGTCCACCGTTCTCGGCCAAAATGGCAGCCATCTTGAACACCTCTTCCTTGTCAATGTCCTCCTCTGTAAACAAGGGAGATAAAGAGTGAGTGAGTGAGTGAGTGAGTGAGTGAGATAGGATGGAAGGGCTTTGAATATCACTGCTTAATGTGGGAGAAAAGCAACATCGTGTAGCAACTCATACCGGGGAAACCAACAAGCAGTAGTTGGAGCACAGTTTGGAATTAATGACCAGCAGATTCTAGCACGACCTTGACTGTGGATGTACACGTGACAGGCCCCGACTATGGATATACAAGTGACAATCCCTGACAAGTGATAAAGTGACAAGCCCTGACCATTGATATACAAGTGACAAGCACTGACTGTTATTATACAAGTTACAAGCCGTGACTATTGATACACAAGTGACAAGCCCTGACTATTGATACACAAGTGACAAGCTCTGACTATTGATATACAAGTGACAGCCCTGACTATTGATATACAAGTGACAGCCCTGACTATTGATATACAAGTGACGAGCCCTGACTATTTATATACAAGTTACAATCCTTGACTATTGATACACAAGTGACAAGCCCTGACTATTGATATACAAGTGACAAGCCCTGACTGTTATACAAGTTACAAGCCCTGACTATTTATATACAAGTAACAAGCCTTGACTTGACTATTTATATACAAGTGACAAGCCCTGACTAGTGATATACAAGTGACAATCCCTGACTAGTGATATACAAGTGACAAGCACTGACTGTTATTATACAAGTTACAAGCCCTGACAGTGGATATACAAATGACAAGCCCTGACTGAGGATATACAAGTGACCCTAGTTGTACCCACCTGAGCTGTTGTCGAAGGAGTTGACCATGTCCTCAGTGGCGTCGCCGAGAAGCCCCCTCATTCTGTAGATGATTGGCATCGGCTCCCCCTGCACACAGACAATCAGATGGTCAGACACAGACCACAGCCTGGACATACATCCTTACTAAGTCAAAGGCATAGATATAGACAGTAAACATCCTTGATCGTAGAACCCCTTGCAGTCTATGTGAATTTATCATCCATGCTGTATAACCAAAACACACCAATAAACAGAAAATAAGTTTGTTTGTTGTTGTTTAAAGCCACACTCAGCAATATTACAGCTATATGACGGTCTGTAAATAATCAAGTCTGGACCAGACAATCCAGTGATTGACATCATGAGCATCGATCCACGTAATTGGGATACGATGACATGCATCAACCAAGTCAGCGAGCCTGACCACCCGATCCCGTTAGTTGCCTCATACGACAAGCATGGGTTGCTGAAGACCTATTTTACCCCGGACCTTCACAGGTCGAGAAAACAAGTGTTCACACAGGTTGGTTGGTTGATATAGTCCAAACCAAGGCTATTCTAGTCAAGCTTATCTTGTTTCTCCGTTGTGATGTCTCTGACAGGTACCCACCTCCCCATGTTCAGGCAGCCAGATCTTCTTGTACACCTCCTTCACAGGCAGATCCAGGCTGATGATCTTCTTGTTCACCAGCAGCTGCAACACAACATTGGGTATTAGATGAACACCAATATTGTGACCACCCAATCAACATTTACATGGAATACAGAGATGTGGTCTTGAGATGAGACTGAAGTGAATATTTGTGGGTCCAGTAACCCATAACCTGTGAACATGATCAGCCAGGGAGAGAGAGAGAGAGTGAGTGAGTGAGTGAGTGAGTGTGTGAGTGGGGTTGCGTGAGTGAGTGAATGAGTGAGTGGGGTTGGGTGAATGAGTGAGTGCGTGTGTGGGGTTGGGTGAGTGAGTGAGTGAGTGGGGTTAGGTGGGTGAGTGAGTGAGTTTGGGTATTGAGTAATGTGACAAAAACCCAAGGTGATGCAGCTCTTAGCTGTTTACCACTTTGGTGAAACCCACACAACTGGTATCAGTAAACCAGTGGTTGATAGCATGAGCAACTACTCATGCAATAAAATCAACCAAATCACTTTATATGACCAAGAATGTTAACAGCATACAGGAATGGAGACACACATGTTGTAGATATAGTAGTGAGTGAGTGAGTGAGTGGGGTTTTACATCACTTTTAGCAATATTCCAGCAATATCACGGCGGGGAACTCTAGAAATGGGCTTCACACATTGTACCCATGTGCAGAATCAAGCCCTGGTCTTCGGCGTGACAAGCGAACGCTTTAACCACTAGGCTACCCGACCGCCCCAGATATAGTAGTCGTCATCAGCACTCACCTCCATCCCTGTGTCATCCTCTAACAGAGCAACCAGCTCACAGTCTGCAACAACCCAAACAATTCACATAAATAAAAGATTCTCCATCATAATCCAAACATTGATAAATCTAATAAAAAACCATAGTAATGCCATGACCAAACTGCAAATAAGTTCTCTTATCTAAACTACACTGAAGAATCGAAATTCAATCCAATGTTCAAAATTTAGCACAAAAGTCATGGCTCATTGACATTGTCCTAACGTTACAAATTCAAGATCCAGGGGGTCCCTAGATTCAAATACGATAAAAACAACCTCAATGAATAATGTATATAATAATATGTATATACGCCACTTTTAGCAATATTCCAGCAATATCACGGCGGGGGACACCAGAAATGGGCTTCACACATTGTACCCATGTCGGGATTCGAACCTGGGTCTTCGGCGTGACGAGCGAACGCTTTAACCACTAGGCTACCCGACCGTCCCCAACCTCAATGAAACCCAGGACCTCCATATTTTCAAACACTGCACTCATTTCTGTGCAAGGTTCCATATTTACAATACCAATCACACCCATGAGCTATTCTCTAGTACCCTGTCCCCTGTATCTCACCTTGGCAGATTTTGTTCTTGATGTCTCTCATGAGTGGCCCCATTCCTGGCTCGTTGGAACTGTATGGGTTACCCAGCATCCTCCCCTGCAGGAAGTCCTCTTGTTGAGGGTCTTTCTCCAGAATCATGAAGAACTCCGCAACATCATTCTCCTCCTGGTCATCATAATTAAAGTATGATGTGTTTTTTTTTAAAGCGCATATTAATACTCGATAAATATTCTTTTACACTATGAATCATAAATAACTTCTATTCTAATCTTTTTTTGAAACTCTGAAACGTGCAACGTAGATCGTGTTAGGTAGGCAGAGCATGTATACTGTTTTGTTGGTCATCTACCACCTACGACTTGACCTTCGTTAAACTGCTGATCATCTATAACGCTCATCAATTATCTGGACCCCGAAGGTAGCGTTGTAGCGAGGGATCACTGTATGAGCAAACACATACAGAATGCTGTTTCAGACAAATGATTCCTTTCACATCTGTTCCTTTATTTCTTTTACTCCGTATACTACCCCTGGAGAGTCAGAAGTCTGAGGTCAAGGGACCCATTTCTACAATGCGACCTCACACATTTTCATACACTAGGACTGTTGTAACCCCAAAACATTAACATAAAGATATGATAATTGAACTTCCAAGACACCTGTACCTTAAAAAAGATTTATGATAGAGTGAGTGGGTGAGTGAGTATGGTTTTACGCCGCTTTTAGCAATATTCCAGCAATATCACGGCAGGGGACACCAGAAATGGGCTTCACACATTGTACCCATGTTTGGAATCGAACCCGGGGCTTCGGCGTGACGAGTGAATGCTTTAACCACTAGGCTACCCGACCTCCCCGATTTATGATGGACAGATTAGGGGTGCAATGATATGGAAGGTCACGATATTTTACATGACACATGAAGTGAAATACTTATATAGTTCAAAAGAGTGAAAAAATGAAACACAATGTCCCAGAATGTCTCCAGTACCTTAATAGAAACTACAGATAGTAGTCATCATCTTCCCACGGAAAGGGAAAAGTCCAGTTTCCATCCTTGCCGAACTAGGTCGGAATTTTGAGGCTCGATCATAGCCCCATCAGTGGGTATTACGAGTAATATGTCCCTCTTATTGACCAATGATATTCCTCCTATCATATTACTTGCATTTGCTTCAAACAAGATGGTAGCGCCCAGTCAAGACAATCTGATCGATAATCAAGATCTATAATGTTAAAAAATGGGTCTTACCTTGCGAAGGGCATCAAATTACTTGAGCACCTTGACTAACGATTTGGAAAATATCTATCGACAACCAGTTGACGGTCACACATGCTTTGCAAATCCTGCAAGTGACCAAAATCTGTAGAGCAGTTTACCAACAGGATGTTGATTTCATTACGTGATTTTGATTGGACTATGCAAAGACTTGTTATTGAGCCAAAACATAACTCAGCCTAGTTAGGCAAGGGTGGAAACTGGACTTATATAGTCGGGTAACTCCCTTGCCTTGGGAAGATGAGTAGCTATAACACCCAGGTACCCAAATACTCCATTGTCTTAGCACTAAGATGACTGTGGAACAGGGCCACGGGCAGGTGTTTGATTCATAGGATTGTCCCCACTTCCTTGCCTGTCTGTCTGTGAACCTACCGGGTAGATGATGCTACAGAGTCTCTCAAAGATGAAGACAGGTGATCGGTTGTCTTTGAGAGGGTACTTCTTCACTGTCTGCACACACACAGCCATAAACTCTTTAGTCTCACTGTCAGTGCCTGCAACAGATTGGGAATAAATATCATAATAATATGGTGGCAACTGGAACACTCAGCCCCCCAAGATTGCATGAATAACAAGAAGGAGGAAAGAGTCCTAGTTGTGTGTATATATGGATCTATCTATTCCCTGTGTGTTGCAGTATGGTGGCAACTGGAACACTCAGCCCCCCAAGATTGCATGAATAACAAGAAGGAGGAAAGAGTCCTAGTTGTGTGTATATGTGGATCTATCTAGTCCCTGTGAGTTGAGGATAAAGATCTCACTAAAGGAAACATTATTTTCAGTAGTGAGTGAGTCTTCTGGGGTACTTGTAGTGAGGCAGTGATGTGTGTGAGCTGAGGCAGTGTTGTGTGAGCTGAGTCAGTGTTGTGTGAGCTGAGGCAGTGGTGTGTGAGCTGAGGCTGTGTTGTGTGAGCTGAGGCAGTGTTGTGTGAGCTGAGGCAGTGTTGTGTGTGAGCTGAGGCAGTGTTGCGTGTGAGCTGAGGCAGTGTTGTGTGTGAGCTGAGGCAGTGTTGTGTGAGCTGAGGCAGTGTTGCGTGTGAGCTGAGGCAGTGTTGCGTGTGAGCTGAGGCAGTGTTGCGTGTGAGCTGAGGCAGTGTTGTGTGAGCTGAGGCAGTGGTGTGTGAGCTGAGGCTGTGTTGTGTGAGCTGAGGCAGTGTTGTGTGAGCTGAGGCAGTGTTGCGTGTGTGCTGAGGCAGTGTTGCGTGTGAGCTGAGGCAGTGTTGTGTGAGCTGAGGCAGGGTTGTGTGTGAGCTGAGGCAGTGTTGCGTGAGCTGAGGCTGTGTTGTGTATGAGCTGAGGCTGTGTTTTGTGAGCTGAGGCTGTGTTGTGTGAGCTGAGGCAGTGGTGTGTGAGCTGAGGAAGTATTGTGTGGCAGTGTTGTGTGAGCTGAGGTAGTGTTGTGTGAGCTGAGGCAGTGTTGTGTGAGCTGAGGCAGTGTTGCCTGTGAGCTGAGGCAGTGTTGTGTGAGCTGAGGCTGTGTTGTGTGAGCTGAGGCAGTGTTGCGTGTGAGCTGAGGCAGTGTTGTGTGAGCTGAGGCTGTGTTGTGTGAGCTGAGGCAGTGTTGTGTGAAAGCTGAGGCAGTGTTGCGTGTGAGCTGAGGCTGTGTTGTGTGACCTGAGGCAGTGTTGTGTGAGCTGAGGCAGTGTTGTGTGGCAGTGTTGTGTGAGCTGAGGCAGTGTTGTGTGAGCTATGGCAGTGTTGTGTTTGAGCTGAGGCAGTGTTGCGTGTGAGCTGAGGCAATGTTGTGTGTGAGCTAAGGCAGTGTTGCGTGTGAGCTGAGGCTGTGTTGTGTGAGCTGAGGCAGTGGTGTGTGTGAGCTGAGGCAGTGTTGTGTGAGCTGAGGCAGTGTTGTGTGAGCTGAGGAAGTGTTGTGTGAGCTGAGGCAGTGCTGTGTGGCAGTGTTGTGTGAGCTGAGGCAGTGTTGTGTGAGCTATGGCAGTGTTGTGTGTGAGCTGAGGCAGTGTTGTGTGGGCTGAGGCAGTGTTGTGTGAGCTGAGGCAGTGTTGTGTGAGCTGAGGCTGTGTTGTGTGAGCTGAGGCTTTGTTGTGTGACCTGAGGCAGTGTTGTGTGGCAGTGTTGTGTGTGAGCTGAGGCTGTGTTTTGTGAGCTGAGGCAGTGTTGTGTGAGCTGAGGCAGTGTTGTGTGTGAGCTATGGCAGTGTTGTGTGTGAGCTGAGGCTGTGTTGTGTGAGGTAAGCAAGTATTGTGTGTGAGAGGTGAGCCAGTTTTGTGTGTGAGGTGAGTCAGTGTTGTGCGTGAGGTGAGTCAGTGTCGTGTATGTGAGAGGTAAGCCAGTGTTGTGTGTGTGAGGTGAGCCAGTGTTGTGTGTGTGAGGTGAGTCAGTGTTGTGTGTGTGAGGTGAGCCAGTGTTGTGTGTGTGAGGTGAGCCAGTATTGTGTGTGTGGTGAGCCAGTGTTGTGTGTGAGGTGAGCCAGTGTTGTATGTGTGAGGTGAGCCAGTGTTGTGTGTGAGGTGAGCAAGTGTTGTGTGTGTGGTGAGCCAGTATTGTGTGTGTGGTGAGCCAGTGTTGAGTGTGAGGTGAGCCAGTGTTGTGTGTGTGGTGAGCCAGTGTTGTGTGTGTGAGGTGAGCCAGTGTTGTGTGTGAGGTGAGCAAGTGTTGTGTGTGTGGTGAGCCAGTGTTGTGTGTGAGGTGAGCAAGTGTTGTGTGTGTGAGGTGAGCCAGTGTTGTGTGTGAGGTGAGCAAGTGTTGTGTGAGGTGAGCCAGTGTTGTGTGTGAGGTGAGCAAGTGTTGTGTGTGTGAGGTGAGCAAGTGTTGTGTGTGTGAGGTGAGCCAGTGTTGTGTGTGTGAGGTGAGCCAGTGTTGTGTGTGTGGTGAGCCAGTGTTGTGTGTGTGAGGTGAGCCAGTGTTGTGTATGAGGTGAGCAAGTGTTGTGTGTGTGGTGAGCCAGTGTTGTGTGTGTGAGGTGAGCCTGTGTTGTGCGTGAGGTGAGTCAGTGTCATGCGTGTGAGAGGTAAGCCAGGGCTCTATTTTACCTGTCGTGAGTTCCTCCAACAGCTCCAGCAGCTTCTCCTGGGTCTCGTCAATGAGCTTGGTGCGCTGCACGACCAGCTTCCGCAGCGACAGGTAGCCGTTGAGGATGTAGCCCACCAGACGGTTCTTGTAGTGCTGCTTCAGCATCTCCTGCTCCACAAACATGGACAGCAGCTCTGGGGGAGGAGAACACACTTAAAATATCTTCCATCTGCCACATACGAATGATGGCTGTCTTACTGCATGTGAACCCAACAGTGCACCATACACACAAACACAAACCTATCTCGTCTTATCACATCACTTGACTCAGGTGTTAGAGATACAGTCCAACACCGCTGTGTCATTGTTGAAGGGACAGGTATAAATACTTTGAGTAATCTGAGAATCGACAACCAAAAATGAACAAAGAAGAATACATATGGACCAAGCTTTTCAATTCGAGTCAACCAGAAGGGTTCAGCACTTACATGGATGTCAAGTCTCCAAAGGACAAGTATACTGGATGATATACATTCAAACAGAGTTCATATTGAGAGATCTCATTTGTGATTTCTTTAATATTAGGCATTTACAACTCTCTACCAAACTTAGGATGGTTGTTGGTTGGTTTGTCGTTAAACGCCGCACTCAGCAATATTCTAGCTATATGATGGCGGTCTGAAAAATAATCGAGTCTGGACCAGACAATCCAGTGATTGATATCATGAGCATCAATAAACGCAATTGCGATTGATGACATGTATCAACCAAGTCAGCAAGCCTGACCATCCGATCCCGTTAGTCGCCTTTTACAACAAGCATAGTCGCCTTTTACGGCAAGTATGGGTTGCTGAAGACCTATTCTACTCCGGAATCTTCACGGGTCCCAAACTTAGGTACCTTGAACCTTATTTTGGGTTGATACCTCTCAACTCCTTGACTACATTTGATGACTATTTTGGAAGAATTAAAGAAGCTCAATGGTTGTGAACCTACCTGTAAGGGACTTGAGAGCAAAGCCTTGTGCCAGGTCCGAACTGAGAGTTGTCTCCTCAAGGTATTCCAGATGCTCTACTTCCTGAAACAACATCGTTATATGTTTGCAAAGCATTTAGATGTGATACACATACTGAAGAAAATTTATGGATGAACACAATGTTTTGGAGGATATGTTTACTCCTTCATTCACATGATGAATGAGTAAGCGTATACTCTGCAAAATGTTCTCTTCCGAAACATTTTTATTAATATACTACCCATCAAAAGTTTAGACTCACCAGTGTAAATGTAGCCACTCACTATACTCAACTGTTTCAAATCAGATAATGCCAAATATTCTAAACTTTTTACAGGTACTGTTAGCACATGAACTGTTGTGGCGTAAAACCAAATCTGTATCGGTGAAAAGATGAGAGTTTTTCGTTCATTAATTGATAAAACTCTGTGAAATGTCGCACATTTTTAAACAAAATTCGCACCAAAACGCAGGTGTTCACATGCACGATAATGCACGTGTTTTAGCAGCAATTTGACGCGGGATACTCATGCAATTCATCTTTATAAGGATTGCAGTTGGCTCTTCTGAGTTAGTGGAGAAATTCTTCTTTGATGCAAGCATGGGTAGAGGGAGAAGTCTCCGTATTGAGCAACGACATCAAGCCTTGGCACTGCTACAAGATGGCAGATCACAACGGTTTGTTGCCAGACGTCTTGGCGTATCCCAATAGGCAGTTTCCAACCTCTGGGTACGCTTTCAACAGACCAACTCCGTCCAGGATCGACCCAGGTCGGGTAGGTCAAGGGTAACATCACAGCAAGATGACCGATGCGTCTTTTTGCTGTTTCTCAGGGGCAGACACATTACAGCCACAGCAGCCAATAATGCTTTCCAACAAGCTACAGGACGACGTGTATCTGTATCAACAATACGCCGCCGATTACGTCACTACGGACTGCGGGCACGTCGTCCAGCTGTAAGACCCCCTCTTACACCACGCCACCGTCAGAACAGGCTGAATTGGGCAAATGGACATTTACGCTGGGGTCCCCGCAGATGGGCAAGGGTACTCTTCTCCGACGAATCAAGGTTCCATCTGCATTTCAACGATGGTCGGATCCCAGTCTACAGACGTCAGGGAGAGCGGTATGCTGACGTTGCTGTTGTGGAGCATGATCGATTTGGAGGTGGATCCGTTATCGTCTGGGGAGGTATCACCCTGACTGGAAGAACTGATTTACTGGTACAGGATGGAAATCTGACTGGCCAGAGATACAGGGAAAAGATCATCATTCCTATTGTGCTTCCATTCTTAAGGGCCATGCCAGGTCACGCGGTTTTCAAAGATGATAATGCCAGGCCTCACTGAGCTCGCATCGTGTCAGCTTGTTTACAACAAAATGGGGTGGATCGAATGGATTAGCGAGCATTATCGCCCAATATGAACCCCACTGAGCATGTTTGGGATCTGCTGGGACGGCGTGTTTATGCCAGAGTTCCTCCCCCTGCTAACCTTCGCCAACTTCGCAATGCATTGTTTGAGGAGGGGCAAACATTCCCCAGCGGCAGATTGAACTGTTCTTTCGTGGTATGCAACGTCGATGCAATGTCTGTGTTAGAGCCAGGGGTGGTCATACCCGTTATTAAATTTTGCAATTTCACTTTTGTATGGTACTAGCCAATACGGCATTCTGGTTCACTAATCATCAATGCACACGTCCTTGTGAACAAGGATATGAAGACCTAAATGAATGATTTTGTTATTTTTTATCGGTAGCTTTCACAAATACGATTTTCTTACGAGATATAGTGAGTGGTTTCAGTGAGTCTAAACTTTTGATGGGTAGTATATATACTTCCAGAAACCAAATTGTCATAACCGCACACACAACCACACCCACACAAAATCCTCCCCCATTATCATGCCTACCTTTGTGATGAGGTCTCCCAGGTGCAGCAGCACCCCCTTAATGGCCAGGTAGAACTTCCAGTAATCAGGGATGATGAGTCTCTTGTACATGCACAGGAAGTCACTAGCACACTCCCCGCTCCTGCCCACCTCGTCCAGGCACCTGAACACAACAGCAAGTGGGATTGGATTCATGCTGTTGTAGATGGTCAGTCATATCATGATGTGTGTGCTTAATTCTGATCCTGAGGATGCTGGAGACAGATGCTTTCAGGGGCATAAAATCATGTTCCTTTACACACATATATTAGATTGTCAAGTGACCTGACCCTGTAACAGGCTACCCCTCTACATTGGTCAGGAAATGGTCAAGCTTCCTCAACCTGTGTTCATGCACTACCCACTTGACATTCCACCCCCGACATTGGTCAGTAAATTGTGGAGCATCCTTAACCTGCAATCAAGCACTATGCTTCTCCAGACACTGGTCAGTTAATGGTCCTCACCCTGTGAACACCACCACTCCACTCCACTACACTACCCTACCCCCCTCACTGGTCAGCTAGTGGTCCTCACCCTGTGAACAGCACCACTCCACTACCCTACCCTCCTTCACCATTCAGCTAATGGGTAAATGGTCCTCACCCTGTGAAAGGCACCACTCCACCCACCCACCCACCCACCCTGGTCAGTGAATGGTCCTCACCCTGTGGACAGCACCACTCCACTACCCTACCCCCCACACTGGTCAGTGAATGGTCCTCACCCTGTGGACAGCACCACTCCACTACCCTACCCCCCACACTGGTCAGTGAATGGTCCTCACCCTGTGAAAGGCACCACTCCACTACCCTACCCCCCCACACTGGTTAGTGAATGGTCCTCACCCTGTGAAAGGCACCACTCCACTACCCTACCCCCCACACTGGTTAGTGAATGGTCCTCACCCTGTGGACAGCACCACTCCACTACCCTACCCCCCCACACTAGTCAGTGAATGGTCCTCACCCTGTGGACAGCACCACTCCACTACCCTACCCCCCCACACTGGTTAGTGAATGGTCCTCACCCTGTGAAAGGCACCACTCCACTACCCTACCCCCCCACACTAGTCAGTGAATGGTCCTCACCCTGTGGACAGCACCACTCCACTACCCTACCCCCCCACACTGGTTAGTGAATGGTCCTCACCCTGTGAAAGGCACCACTCCACTACACTACCCCCCACACTGGTTAGTGAATGGTCCTCACCCTGTGAACAGCACCACTCCACTACCCTACCCCCCCACACTGGTCAGTGAATGGTCCTCACCCTGTGAACAGCACCACTCCACTACCCTACCCCCCACACTAGTCAGTGAATGGTCCTCACCCTGTGAACAGCACCACTCCACTACCCTACCCCCCACACTGGTTAGTGAATGGTCCTCACCCTGTGAACAGCACCACTCCACTACCCTACCCCCCCACACTGGTCAGTGAATGGTCCTCACCCTGTGAACAGCACCACTCCACCCCACTACACTACCCTACCCCCCACACTGGTCAGCTAGTGGTCCTCACCCTGTGGACAGCACCACTCCACTCCACTCCACTACCCTACCCCCCTACATCGGTCAGTTAATGGTCCTCACCCTGTGATCATGTCCATGACCTCCTTCCTCCGGCTGGGCACCTGAGCGATGGCCTCGATGATGCTGCAGGCAGTCTGTCGGGCGGAGCGGGAAGATGGGGAGAACATGGCCTGCTGCAACCAGGTGTTCTGAGTCAGCTTCAGTGTGATGGCCGGGGTTTTCCACATCTTCTGCTGCCACCTCATCCCGTACTTCTCCATCAGGTAGCGGGCCCGGACCTCTTTCTTCTCCTCCTCTTTCTTTGTCTCTGACTCCTCGGTAACCGCTAAACAGTAATTGTTATAGTTACTGTCTGCTTGTTATAGTTACTGTCACCAATATTCCAGCTGTATGAAAGTGGTCTAAAATAACTGAATCTGGACTGGACAAACCAGTGACTGACATGAGCATCGAACTACACAATTTCAACGCGATGGCATGCATCAACCAAGTCATCAAGTCAGACCATCCGATCTCCGAATGATCAAACGATGACAATTCCTCCCCCACCACAAGAGCAAAAGGCACCACTTCAGCCCCTGGTTAATTCATGTATCAAGTTTGGATAAAATATCTTTCACAGATTTCAAGTTATGCTCTGGCAATGAAATACGGACAGACAGACAGACCAGGTGACTATATCCCCCAGCATTACCAGGATGATAAAAAGTTAGACGACTTGCCATCTGTCTCTCTCTCCCCCCCCCCCTCCCAAAAGATTCCGGAAGAGCCACAAAGAAACATTTCACACAGCAATAATTAAGATATATGTTTAATAACTGTTTGAAAGTGTAGTAGCTACAATAAGAGAGGATCCAGCATTTTTAAAAGGGAGGGGTCCAAAATATCAAAATCCTCTCTCAGTCAATTATACTGCCTACAACACACTACATTTGATTTTCAAAAGGGGGGGTCTGGAACCCTGCCATCTTGGTCAATCCAGTGATTGACATCATGAGCATCGATCTAGGCAATTGGGATACGATGACATGAATCAACCAAGTCAGCGAGGCTGACCACTTGATCCCGTTAGTCGCCTTTTACGACAAGCATAGTTGCCTCTTATGGCAATCATGGGTTGCTGAAGGCCTATTCTCTACCCGGACCTTCATGGGTCTCACTCTGCAATCCTATTAAGGCTGTCTGCTGACAAGGTTTTGTGTTCACTGCACAACAATAACGTTTGTACATTGGGAGTTCTTTGAAGCCATATTTGAAGTCACTCTATCACCACCAACTCTATCATGCAAAGTTACAGCCAATAAGGTGAGTGAGTGAGTTGGGTTTAACGACGCTTTTAACAGTATTCCACTTATATCGCTGCATGTCAGCTTAATGTGGGAGGAAAGCCAAAAGTGATGCAGGTCTCAGATGTTTACCACTTCGGTGAAACCCACAAGCACGGGTATGGTGCTGACAACCCTAGAAACATAATCGAGGCGAACCGGGATTCAAACTGGTAAAACTGGGTTCTCGTGAGTGGCACTCACCTCTCCTGGGCAGTCTCTTCCTCCACTGACAGTAGGAGTAGCGTGGGTCTCCAGCCAGCCACTGCTTCACATCCATGTGGAACTTGGCCGGCAACAGGTACTCACTCATCCCAGCCTCACAGCCCTCCTGTAATGCATCAACATTAAGGACTTTCCCAACACTGCATTTTTGCTTGCATGTAATCATCCTCATTAGGTATTTCAAATGTTTTTGGCTTTCATTATATTTTTAGTCAAGCTGCATCATGGAAACTTTCAAACCAGTGAGTAGAGAAATTTCTTAAAAGTTGTCTGTTATGTACTCAATTGAGCAGACTCAAATGGTAATGCTTCTTTTTGTGAGCAAATATATTGGTATTTTGTAGTTTGAAGGACAGCTTTTCACCCCCTGTGATTTCTAGAGGTTTTTAATGAGTGAGCATGGTTTTACACGGATTTTAGAAATATTCCAGCAATATCTTGGCGGGGTCACCAGAAATGGGCTCTACACATTGTACCCGTATCGGGATCGATCATCGGTCTTCGGCGTGACCAGCGAATGCTTTAACCACTGGGCTACCCGACCGCCCCGATTTCTAATGAGCTTCCTCAAATAGGAACTCACCTGCCACTCATCTTAAGCTCCCTACAGGGTCAAAATTAAGCCGTCTTGTAGATTAATCTATTGCACGCACAATCTTTATTTCTAACTTTGCACTCGGCAGAAGAAAAATAACAGCTGGTGCTTTTTAGATTATTTCTTTCACAACCTATTGGGCAGGGGAATCTGTACACCAGTTTTATAAGTCTTGCCTTGAGCATGTTGGTAAAAAGACCATGACCACTGAAACCAAACACTCACCCTTTTCTTGAAGATGACGCCATCATTTCTGACGAGACTCTGCAGGATGCGGAGACAGGGCAGTGTGATGCTCTCCATGATGACCGGGCTCTTGATGTGCATCCCCATTAGGAACAGTCGCATCACTGCATGAAGAGTCAGAGAATGAGTGAGTGAGTGAGTGAGTGAGTGTGTTGGATGGTGGGTGAGTGAGTGAGTGAGGGAGGGAGGGAGGGAGGGAGTTAGTGAGTTGTGCTTAATGCCACATCACAGCATGGATGCCTTATGTGGGAGGGAAGCACAAAGTGATGCTGGATTTGAATGTTTACCATTTTAGTCAAACTAACAAGCAGGGTATGGTGCTTATGAATCAAGCTTGTTTGTTTATTTGTTTGTTTGTTGTTTAACACCACACTCAGCAATATTCCAGCTTTATGATGGCGGTCCTTAAATAATTGCATCTGGACCAGACAATCCAGTGATTGATATCATAAGCATCGATCTACGCAATTGGGATACGATGACATGCATCAACCAAGTCGGTGAACCTGACCACACGATTATGCTAAGTAATAGTAGTTGGTTGGTTGGTTTGTTGTTTAACGCCGCACTCAGCAATATTCCAGCTATATGATGGCGGTCTGTAAATAATCGAGTCTGGACCAGACAGTAATAGTAGACATACACAATTCACCATAGTGCTTTCTTAACAACATTCACTGACAGGTTTAAGATGGAGCAATACCATCCAAGTGAGTGAGTGAATATTGTTTTAAGCTTCAGTAAGGAATATTCAGCCATATGAATGTGTAATCACTCAACCCATGCTAATTTTGTTTAGAGATGTAGGTTACTACAATTCAGTTCTAAAGTTAAACTTTCCAGGGCATTGTTGCACAAAGCAATCTTAGCGCTAAGTTGATGGTAACTAAACATAGATTTACGACAGTCGTAGCGCTAAGATTGTTTTGTACAACGGAAACCTGTACGGTCAGATTGGTTCAATGGTTGTTGTTTAAACCATAACGTTGTGCACACGTCGTTGATTGTGTTTCAGTGTACCCTGACAACATGGGATGTTCATACTATCAATCCCTGGCTTGTCTGGACCAGAGATTGATATAATGAACCCAGGTTACTCTGACTGGAGACTGACCACATCGCACTCTCTGTTCCCAGCAGGTGTCGTCCTGGTTGAGGGAGCTGGCAAGTAGCAGGATCTCATGCCGCACTGACGAACCCTGCAACAACACAAACATCCTGTCAAGCATCTGTAGTGTCATATATTTACAGACTAGGTTAGACTCAGATCTGAGGCCTATATCCAACCTGAAGTTGATTGTCTACTTCGTGGCAGAGATTGCCACAGGATGAGTGAGTGAATGTTCCGGTTTTACTCCACTCCAATATTCCAGCAATATCACAGCGGGGGGACACCAGAAATGGGATTAACACATTGTACCAATGTGGGGAATGAAACCCAGGTCTTTGGTGTCAAGAGCGAATGTTTTAACCACTAGGCTACCCCAAGGACCTGCCCACATGACATACCCTGGATGTCATCACATACACATGATGTCATACACAGGATGTCATTCTTTCTCACAATGGTGTCAGGTGATTCAGTGTTATCAAGGGAAACTGCCTGTAATATTTTTGTGTTTAGTTATTGCTTCCCCCTGTGCTATATGAACACACTCATATCCTTGGGATCGTTACTTTCAGGGTTAGGGGATGGTGGTTATAGAAGTCTTTTACAGTGTTAGAAATTGGCACTTGCCAAATTGCCCAATAGTGAAGGTATCCTAAGGACTAGTAGAAAATTGCCCCTTTTAGGGTTTTGCTATATGTTCTCTTAGAAGGACTAGTGGGCTAAAACTGTTAGTTTCTATCGCTGCTTTTATCATTCAATATATTTTATGACTGTAAAAAGAAAATGGAACCAATGTGATAAACAGCAATAAGAGTTGTTCTACCTTGAGCCCACATCAGTCTAAGTTTGAGACAAACTAGATGGGAGGGTTCGACTGATACTCCTTGATGGCAGCTACGCTGACTGTTATATGTGTAAGCAGTGTTTGAAGGCAAGTACATAGGATGCTTGTCAAATACTACAGGAGCAATCCCCCAGGTCGGTCCAGGACACCAGTTAATGTCTAACACTGAGTAAGTATGAGACCTACCAGATCAGGGTTGGACTGATGTCCCTTGATGGCAGCAGTGATCCTGGTCATGATGAGGTTGTTCATCTCCTCCGTGCCGCGGCGGTTGTCCTTGGTCAGTAGACACAGCAGTGAGCGCACCTCGTTGCGTACAGGCAGGGTGCCATGGCGCAGGTTGTAGTCAATCAGTTGCTGGATCATGCCCTGGGGAGACAACATTAAAAGTCTCATCATATACATTCAGAGATGGAATGAGAGCGAGTGTATGGATTTTCCAGGCCTTTTATATTTACCGTATTCGAGGTAATAAGCGCCCACGGCGATATTTGCTAATATATTGGCTAGTGAACAATCTCAATTAGCACCCCTTCCGATTGATCAATGTACACAAGACTTATTTACTCGCGTAAAATATGCACTCGTGTGTTATATGCACCCTTAATTATGGGCAATTTAATTCTGGAAACATATATCTGTCATATATAAACATTTCAGGCTGTCAGCACAAACCACGAAATCTATCTTTCAACTCTGTTTTTTCCACAAAAATAATATTCTAATAAGAGCCCCTTATTTCTAATTTTGAGAGCGGCCTGGGCGCTTATTACATCAAATACGGTAATTTGAATACTTTGTCTTGTAAAATGTCTTTAAGTTTGGCATTAAGCTTAGCTGATGACAGCTCACATGTAAGGATTAAAATCTACTAAAAAGGATGTACAATGGTTGGTTCGAGCTGGTAGACTCAAAATTATTTGAGTGAGCATTTAGCAATATTCCAGCCATACAATATCAGGAGACTCCAAGATTATCTTCATACATTGCACTTGTTTGGTGAATCAAACCTGGGACATTCTCATACTGGGGATCAACGCCGAATCCTCAACTTGCGAAAACTAAGCACTGGGCCACTATCACATCATCTGACTTACCTGGCTACAGAGGATCTGGCGCATATTGCTGTTGGTGACAAGGGCTCTCAACAAAGTGATGCAGTGCTCTACTGCCGAGCTGGCACAGCCGTAGCAATTGGTTGGACGCAGGCTGAGAGAGACAAATCATACATTAGAAAATAAGACAATGCTATCTGAAACGTTTGTCTCTAAGAATATGTCACTGTTCCAAGATGGTCCATGACATAAGCTCACTAAACTTTCAGCATTCTTAGTCGCATTATTATTGACTAATGACAGCTTTTGAATTGTTGTTGTATTAAAAACAGTATCGATGGGAACTCTCATATAGTAATGTATCTCACCTCTCCTTCTCCCTGCGGGGCGTGGCAGCGGCACACGATTCCACTTCCTTGGCCTTGGAGTCCTGTCTCCCGAAGAACATCTCCTGCCCCTTGACGGCCACAGCCTCTCTCTGCTGTCTGTCGTACTCCACCAGCTCCCGCCGACATGCCAGTACTTTCTGTCATGGACATACAACAACAGTGTACTCAGGGGTCAGGGTCATACAACAACTGTACTCAGGGGTCAGGGTCATACAACTACTGTACTCAGGGGTCAGGGTCATACAACAACAGTGTACTCAGGGGTCAGGGTCATACAACAACAGTGTACTCAGGGGTCAGGGTCATACAACAACAGTGTACTCAGGGGTCAGGTCATACAACAACAGTGTAATCAGGGGTCAGGGTCATACAACAGTGTACTCAGGGGTCAGGGTCATACAACAACAGTGAACTCAGGGGTCAGGGTCATACAACTGTACTCGGGGTCAGGGTCATACAACAACAGTGTACTCAGGGGTCAGGGTCATACAACAACAGTGTACTCAGGGGTCAGGGTCATACAACTGTACTCGGGGTCAGGGTCATACAACAACAGTGTACTCAGGGGTCAGTGTCATACAACAACAGTGTACTCAGGGGTCAGGGTCATACAACAACAGTGTACTCAGGGGTCAGGGTCATACAACAACAGTGTACTCAGGGGTCAGGGTCATACAACAACAGTGAACTCAGGGGTCAGGGTCATACAACTGTACTCAGGGGTCAGGGTCATACAACAACAGTGTACTCAGGGGTCAGGGTCATACAACTACTGTACTCAGGGGTCAGGGTCATACAACAACAGTGTACTCAGGGGTCAGGGTCATACAACTGTACTCAGGGGTCAGGGTCAAACAACAGTGAACTCAGGGGTCAGGGTCATACAACTACTGTACTCAGGGGTCAGGGTCATACAACAACAGTGTATTCAGGGGTCAGGGTCATACAACAACTGTATTCGTGGTCAGGGTCATACAACATCAGTGTACTCAGGGGTCAGGGTCATACAACAACAGTGTACTCAGGGGTCAGGGTCATACAACAACAGTGTACTCAGGGGTCAGGGTCATACAACAACAGTGTACTCAGGGGTCAGGGTCATACAACAACAGTGTACTCAGGGTTCAGGGTCATACAACAACTGTACTCAGGGGTCAGGGTCAAACAACAGTGTACTCAGGGGTCAGTGTCATACAACTGTACTCAGGGGTCAGGGTAATACAACAACAGTGTACTCAAAGCTGAATTCATAGGTCAGGGTCAGACAATGCTTTACCATCCACACCTCATTAAAAAAAGTCCATGTCTTGCAGAGTAAAAGTATGACAAATAGAACTGTTATTTCTTTATTTAAACTATAAACACCTGAAAAGTAGATTTGGTCACATGGAAAACTTAAGGAATTACGATGTTATCTGGCATTGAAGCTTTGTAATACTAAACACCAATTAACAACTGTCACCTGAATTATCTTGCTTAGTTCATCAAAGGAGGTCTTGCACTCCACACAGTACTTCTGAGCCAGCATCTGGATGGCCTTGTTGACACTGCTGGCCGGAACTCCACCTCCACTGCCCGCGGTGGGAACCTCCTGTCACAATCAGAGTGAGTGATATTTTACGCAGCCTGCAGCAATATTTCATCAGTATCAAGGTGGGGGAACACTCGGGTGGCCCACATGGGAAATGGTACCTGTGTCTTCAGTGTGATGAGCCAATGGTCTAACCATGAGGCTAAACCAGGCCCATCACAATCAGAAATATGTCTTCAACTTGAACAGCATCATTGGTAACATGGATACAAAATATGAGTGAGTGAGTGAGCGAGTATGGTTTTACGCCACTTTTAGCAATATTGCAGCAATATCATGGCGGGGGACACCAGAAATGGGCTTCACACATTGTACCCATGTCGGGAATCGAACCCGGGTCTTCGGCGTGACGAGCGAACGCTTTAACCACTAGGCTACCCGACCGCCCCAGCAAGAATATGAACTGGGCAAAGTCTATTACAATGAACCTGTGCATCAATTGGAGAATAACAAACAAGGACACTTACAACATTTATTCGTGAGGGTACTCCCCAATTTTAACTTTCTACTACTTTATTCTACTTATTACTGATATCTGATTTGAAGAATAATGTTTGAAAAGTCAACCATACAGAGAAACTTCAATAAAGTCATCCCATTGTTCAGATGACATAACGTATCAATTTGTTTGTTTCTTTGTTTGTAAGTTTGTTGTTTCACGCCAGACTCATCAATATTCCAGCTTTATGACTGAGATCTGTAAATAATTGAGTCTGGACCAGACAATCCAGTGATTGACATCATGAGCATCGATCTACGCAATAGAGATACGATAACATGCATCAACCAAGTCAGCGAGCCTGACCACTCGATCCTGTTAGTCACCTCTTACGACATAGTTGCTATCAATTTGTGAACAATATGGGAACAATATGTGAACAATGGATGACAGCATATTGTTTTGTTCTCAACAATGAAGCAATAAGATCCTATAGCTTCATCTAAACAATATCAACTGAGAATCACTAATGCACTAAAGTCAAACTGCAAACATAGGAAAGTTATTACACTTGGGTCTTTCTACCCTGACAGATAATACTGGACATGGTGTTGTGGCCTTACCCCGATCCTGTCAGTGTTGTGTTCCGTCACCTGGATGAGGAGGTTCTCCAGCAGAGGCCGATGAGACTGTAGGTTCTTGTAGATCTTGTCAGCTTTCTCCAACAAGCTGTTGATGGTGCTGATAGCCTGGGAACAAATAAGAAAGACTGATGTCTACAGAGTTCACAACAATTTACATCTATCTTCGTGTCAGATGTTTTGACCTAGTAACTCCATATATGTATTCTATATGCATCTTTATAGCTTTCAATTTAACCATCATCACATAATAATGAGTGTAAGATGTAGTTCACCAAATTTCGTAAATAATTGAGTTATGGCCAGGCAAACCAGTGGTTGATAGCATGAGCAACAACTCATGCCAAGGTCTTGAACTTTGAGTGAGTGAGTATGGTTTTACGCCGCTTTTAGCAATATTCAAGCAATATCACGGCGGGGGACACCAGAAATGGGCTTCACACATTGTACCTATGTCGGGAATCGAACCCGGGTCTACGGCGTGACGAGCGAACGCTTTAACCACTAGGCTACCTGAAGACTCAAAAAACTTTGAAAACTTATGAAGTAATACACTCAAAAGTTCAGAGTGTCAGTGGTTGGTTATATTCCCTTGGACTTAAAATAGATAAATCCAGGTAAATACTCCCATGCCCCGAGGATAGAGATTATTGAAACCCATTATCTATCTTCAAATGATCTGTCAAACTGGAATAAACGCATGGTTATTTGTCCTTACATAGAAGGATGGTGTCTTTATTCAATTGTGTACACAAACAAACTCACCTTCTTGCGGTCGTCTTCACTCTCGATGGGGTCCACCGCACAGCAAGGTTTGGCAGTGAGAGTAAACTCGAACTTTGCATACTTGCAGAAACCACAGGCATTGCACAGGAAGGGATCCTTTTCATCATAGTTAATAGCTCTGAACAGAAAGAGAGGGCGAGGTGAGGCGAGGCGAGGTAAGGCGAGGTGAAAGGAGGTATCAAGATACCAGGTTCAACTTATGTAATGAGTGAGTTGGGTTTAACGCCGCTTTTAACAGTATTCAAGTCATATCACGGCGTGTCAGTTTAATGTGGGAGGAAAGCTGGAAGTGATGCAGGTCTCAGACGTTTACCACTTCGGTGAAACCCACGAGCACGGGTATAGTGCTGACAAACCTAAAAACATAATTGGGGCAAACCGGGATTCGAACCCACAATCATAGGTTTCTGGCGTGCCCAGGGGAGGCAACTCTGCACAGCGAATCGCGGCGCCTTAGGCGACTGGGCCACCCTTGCCCCCCTTATGTAATGATGTGCATGCAGGTGTGTGGGGCTGCTTTTACTATTATGAACTTCTCCTGGCTTTATTGTGAGATCAGTGAGATACCATGCCGGTTTAACATGGATACCCCACTTGGACTCTAAGGTGACCAGTCCTTTGTATTGTCCCCTTAATGGCGAGTGCCAGGCAAGGAAACAACAAGTCCTGTCTTTTAACATCTTCTTGTTTGAAGTGGTCGGGGCATCAAACCAGATACCTTCCGCTCTCTGGGCAAGAACCCTCACTCCCACCCTACAGGCAGTCAGGGGAAAGATTGGTTTTGTTTGTTTGTTGTTTAACGCCGCAATATTCCAGACAGCGGCCTATAAATAATTGAATCTGGACAAGACAAGACGTTGTCACATGGCCCTGGCCTGTGGCAGAAGCACTAGGCTGGCCCCTGGGAACTCTGGGTAGGAGAGTGGTCAACTACTTGAGTGAAAGCAACGATTCTGGTGCTGACAAATCAAGGATGATAACTAGGGTGAATGTGGGATTCACATCTACGAACACAGTGAGTTGGGTTTAACACCGCTTTTAACAGTATTCCAGTTATATTGGGCGTGTCAGCTTAATGTGGGAGGAAAGCCCGAAGTGATGCAGGTCTCAGACGTTTACCACATCGGTGAAACCCACAAGCACAGGCATGGTGCTGACACAACTCCCCACGGCGAATCGCGGCCCCCTACGAAAGAGGATACTTCTAGATATATACACACTCCCGGGGTTGCCTGGGACAGATGGTCGTATTGAACGGACTCCTCACGAGACGTACCTGCACTTGTGACACTGAAACACATTCTCCCCACAGTTCCCGCACACCCCGGGGTTCGCTGGGACAGACGCGCTACAGCGAGGGCACTGAAGAGTCTCTGCTGTTGCTTGTAGGTTGTCAAAGAAGTCAGCATACTCAATCATCAGGTTGCAGGCCACGATAGGAATTGGGAACTCCACCTGAACAAGAAAACATTGTGTACAGTCCAACAAAAACAACCAGAGCTTGACAGTTCTGTTCTCCCCAACCTTTAGGACTATAATGGCTATACTAGTCAGCAACAGTAGCCACAAGTAAAATTGTTTCGGTCTAGTTTTCATAGCTTATGACAACCCAAATGTCAAGAGTAAATCTACTATGCTGGATGGATGCTGAAGGTCCAGCTTAGGCTGACAGCTGAGTAAAATACATGCCATCACTAATGAAGCTACAATTCCAGCACGCTGTAGCTACTTGGACAATGCATGCTATGTGTTGTCCATGTCATGGTCCTAGTCCAAAAAGTAGATAAAAAATAAAAAACTTGTAGAATTTTCCTATTCGGAATATTCTATAAGTAATACGTTACCACTGTTATACCGAGGCTGTTGTCTCCCACAACTGCTGCTATAGCGAAATCTACCACAGAGATCTCAATTACCTCATGCAGCACGTGCGTAGCCACCTAGCTGCCATGTGACACCCTTCACTCTTGTCTCTTGCGAGAGCAAGTGCTCGGGGGACGGACGGGCGGGCAGCAGCCCAGTGGTAACGTATTACTTATAGAATATTCCGAATAGGAAAATTCTACAAATTACATTAAGTAATACGTTACCACTGTTATACCGAGGCTGACTACCACAGTAGGCGGTGGGGAGCACCTACAACCCGAATCCTGACTGCTAGCGTTCCTTCCGACCAGCGGAAGTAAACACCAAGGCGGAAGCACTCGATGCGCATGCACCTAGCTAGGCGTTACCCTATAGGAATACCAAAGCACTGTCAAGCGCATACCGTAAGGCTCAATCGTCATTGCCAAAACGATTGGTGACTCCAAACGGCCCCACTGGATAGGTATTTCATCGCCGCAGCGGATGAGAACACAGTATCCGTGTGAGCTAAATCTTAGATCAGGTTAAACAGTCGAAAAGAGGGAAATTAATTTCATTCAGACCGTATACCCCAGAGCAAGCCTACTTAAAGTATGCATTAGGCGCGTGACCTAATTCCAGTATTTGTAAGCATGCATCACAAGGTTGGGATACACGACAGACAATTAAAGACATAATTGTCAAAATACAAATAAGGACAAAGCACACAAAAAGCCGCCCTCACCTGTGGTGTGAGTGCGCTGGTTTGCGGGACCCCAACTCCTGTACCCACGGCAGTGGGAACATTTGAGTCGACCCAGATTGACCACCGTGCAAGGTCAGACGCCTGAGGAGTTCGGAATTGCGCTGGGCACACCCCTTAGGTGCCTGCTTGCGCCGCGATCCGCGGGCCAAGACGGTGCACACTCTCCACGACGGCATCAGCGACCTGTTTGAGGTAATGATTGGCAAAAACCGAGTCAGAACGCCAGTAACAACCTCGTAATATTCTGTGAACAGAGATATTCGAGTGTAGGGCAAATGTTGCCGCTAGCGCCCTGATCTCGTGCGGGTTTGACCCCGCTACCGGTAACCCCCGAGACCGGTACGCCAGATTGATGACAGAACGAAGCCACAACGCAATCTAGTTGCGAGTTATGTCAACCGTGCGATTAGGGTTACACGATATGAACAGACGGTCACGCCCTTGTCTACGTTCATTCGAAGCCTTAAGATAATACTTAAGGGCCCTAACCGGACACAGCGCTCTGTCCTCAGTATCAGCAGGATGTAAGATTTCTTTGAGTGATCTTACAGTGAAATCTCTCTCCGTTTGCCCGACTCTCTGATTCTTGGCGACGAAGCCCATGAGCAGGCCCAGGCGGACCGCTCCTTCGTCACCCCTATCGAATCGTACCTTGGCGACATCGAGTGCATGAATTTCGGATACACGTGCCGCCGTGGCAAAGGAGAGGAGAAATGCTGTTTTCCAAGTCACATGCCGGAACGAAGCACTATGCAAGGGTTCATACGGAGCTTCCGTAAGTGATTGCAACACTAGGGAAAGATCCCAGGCCGGTGCCCGAAGGCGGCCCTTCTTAAGATCGTGCTGTTTGAAACCCTTGATAATACCCCGTATCACCGGCTCTTTGGAGAGACTGGTACCCATAGCAACGTCCCGTACCGTAGCAACGGACGAGACATAGTTGGCAATGGAACCCCCGGAGAGTTTCCGGGTCTCTCGCAAGTGAGACATGAAACGAGCAATATCCTGCACAGATACCTTATCTGGCGAATGAATGTGATGTTTACAACACCACTTCGTGAAAATAACCCAACGTGCATTATACACCTTCTGGGTAGAATCACGATGCATACTAACGTATGCCCGAGACGCCCGGCGAGAAAAAACTTTACTCCTCAGACGCTCGGTGACAACATCCACGCGTGCAGATTGAACTGCCCTGCGTTTGGATGAAGCTGACGGGTGTGAGGGTGGATCAAGAGATCCGGTCTCACAGGCAGTGGAAGTGGCGACTGCGTGACCTGGGTCAGCAAGTCGGGGTACCACGATCTGTTCGGCCACATGGGCGCGATCAGTAACATTCGACAGCGAACTCCTCGGAGCCGGCTTAGAATGTGTGGTATCAACGCTGTCGGCGGGTAAGCATAAGCGACCAAGCCCGTCCAGTCTAACGCGAGAGCATCGTGATCGATGGCCCTCGGGTCCGGGACTGGTGATACAAACAACGGGAGTTGATTGTTGAACCGCGTTGCGAACAGGTCGACCATCGGACGACCCAAACGTTCGCACAGCCACTGAAACACTACTGGGTTCAGCATCCACTCTGTGGGGCTCGGATCCTGAGGCCTCGATAGAGCATCGGCCAGTACGTTCCGCACACCTGGGATGTGACGGGCGCGTATCTGGCACGGGACACTGTCCACCAGAGCGTAAAACTCGAACGTGAGATCGAGTAGCGAGTGACTGTGGGTTCCCCCCAGTTTGTTCACATAGGACACTACCGTCGTGTTGTCGGTCGCCAGCATGAGCCGGGCGTCGACGAGACGATGCTTCCAGTGATTGACTGCGTTGATCACTGCCTTGAACTCGAGACAAGTGATGTGAAGACCTAGTTCGTCTACGCACCACAGCCCCGAGCTCACCTCCCCCTTTAGATGGGCGCCCCAGCCCACTAGGGAGGCGTCTGTATACAGGGTCAACGTGGCCCGGTAGGGCCGCATAGAGACTCCTGATAAGACAATGTAAGGGACCGTCCACCACTCCAGATGCGGTCGGAGCCGATCCGGGAGGGCGACGGTCGCACTGTTCACCTCCGTTGCTAACAACTGGATTAAAAACCGTTGCAGCGGGCGGAGTTGGAGACGACCCCGTGCGGTGCAGTCCTGGGCTGATACAAGTAGCCCTAACAGCTGTGACCAAAAGTGAACAGTCTGTTGCACCGCTAAGACTTTGGCAATCATCGCCTGAATTTTGTGCCACCGGTCTGGGGGGACAAAGAGGCGATGGGACACCGTGTTGAACCGACCTCCGATGAACAGCAAGTTCTGAGAAGGGGTTAACTCGCTCTTGGGGAGATTGATAATCCACCCAAATTGCTCCAAGAGCCGACGTGCGAAATCGAGATGGCGTGACAGGGTGTCCGTCATTCGATTTGCTACTAGCGAGTCGTCCAGGTACGCGAAGTACCGGACACCCCTCCTGTGGAGGAACCCCACTATGGGGGTGGTTAACCGGGTGAACAGCCAGGGAGCGGACGTGTGAATCATTCTGAGTTCGGCACTGTCCTACTTGGGAACGAGAAATATCCTGGAGTAAAACCCCGGTGTTATTTCTGGTAGAGCTAACTCCCGTACTGCCCCTTCTCCACCAACCTGCCGATGGCATCGGCGAGGATGGGAAGATCGGTTTCCGAATCGAAACCTGCCAACGGGGCAACGGTGAGCGGCGGATTCGCTTTGAGATCAAGCCGATAGCCGTACCGAATCGTGTTGACCACCCACGGGTCGTCGAACACTTGTTCCCAATTCTCCCAGTAAGTCTGGAGTCTGGCTCCCACTGGGGAAGGAGAGGGGGCCCTGACAGGTTGCGGCAGGCGCAACTGTCCAGGGCCAAGTGACTCGGGTTCGCCTAAGGGCCAACCGAAGTTGGCGCTGTCGGCATACGAACCCCTCCAATGAGAGTCACCTGGAGGGGCCCTTGCCGTCTGTCGACGACTTGGGCTTCCCCAGTTCCCCGTCTTCCCGCGAAAGGGCAGCTGATTGCCCATACCGGAGCCCTCAGGGCGGGGCTACTTCCCAGAGGAAGAAGAACCCGACCCCTTAGACCTACATGCCGCAGCAGCCTGGGGCGCGCTCCGGTTAGGAGCGGCACCCAGGCGCCTATGCAGGGACCCAACAAGAGCAAATGTGTGCCGAGAGTCCTCGGCAACGTACTCCAGGGAAGCATTTAAACTGAGCAGGCAGTTGTAAATGCGCTGGTCACGGTCCGTGGGAGAACCTTCGACCAGACGGGCCGCTGCAGCCAAGTAAGTGTCTCCGTGAGACATGGAATGCCGAGCGAGGGCGTCCAGCTGGTGCAAAGTAGCTTGCGTTACCGTAGCAGCCGGTGGGGCACGGACACCCAACCGCTCAACATGGGCCTCCGCGGTAGGACCAGCCTCGGGAAAGGCAAGGTCATGTACCGGGAATAAACCCTTTCTCCACGACGTCGGAGGCAACGGGAGACCCCGACCGGAGGCCGCCGCGAAGGCGTTCTCCAAGGAAGGCTTGAAACCGCGCAGCAGGGTCGATGCGGGGAAAGCCGTGTCGGAAGACTCATCGTGTACCTCGGCGGAACCCACAGTCGTGGATTCCCCGCGGTACCGGCCGGGGCATGTCCTCAAAGAAGTCATAAACCATGGCCACGCGGTCCTAAACCGATAGCGGGAGCAACGGTTCGGGGGAAGGACCGGTGACCACGGGAGCCGCCGCCGTACCGGTGGACCCCGCGTCCGACCCCGCGGCCACCGAAGTGGCCGGGGACGGAACAGCCAGCGGCCTATCCTGAGATAAGGCCGCCAGCTTGGAGTCCACAAGTTATGCAAGTAATGCAGCGACGGAATCCCCGGACAGCACACGGGCCGCCAAGAGATCCGCCGCTTTACCGGTGGACCCCGTGTCCGACCCCGCGGCCACCGAAGAGGCCGGGGACGGAACAGCCAGCGGCCTATCTTGCGATAAGGCCGCCAGCTTGGAGTCCACAAGTTTCGACAACAATGCGGCGACGGAATCCCCAGACAGCCCGAGGGCCGCAAGGGGATCCGCCGCAGCCGAGGAGGTGGTACCCGCACGGGGACCCCGACCGGACGAACCGGCCACCACAGGGGTGGAGACGGACTGTACGTACAGCCGGTACCGCTCAAACTCCGCAGGCCCCAGACCTTCGCACAGGATGCACCGGGTGTCCCCGCAAGGAACCCTGCACCGCGGGCAACGATCGTGGGGATCCCGGGACGACAAAAACTTTCTGCACACCCCACAACTCCGAGGAGCAGGGGTAGAGGGGGTGGATACTGGGGACATATCCATGTCAGACATTGATTGTTTGCTATAAACAAAGAACAAAACATGGTTTCAACGCACGCACCACAATGATTCACAAACGAACATTTTCACAAGAAAATAAACGAGCAATGTGAACATATAACATACACATATAACTTTTATTAAAGAAATAAGTTATGTTAACCCCCAAAACATACAAGAACAGGGAAAACGTAAAACACAACGTGCATACGCGAACCCCGCAAGTATATAGAAAAAAGGGCGGGAAAAATTTTCCGTTTGGCAGGAAAATTATAACCAAGCGTAGCTACCACAACGACCCATAAAAGCACAGTTTATTAGAGAATAAACTATAATAAATATCACCAAATCTTCAAGGAACGCTTCAGCAGGAGAAAACACGTCTTGCTAAGCAGACGAAGGAGACAAGAGTGAAGGGTGTCACATGGCAGCTAGGTGGCTACGCACGTGCTGCATGAGGTAATTGAGATCTCTGTGGTAGATTTCGCTATAGCAGCAGTTGTGGGAGACAACAGCCTCGGTATAACAGTGGTAACGTATTACTTAATGTAATAAACTAGACAAATAGTGAGCAGGGCTCACTAACACCTTCAACTTTGACTCCAACATATTTCTAAGTTCAAAACAGGAAAAAAAGAAATATTTTCTCAGAAAATCCACTTATCGAAATCAATTATACGCCCAATAAGAATAAATGAAGAAGTTCTGACATTAAAGGTGGCACAAATGTCTCTGATAGGTATAAAAAGTGTTCACCAATTTTGAAACAAAGTTAGAGATTGAACAAATAAAATATCCTTGGAATGATGGATGAACAGTATTCCTTGGTGTAACTATATAACCCCACCCTATTCGGTCAGGGTATAAAAACGTATTGGCAAGCAGACTCAGAAGGTATAGACAAAGTCTGTTACGGCAAACTTGGATTGTTCTTTCCAGCCAACACTAGCTGTGACCCTCACCTTGACATCAGTCTGTCCAGCTGTCAAGGTCACCTTCCTCGCCTTGTGCCACAGACCAGGTCTGAAACGTAGCATCAGTCAAAGTGTGATACAAGAACATGTTGTCCAACAACAAATGTAGGGGACAAAGTACTGACCTCCAGAAAACTGACCACTCTCAAACTTCCCGAAAATATTAAACACACAGTATTATCAGCCATATTTGTGTTTTCAGATCTTAATTGTATAAGGAGCAAAAATGTCTTATGCAAGCCTTTGGTCCCCGTCAGTGAGAGAGCATGGTTTTTATGCCGCTTTTAGCAATATTCGGGGAACACCAGAAATGGGCTTCACACATTAACCCATGTCGGGAACCGAACCCGGGTCTTTGGCATGATTAGCGAACACTTTTACCACTAGGCTACCCGACCGCCCCAGTCCCCGTAAGTAGTCGGAAACTGGTTTTGGTTGGTTGGTTTTGTTGTTTAACGCCGCACTCAGCAATATTCCAGCTACATGACAGCGGTCTGTAAATAATCGAGTCTGGACCAGACAATCCAGTGATTAATATCATGAGCATCGATCCACGCAATTGGGATCGATGACATGCATCAACCAAGTCAGCGAGCCTGACCACCCGATCCCGTTAGTCGCCTTTTACGACAAGCATAGTCACCTTTTACGGCAAGCATGGGTTGCTGAAGACCTATTCTACCCCGGAATCTTCACGGGTCCAGATAAATCCCTGGGGAAGCTATAGTATATTACCTGTTCTTGAGCTCCACCACAGCCTGGACTGAGCGGTTGTTGTAGTAGATGTTCAGACTTCTAACCTGCACAAAACCAAATAGACGAGTGGAAACTATTCTAAATTTATCCATATTTGGTGGAGTTGAAATATTGATCAATTAGTTCCAAATGTTTATGAGTGACGATGAAACTATCAAATTTGGTTCAGTACATGGGAAATTCGGTCAATATATGTTGAAGTTATCCAGAAGTCCCAGTAACACCAGCAACACAAACACCACTCACCATCTTCGTCCGCTTCAGGTCACTGATGCGGAGCGATATCTTGGAGATGTTGTGACTGCCAACCAGTTTCACAATCTGCGTGGTTGTCGTGAACTTGGAATCCACTTTGATAGCAGACAGCTTCAGACTCTGCAAGACCAATTTGACTTTGATTAAAGTATAACTTTGGTATTTGAGTGACAATCATGAGATTATTACCTATTATGCCATGGCATGCCCACATACCCTGGGGACCTATTCTGCCCTGGTATCCCCAAAGGGCGACAAGCATGGGATACAGAGGACCTATTCTACCCTGGTATCCCCGCAGGGTGACAAGCATGGGATACAGAGGACCTATTCTACCCTGGCATCCCCACAGGGCGACAAGCAAGGGATACTGAGGACCTATTCTGCCCTGGTATCCCCGAAGGGTGAAAAGCATGGGATACAGAGGACCTATTCTACCCTGGCATCCCCGCAGGGTGACAAGCATGGGATACTGAGGACCTATTCTACCCTGGCATCCCCAGAGGGTGACAAGCATGGGATACTGAGGACCTATTCTACCCTGGCATCCCCGCAGGGTGACAAGCATGGGATACTGAGGACCTATTCTACCTTGGCATCCCCACAGGGCGACAAGCATGGGATACTGGGGACATTCAAATTTGGGACAAGAAATACAACGTATTGACAACAAAATTATTGGGCAGTATAGACTACACATCCGAATTCCACGTGATAATGTGTTGTGAACCAGTCAGACTGCAGCACACACATCCATTCCGGTTATGATATAGAATTCTTCCATACTAACAGCACCCATCTGGTTCTATAATAACACAGTGAGGAAGACTATTTCCTCCACTTCTACAGGCAGCTACTCACAGCATAGGGGACCTCTGGGTTGTTGCAGACTAGGCACGGGTCACTCTCCAGGTAGTAGCCATCGAAGTCCACCAGCCCCTGCAGCATGCTGCACACACAACAACAAGCTGTTTACAAGCCTTAGAGACACACATAATAGCAAATAATGTCAAGTGACCAGTTTAATTTCTGACTTATGCGTATATCGCTTTGTGGACCAAAATTGACGGATTTCGACCAAACACTGACGATGCGATGATGGTAGGCTAGACTCAACTGACAGCTTTACAGTGGAAACTGTTAAATAGCCAAGTTAGTAAAACCAACATCCCGATAGGTTGAAATTGTATTACCAGTAGATCAATGTGTCGTTGAATTGCTGATAAATTGTATATATATATCTATATATCATGTATATATGTTATGAAAATGACACTTGAGTTTATTCTTTTATTCATGCATGAACATCCAGCACCTCAGACATGAGGTGGGCGTTGCCAAATGCAAATGTCCGATTGGCCGAAATATATTTCCGGATCCCTGGGCTCTACAGATCAACCAGTCACTTTCTAACCATTTTGAAAAAAGAAAAAGATGTACAGGGTAGTAATTATAATAAAAATCTATCATAAAATTTAGTAACATTGAAGTTAAGGCTATGTTTGTCCACTTCACCAAATCATGCAAAATGGTAAATATCATTCATCTTCCTAAGTGAGTATTTGAAAGTGCATTAACAGACACACTGCTACTGCTGGACTTGTCTGACAGCCCTGAACTTACTTGTAGATGGTTGCGTTGGGGTGGTTGGCCAACACCTGGTTCTGTTCCCGAAGCACGGACACAGCCTTCTCCAGGTACTCCCCAACCTGGAACACAGTCATCCTGTTACACCTCACATACATCAGGAATGATTGAGTGAGTTGGGCTAAAACAACTGTCAGCAGTAGATGTTTGATGGCAATGCTGCAGACAGTAATATTCGAGCTAAACTATGATGGCCTGTAAATAATTGTGTCTTGACCAGACAAGCCAGTGATTGATGTAATGAGCAATGCCCCTGCTCTCGGATTACAATGATATGCAATGAATCAAGTGACATATCCTCATGCATAAGTGATCTCTCACGTGCAGACTACCATGGACCTAGTCTAACTTGGAATTATATCCAGGATTGTTCTAGTTATATTTGTTTGTTTGTTGTTTAATGCCGCACTCAGCAATATTCCAGATGTATGACGGCTGTCCGTAATTAATCAAGTCTGGACCAGACAATCCAGTTATTGAAATCATGAGCATCGATCTACGCAGTTGGGATATGATGACATGCATCAACCAAGTCAGCAAGCCTGACCACCCGATCAAGTTCGTCACCTCTTACGACAAGCATAGTCACCTTTTACGGCAGGCATGGGTTGCTGAAGACATATTCTACCCCGGATCTTCATGGGTCTTTAGCTATATGATGTCAGCTTGAGTGGAAAGCCAAATATGACGCACGTCTAAGAGACCAAAAAGCACAGATATGGTAGTGACAGTGTTTAATTCGGACAAATCTGGGATTTTAAAACCCACCCCTGATCAAGCACAGCTAAGGAACACAACTCTGCAGAGCAAATGTGGCACTTAGACCACAAGACCTCCAACCTCCAACCAAATTCATTTAGGGAAAGCCTGAAAATCACATAGATGAAGTACTGCAGTCTTCTTACCCTCTTGTCGGGGATGTCCGGCGTCTTGAGCACAAAGTAGCCGAGGAGGTCGACAAACTGAGCAGCCTTCCTGCCGTAGATGGGCAGCTTTGTCCACAGTTCCCACATGATGTTCAGGATCGTCTCCTGTTCCTCGGACGTCGTATTCCTGAAAAGTGAGTGAGTGAGTGAATGAGTGTTTGTTTGTTTGTATTTTTTGTTTATTTGCTGTTTAACGCTGCACTCAGCAATATTCCAGCTAAATGACGGTGGTCTGTAAATAATTGAGTCTGGACCAGACAATCCAGTGATTTACATCATGAGCATCGATCCACGCAATTGGGATATGATGACATGCATCAACCAAGTCAGAGAGCCTGACCACCCGATCCCGTTAGTTGCCTCTTACGACAAGCATAGCCGCCTCTCACGGCAAGCATGAGTTGCTGGAGATCTATTCTACCCGGATCTTCACGGGAGTGAATGAGTGAACACAATCTACCAATGCAATAAACCTCTATTCCACATAGTTGCATTTTATGACAAGCATAGGTTACTGGAGAACCCAGAATCCCCACAAGATGGATATGACATGGACACTACCTTCTGTCAATTTTGTTTTCATGCAAGAATCCACGCCGTCAAGGTAGGATGACACGCAGATCACAGACCATGCTCGGAACTTACAACATTAATTCCCTCGGAACTGATAACCTATAATTTATTGTTACCTGTAAGTATTTCTTTAATTACCTGTAAATCTGTAGCACGAGACTGTGGGCCAACCATCTGTTGCCACTGGAGTTCGACTCCAGGAGGAATGTCCTGATGAATTTGATGAAGAGCCCTTTGTCAAGCACCCGGTTCAGCAGCTTCACAAGGGTGATGCACAGAGTCTCATCAAACTTCTGACTCTCCTCACAGTCTGCAGGGAGAGCAAAAACAGTGTCAGAGTGAGTGAGTGGGTGAGTGAGTGAGTGAGTGAGTGAGTGAGTGAGTGAGTGAGTGAGTGAGTGAGAGGGTGGGTGGGTGAGTGAGTGAGAGGGTGGGTGAGTGAGTGAGTGAGTGAGTGAGTGAGTGAGTGAGTGAGAGGGTGGGTGAGTGAGTGAGTGAGTGAGTGAGTGAGTGAGTAAGTGAGTGAGTGAGTGAGAGTGTTTGAGTGAGCGAGCGAGCGAGTGAGCAAGTGGGTAGAGTTTCACTAAATATTTAAGCTTCATGTGGGAAGCCTAAAGTGACACAGGTTGTAAGTATCTGTATATACATAGCTTCTGTAACTTATGTATCTAATTGAAATATTGAAAGAGAATGACACAAATGTGTCTCGTAAGTGAATGTTTATATTCCTGCCATATGACAACAGCTCATCAATTATAGGGTCAATCTGAACTCATTTCATCTGGGTCATTGACATTATCAACCATGGCAAATACCCCATCCTCATTTTGCTCTCATTCCCAATATGGGATACTGGCGACCTATGTGCCCGGAAATTCCAAAACTTTCTAAGGGTTAAAGAAATGTCACATTACTGTCACCTTCTTCAGTCTTGTTTTTGTTCTTGTCCTTCTTCTGTTTGACGGGTGACGTTGTGGAACTACTGGAGGAGCTGGCGGCGTTCTGGGCCGGGGAGGGCTTCACACCACACAGCGCAGACTGCAGCAGCTGCAGCAAGGTGGGAGCCACACCCTCATCCAGGGAGATGCTTGCCTTTACCAAGAAGGGGAGGGTGTCTGAAGAACAATACAAGTGTCAAACATATTCTCAGAGATGGTCATTAGGAACTATACAGAACAAAAAATGTTCAGGATCATGCATATTTTGGGGGGCATTTTTATGAAAGTGTGTGTCTCCACTACAAAAAATATGCTTTATACTTTTTTCTTTTTTGTAGCTGGAGACCTATATATGCTCTTTGTTTGTTTGTTGTTTAACATCTCACTCAGCAATATTCCAGCTATATGACGGCGGTATGTAAATAATTAGGCCTGACAATCCAGTGATTGACATCATGAGCATCGATCTACACTATTGGGATACGATGACATGCATCAACCAAGTCAGCGAGTCTGACCACCTGATCCTGTTAGTCACCTCTTACGACAAGCATGGTTGCCTTTTACGGCAAGCATGGGTAGCTGGAGATCTATTCTCCCCAGATCTTCACGGGAGTGATTGAGTGAACACAATCTACCAATGCAATAAGCCTCTATTCCACATAGTTGCATTTTATGACAAGCATAGGTTACCGGAGAACCCAGCAAAGACCTATTGCTGAAGACCTATTCAAACCCGGCTTTTCACAGGTTCCAATGTAAGCCGTTAAGTTGATTTAATTTCTTATGATGCAAAGTTCCCATGATAATATGTCATCAAAGTAGTTTATTACTATGTTCAGATTAACAGCGAGAGAATGTTGTTAAATGCTGCAGACTAGTTGTTGTTGTTGTTGTTGTTTAACACCGCACTCAGCAATATTCCAGCTATATGACGGCAGACCACCCGATCCGGTGAGTCGCCTCTTACGACAAGGATAGTAGCCTTTTACGACAAGCATGGGTTGCTGAAGACCTATTCTACCCGAATCTTCACAGGTCTCGTTATATATCAAAGCAGACTAGTTGTATCATGTCGCCTGAATATCATCAGACCAAAAAAACCAGTGGTGGATACTATGAGCAACATCAGATCAGGGTGCAACGACAAGCAAGCAACCCAGTCACTGAGCCGGACCAATAGATTATCTGAGTCACCTCTTACAACAAGACAATGCTTTGAATCAACCCAGTCACTGAGCCGGACCAATAGATTATCTGAGTCACCTCTTACAAGACAATGCTTTGAATCAACCCAGTCACTGAGCCGGACCAATAGATTATCTGAGTCACCTCTTACAACAAGACAATGCTTTGAATCAACCCAGTCACTGAGCCGGACCAATAGATTATCTAAGTCACCTCTTACAACAAGACAATGCTTTGAATTAATCCAGTCACTGAGCCGGACCAATAGATTATCTAAGTCACCTCTTACAACAAGACAATGCTTTGAATCAACCCAGTCCCTGAGCCGGACCAATAGATTATCTAAGTCACCTCTTACAACAAGACAATGCTTTGAATCAACCCAGTCACTGAGCCAGACCAATAGATTTATCTAAGTCACCTCTTACAACAAGACAATGCTTTGAATCAACCCAGTCCCTGAGCCTGACCAATAGATTTATCTAAGTCACCTCTTAGATTATCTGAGTCACCTCTTACAACAAGACAATGCTTTGAATCAACCCAGTCACTGAGCCGGACCAATAGATTATCTGAGTCACCTCTTACAACAAGACAATGCTTTGAATCAACCCAGTCACTGAGCCGGACCAATAGATTATCTGAGTCACCTCTTACAACAAGACAATGCTTTGAATCAACCAAGTCACTGAGCCAGACCAATAGATTATCTGAGTCACCTCTTACAACAAGACAATGCTTTGAATCAACCAAGTCACTGAGCCGGACCAATAGATTATTTGAGTCACCTCTTACAACAAGACAATGCTTTGAATCAACCCAGTCACTGAGCCGGACCAATAGATTATCTGAGTCACCTCTTACAACAAGACAATGCTTTGAATAAACCCAGTCACTGAGCCGGACCAATAGATTATCTGAGTCACCTCTTACAACAAGACAATGCTTTGAATCAACTCAGTCACTGAGCCGGACCAATAGATTATCTGAGTCACCTCTTACAACAAGACAATGCTTTGAATCAACCCAGTCACTGAGCCGGACCAATAGATTATCTGAGTCACCTCTTACAACAAGACAATGCTTTGAATCAACCCAGTCACTGAGCCGGACCAATAGATTATCTGAGTCACCTCTTACAACAAGACAATGCTTTGAATAAACCCAGTCACTGAGCCGGACCAATAGATTATCTGAGTCACCTCTTACAACAAGACAATGCTTTGAATCAACTCAGTCACTGAGCCGGACCAATAGATTATCTGAGTCACCTCTTACAACAAGACAATGCTTTGAATCAACTCAGTCACTGAGCCGGACCAATAGATTATCTGAGTCACCTCTTACAACAAGACAATGCTTTGAATCAACCCAGTCACTGAGCCGGACCAATAGATTATCTGAGTCACCTCTTACAACAAGACAATGCTTTGAATCAACCCAGTCACTGAGCCGGACCAATAGATTATCTGAGTCACCTCTTACAACAAGACAATGCTTTGAATCAACTCAGTCACTGAGCCGGACCAATAGATTATCTGAGTCACCTCTTACAACAAGACAATGCTTTGAATCAACCCAGTCACTGAGCCGGACCAATAGATTATCTAAGTCACCTCTTACAACAAGACAATGCTTTGAATCAACTCAGTCACTGAGCCGGACCAATAGATTATCTGAGTCACCTCTTACAACAAGACAATGCTTTGAATCAACTCAGTCACTGAGCCGGACCAATAGATTATCTGAGTCACCTCTTACAACAAGACAATGCTTTGAATAAACCCAGTCACTGAGCCGGACCAATAGATTATCTGAGTCACCTCTTACAACAAGACAATGCTTTGAATCAACCCAGTCACTGAGCCGGACCAATACATTATCAGAGTCACCTCTTACAACAAGACAATGCTTTGAATCAACTCAGTCACTGAGCCGGACCAATAGATTATCTGAGTCACCTCTTACAACAAGACAATGCTTTGAATCAACTCAGTCACTGAGCCGGACCAATAGATTATCTGAGTCACCTCTTACAACAAGACAATGCTTTGAATAAACCCAGTCACTGAGCCGGACCAATAGATTATCTGAGTCACCTCTTACAACAAGACAATGCTTTGAATCAACCCAGTCACTGAGCCGGACCAATACATTATCAGAGTCACCTCTAGCCTATGTCCCTACAGTTTCACAGCACAGAGACCTTCATGCATGCCCTCACCTTGTGCCTGCTCACAATAAGTCTGCCAGTTGCAGGGACGAGATGAGGCGATTTCGTACACCACTTTCAGATGTTCAATCTGAAATAAAACAAGTTATTGAGTGATATTGAACAAATGGAAGTGTATGTCGCATGGCAAAAAATGATTCAAACCCATGCTAAGCAGCGTAATGTTGGGGAGACTCTACCATGGTAAGCAGTGTAATGTAGGGGGAACTCTACCATGGTAAGCAGTGTTATGTAGGGTAGACTCTACCATGGTAAGAAGTGTTATGTAGGGGAGACTCTACCATGGTAAGCAGTGTTATGTCGGGGGAGACTCTACCATGGTAAGCAGTGTTATGTAGAGGAGACTCTACCATGGTAAGCAGTGTTATGTAGGGGAGACTCTACCATGGTAAGCAGTGTTATGTAGGGGAGACTCTACCATGGTAAGCAGTGTTATGTAGGGGAGATTCTACCATGGTAAGCAGTGTTATGTAGGGTAGACTCTACCATGGTAAGCAGTGTTATGTAGGGGAGACTCTACCATGGTAAGCAGTGTTATGTAGGGGAGATTCTACCATGGTAAGCAGTGTTATGTAGGGTAGACTCTACCATGGTAAGCAGTGTTATGTAGGGGAGACTCTACCATGGTAAGCAGTGTATCGTAGGGGAGACTCTACCATGGTAAGCAGTGTTATGTAGGGGAGACTCTACCATGGTAAGCAGTGTATCGTAGGGGAGGATGACGCCATGGGGGATGATGTCGGCTCCGACGTCCAGTCCACCCTTCTCACAGATGTCGACCACAGACTGGAGGTTGCTCTCGATGGCGTGCATGTCACGCAGCTGTCGGTATTTCTCCTTTGATCCACAAATGAACAGCAGCAGCTAGAAAGAGGGAGATTCAGTCAGGTTTCCACCGAGCATACAAGAACAGGGGGCCATCAGGACTCACTGCAAGTCTGTTTCATAGAGCATAACTGAGCCTACAAGTCATAACAAAGAATATTATCAAGAACATCGTTGCACTGTAGATGACTGGCCACAATTCCTCCATTGAGGAAATGTGCAAATATACCTAGATATACATATCCACCTGTCTTGTTCAGTCACTTCAGTCTCCAATTTCCAAATTGTTTCAGTCTATGAGTCTGAACGGCCTGTTTCTCAGATATAAGTCACTTTTTTTTAAGCTTAGCTAGCACACAGAAATATATTAATTTGACCAGGGCCTTAGACTAAGTTATGCTTCACCTGTACATATACAGAAAACTATGGTTATAACAAACTCAAAGGGACCACCATAGTTCATTATAAGCATATACACAGGATATAAACAGCAAATGTCCACGACAAAAAACAACAGTACATTATATCCATCAGTTCATTATAAGCGTGTTCGGTATCAATGTAGTTTACTGTAGTATGATAAAATGCAAGGCTGATGAACAGCCTGAACAAACATGGCAACATGTCAGGGTTAGAAACTAACAGTTTTTGTCCACTAGTCCTTATAATGATAACATATAGCAAAACCCTTAAAATGGGCCAATTTCTACTAGTCCTTAGGATACCTTTACTATTGGGCAGTTTGATAAGGACTACAGGACTAGTGCCAATTTCTAAAGCTGCATGTTCAGATAACTTTTTGAGGACTTTCAAAATAATTTTTGTTCCTACCTAGAAAAAAACCCTTGTAAACTAAGAAATGAACACAAAGTATGACCTGACATTGTCAGTACCCAAAGCCTCCTGTTTCCCTTGTCTGGAAAAGTAGGGGCCCTAGATGATCTATATTCTAAATAAATACAAAACCTTTATGCTACAAATACCTCTGCATGTTATTAATATGTCAGCTTACCTTCCTCACTTGTCTCTTCACAAATGGCGTCTGTTGTGTCATCAGATACTGAAACAGTCCATGGCATAATGCTATCAGACTTATAATCAGACGTTTGACGATTCACTGATACATCAAATTTTGATTCGACTAAATTTGTTTTGTATGTCATGGCTATTTGTTTAAAAACTTTCAGTTTAAAATAAGAAAAACAAGGAGAAAAGAAACAAAAAGCTTTTGATATGAGTTTTATAATGAAAGTGTTTGATCTCAACAGTTTTTCTTCATGCAGTTTATCTATTTTCATGTAATTTAATTCAGATATTAATAGGTTTGGACAATTCATGCTCTTTTCAAGGCCCTTTATCAATTTTCATGGCTTTTCAGGGCAGAATCTAAATGCAAAGACTCTTCAAGAAAGAATTCAAAATTTTCCCAAACCTGTTTGTACCTGCTTAACATAGGACTAATGACATCTGAAGATCTAAGACCTAGGTGACGTTGTACTCACCTCTGACAGCACTGAGTGCCAGTGGGGCTCGAAGGAGGCACTGGGCACATTATGTACAGCATCTGCAACTTTCTTCAGCTGCAAGTAGGAGGGGTGTATACATCAGCATGAATGTAACGTCAGATGTCATTGGTCTTACATGAGGAAAGAGAACTTGAGATTGCAGCTCAAGTAGTTAGTTTACTGCAGCTTCAAGATGAGCTTGTAAAAGTAAGAACATGCACATAAACATTAGCAAAAACATTATGTCGGCAAATTTGAAGTGAGTGAGTGAATATTGTTTTACGGAGCAATATCACAACCAGTTTATCTGCCTGTCAATAAAGAGTTAAAAAACATGAGAGCTCTGCTCCACAAAACGATCTTAGCACCACAATTGTTGTAAGTGTGTTAATGTATGGAAGTTGTGATTGAAGGAAGATGAAGATTGTGACTGTGTCTTCTCTCACCTGGTAGGGCAGCCGGAGCACCATCTCTGTCAGCAACTGGGGGTAGTCCTCAAACACGTCATTAGCATGACCCTTAACATACTGGCGGAGAAAGAAGGGGGACATGTCGGGGGGTGGGCAGTTGGGGTGTGGCTTCAACAGCTGACCGGGGGTAGAGTTACCCTCCTCCTGCAACAAACAGTAACATATGATCATAAGGTGAAGGTCGGATCATAAGGTGAAGGTCAGATAATAAGGAGAAGGTCGGATAATAAGGTGAAGGTCGGATAATAAGGTGAAGGTCAGATCATAACATGATGGTCGAACCAGAAGATGGTCCATGCAGCTAAGTTTCATTGTCACTACTTTCTAGCAGCCTTTTTTTTAAAATAAACACTCGGGAATAGAATGCTACTCTCCTGAAATCATTTACCAGACAGGTATTTCACAAAGGTTTGGGGCAGTTAAGGTATGAAAAACAGTGACTGAGTGAATAATTTTGTTTGAGGCTGTAGTCATCAATATTACAGCTAAATAATTACATCCTGGACACACGAACTAGTGGTCGATAGTATGAACAATCATTTGGGTATAATGTCACAACTAGCCAGGGTCGGACATTGCATTGCCCCAGTCAATTACATGAATTGGGTTTGGGGACCTACACTCTACCCAAGAATCCCTACAGGGTGTGTCAGTGTACCTCTGGCGTGGAGTAGTTCTTCCAGTAGGGCAGGAGGTTGCGCAGAACCTGCATACAGTACTCTATGGCATCACTGGACAGCAGGGACGTCGCTGTGCTGTTGCTCACAAAGGACAGGCACTGTCACAGAAAGGTGTCAACACTATAGAAGCTGTAGACAAGTACAGAGTAGCTATCAAATGATATTAAAATAGTGCCACAACACTCACCAGGATTTGTTGTTTGTTTTTTGCTTAACACCACACTCAGACATATTCCAGCTATATGACGGTGGTTGGAAAATAATGGAGTCTGGACAAGACAATCCAGTGATTGACATCATGAGCATCAATCCACACTATTGGAATACGATGACATGCATCTACCAAGTCAGCGAGCCTGATCATCGCCTCTTACGACAAGCATAGTTGCCGTTTACAGCAAGCATAGATTGCTGAAGACCTATTCAACCCCACTTGGATATGTAGCCAACAGTTTAAAACACTGACAGCCATTGAACAAAACTTATTGTCGGCACTGATAATAAAATATTTTGTGCTTAAATACTAGAAAAACTAACACTGAGATCAAAATAACTAAACAAAATGTGATGTGACAATTTTCAGATAACTTAAGATAATGGTAAAAAACAAATCAAACAAAACTAGCTAAATCAAATGTCATTACATTATGCCCGATGTCTGACACCTGACTCTCAACGCTGGATGGTTGAAGGCCTCTTCTGGTTCGAGACAGCAGGACGCTGTGCACTGAACTCACCCGATGTCTAACACCGGATGTACCCGATGTCTAACACCTGACTCACCTCGCTGGATGGTTTAGTGCCTGCTCTGGTTCTAGACAGCAGGACGCTGAGCAGCCTAAACTTCACTTCACCTAAACTCACCAGGGTGTCATTGTACAAAATAACTTTAGCGCTACAAATGTTGTAAGTCTACGTTAAGTGTTATGATAACCTTGTGCTAAGACTGCTTTTTACAACGGCACCCTGATGTCTCACACCTGACTCATCTAATGTCTAACACCTGACTCACCTCGCTGGATGGTTTAGTGCCTGCTCTGGTTCTAGACAGCAAGATGCTGTGCACTGAACTCACCCGATGTCTAACACCTGACTCACCCGATGTCTAACACCTGACTCACCTCGCTGGATGGTTTAGTGCCTGCTCTGGTTCTAGACAGCAGGACACTGAGTAGCCTCAGCAGAATCAGCTTCACCTCAAACTGCCGAGTCCGTGTCTCGATGTTCTCCAGGCCCTGAAGTCATAAAGTATAAAGAATGATGTCTCCATGTGTAGATTTAACAGGTGTGATCAGTATATGACTGACTGAGTTAGGCTTAATGTTGCTTTGAATAATATTTCAGTCACTGCATGAGCAAGGATCATCATCAGTGCGAATCTTGGATTCAAATCAATGATCAGCAAATCCTGGAACTGCTCAAGGGATGCAACTCTGCACTGAATTGTAGTGAGTGAGTGAGTGAGTTGGGTTTAACGCCGCTTTTAACATTATTCCAGTTATATCACGGCGTGTCAGCTTAATGTGGGAGTAAAGCCCGAAGTGATGCAGGTCTCAGACGTTTACCACTTCGGTGAAACCCACGAGCACGGGTATGGTGCTGACAAACCTAGAAACATAATTGGGGCGAACCGGGATTCGAACCCACAATCATAGGGTTCTGGCGGCCCAAGGGACGCAACTCTGCACAGCGAATCGCGGCGCCTTAGACGACTGGGCCACCCCTGCCCCAGCACTGAATTGTAATGCCCAAGACCACAAGCTTTAACTTCAAACAGTGCCATGCAAATGACAGACAGTAAACAGAATCACAGTCCATTTTGACTTGCCTGTCCAGAGAGGTCCAGTTCCTTCAGGATGATGGTCAGCAGGTTGTCCAGGGCTGCTCTGTCCTTATCCTCCTCATTGTCCAAGTCAGAGGTCAGCATCAGCAAAACCTGACAACACAATATGTCACATTGTATACCGACGAGTCACGGTTAGGCTTTTTCAGTTTGTTGTTGAACTCCTCATTCTCCAATATTCAAGCCCTATGGCAATAGTCTTTAACTAAAAACTAAAAAACTAACTAAATGTGTCTAGACAAGACAAATAGGTGACTATATTATGATCAACATCCTCGGTGAATTATGACAAGTCACCAAGTCTGAACATCGAATCTACCTTGTTTGCTTGGGACTAATTCTAATCCGTACTTCTAACGGATTATCATCAGCGGAAGTGGTTGTAATTTAGACTATCAAACATGCTTGATTTTGTGCAATCGTATTAATGCTTCTTGATCTATTTATTTACAGACTTGGCTGAAAAAAAATATTCACATGTGTTCACATTACCAAGCATGACTTTCATTCCAAGGCTTTACGTACCTGCATGAAAGGGATGGCCCGAACTCCTCCCACGTCTCTGATCTCGGGCAAATACTGCAGGAGTCTCTCCAACAACTGCAGTCTCAGGCTGTGGAGCCTGACAACACACACAAACATTTTTTTTGGTTTGTTGTTTTACGCCCCACTCAGCAATATTCCAGATATATGACAGCAGTCTGTAAATAATCGAGTCTGGACCAGACAATCCAGTGATTTACATCATGAACATCGATCCACGAGCCTGACCACCCGATCCCATTAGTCGCCTTTTACGACAAGCATAGTCGCCTTTTACGGCAAGCATGGGTTGCTGAAGACCTATTCTACCCCGGATCTTCACGGGTCACACACACACAAACAAATGGAGGAGATACATAGAAGGTGACTACTCATTCCAACTAGATACAATGTTTTTTTAAAAAAGTGGACATCTATCTTACGGATTTAGTATCTCACCACCTGTCTCACCCCCTAGGTAACAAGATTTTGTTTGTTTGTTTGTTTGTTGTTTAATGCCTCACTCAGCAATATTCCAGCGATGAGACGGCTGCCTGTTAATAACTGACTCAGGACCAGACAATCCAGTGATAGACATCATGAACGTTGATCCACGCATTGGGATACGAGGATACGCATCAAGCAAGTCAGCGAGCCTGACCACCCGATCCTGTTAGTCGCCTCTTACAAGAAGCATAGTCGGTCATGGGTTGCTGAAGACCTATTCTACCCCGGATCTTCACGGGTCCTAGGTAATAAGAGATACTGTAGGAGTTTCTCCTATAGGACTCTCTACAGTCTAGGGACACACTATGAGAGTGACAAAGTGGCCTGTGTCTGCACAGTGTCTGCACAGTGTCTGCACAGTGTCTGCACAGTGAAGAACAAAAGATGTCACAGTTTGGAATTTGTTTGTTAAAGCACATATTCCCCATATGTACTGCAGCTATTAATCAATGGCTTGTTTTTGAAAAACACAGTCTACAAGCGAGTGTGAAAAAACGTGCAGCACAGCGAGCACTCCTGCTGACCTGCAGCTTGCATCATATTCCGCATCCGTCTCCATGACGTCCACTTCGTGGTGCATGGATCCTGAGGGCCCTCCTCCAACACTGCTGGTCTCACTGCGGGCTGTGGCCCCTCCTTCAGGAACTGAGTAGCCATACGCACTGCTCCGCCCACTCACTGCAACAACGGAGGAACAACATTAATACTAGCAGCCATATACACTGCTCCGCCCACTCACTGCAACAACGGAGGAACAACATTAATACTAGTAGCCATACGCACTGCTCCGCCCACTCACTGCAACAACGGAGGAACAACATTAATACTAGTAGCCATACGCACTGCTCCGCCCACTCACTGCAACAACGGAGGAACAACATTAATACTAGTAGCCATACGCACTGCTCCGCCCACTCACTGCAACAACGGAGGAACAACATTAATACTAGTAGCCATACGCACTGCTCCGCCCACTCACTGCAACAACTGAGGAACAACATTAATACTAGTAGCCATACGCACTGCTTCGCCCATTCACTGCAACAACGGAGGAACAACATTGATACTAGTAGCCATACGCACTGCTCCACCCACTCACTGCAACAACGGAAGAACAACATTAATACTAGTAGCCATACGCACTGCTCCGCCCACTCACTGCAACAACGGAAGAACAACATTAATACTAGTAGCCACACGCACTGCGCCGCCCACTCACTGCAACAACAGAAGAACAACATTAATACTAGTAGCCATACGCAGTGCTCCGCCCACTCACTGCAACAACGGAGGAACAACATTAATACTAGTAGCCATACGCACTGCTTCGCCCACTCACTGCAACAACGGAGGAACAACATTAATACTAGTAGCCATACGCACTGCTCCGCCCACTCACTGCAACAACGGAGGAACAACATTAATACTAGTAGCCATACGCACTGCTCCGCCCACTCACTGCAACAACGGAGGAACAACATTAATACTAGTAGCCATACGCACTGCTCCGCCCATTCACTGCAACAACGGAGGAACAACATTGATACTAGTAGCCATACGCACTGCTCCACCCACTCACTGCAACAACGGAGGAACAACATTAATACTAGTAGCCATACGCACTGCTCCGCCCACTCACTGCAACAACGGAAGGACAACATTAATACTAGTAGCCACACGCACTGCGCCGCCCACTCACTGCAACAACAGAAGAACAACATTAATACTAGTAGCCATACGCACTGCTCCGCCCACTCACTGCAACATTGGAGGAACAACATTAATACTAGTAGCCATACGCACTGCTCCGCCCACTCACTGCAACATTGGAGGAACAACATTAATACCAGCTGCCCTAGCAGAAACTGTCGACCCCTCTGTGACTGCACTTTTCCCAACCAAGCCCCCTCAATATTGCAACATTCATGCCTAACCTGATAAAGTGTTTTGACCCTTTTTTGGACCTCATTATTGCAACAATCACAAGCAAGTCTGCAATGCTTTCAATACTCTGACCAAGAACTGCTACTGATAGGCAAAATTTTGACCTCTCACTACTGCAAGATTAACTTCTAACCTGATATCGAGTCCACGGCACTCCCGCCACTCTCTGACCCTGCACTGCCAGGCTGTTCTGCTGGTGATGTGCGAAGAGTCGACCCCTCTGTGGCTGCGTTACTCCCGACCTCGTCATCACTTCCAGGAGCTGAGGCTGTTGTGTCCGACAGTGGACCTTCCTCGATTGATGAAGCACTCTGGGGACAGGAAATGACCAATAAATGGGTAAACTTGAAACATCCAGGTCTCTTCTGAAACACTTTTTCTTCATTAGTGAGTACAACTTTAAGTTGCAGTGAACAATATTACCACATGTTGGTGAAACCCATAAGCATGGGCTTCACACGGATATATTAGGGGATCGTGGCAAATTTGGAATCAGATCCTGGCTCAAACAAGGTATGCAACTCAGCATATTATTATGCATTGGACATGACTATGTGAGAATTCATCACTTTCACAATGACTAACTAAAACTAAAACACTGAATAAATAACAATTACAAAGGACTCGTTCCAAAAGAAAATGTTTCCCCCAAGGTTCTGTTCACTAAGTCTTAAGGTGACATCAAGGAAACAAGCATGAAATACTCATATCCCCGCCAATATGACATGTCCGGTCTAAATCAAAGTTGTTGCCATGGTAAAGCCAAGTTTGGTAAAGATATGTCTCATGTTTTTTACTTCTGCTCAGGAAACTAAACGTGATGGATGGACCTACGGACGGACGGACAGCACCCATTCCTACATCTCCCGTCGACTTTGTGACAGGGGAGATAACCAACTAGTTCTGCTTCTTACCTGTCCCTGCCTGGCCAGACCAAGACTCTGTAGACTCAGGCCACCAGCTCCCCCTTCCTGGAAACAGAACAACACTCAAACTACACTACCTGAAGACATTGAGGCTTTCATGACAGAACTCGATTAAATTGGTTGTTTTGTGAGGTTCATCCAATCAAGATGTTCTACCCGCGATAATCGTAGAAAGGGAATTCCGCTTTCATGTGTCAGTGTTACTTTAGGTCTGCAAGCCGTTTGAGATGACTCGATGACTATTGGCTGTTCCAGGGTTCTTTCAAGTTTGCTGCTATAGTTAACAAACCAATTTTTTTGTCCATTCATGTCTAAAGAGGCATAATGTACCATCCTTGAATCTTTGGGGCACATGTGGCCCAGTTGTTGAATGCGTCGCGATTCGCTGTGCAGAGTTGCATCCCTTGGGCACGCAAGAAACCTGTGATTGTGGGTTTGAATCCCGGTTCGCCCCGATTATGTTTCTAGGTTTGTCAGCACCATTCCCGTGCTCGTGGGTTTCACCGAAGTGGTAAACGTCTGAGACCTGCATCACTTCGGGCCTTCCTCCCACATTAAGCTGACACGGCGCGATATAACTGGAATACTGTTAAAAGCGGCGTTAAACCCAACTCACTCACTCCTTGAACCTTACCATAACAATAGGATGATAAGGTCAAACACATTAATTATTAGATTTTTATCCAAATTTAAAAGAAATGTGAAGCAGTAGGCATTATATTTTTAATATTTGTTCTAATTTAATTTTTAAACTGTTTCAAGACAAGTGTTCACATCAACTGTCGACATGAATGTTTCGAGTGAGCGAGTGAGTTGGGTTTAACGCCGCTTTTAACGGTATTCCAGTTATATCGAACCCACAATCATAGGTTTCTGGTGTAACTCTGCACAGCGAATCGCGGCGCCTTAGACGACTGGGCCACCCGTGCATCCAGAGTGTTTTGAAGAACTCTATACAACATATACGAAAAATCATCCATTGAAGAAAGAAGGGAACAGAGTTTTCTCATCTGCATAGGTACTATGACAATGAGGGGTCTTTGTTAGTGAGGCAAGAGAAAGTCAAACAATTTCAATTCATTATGGCCCAAACAAAACGTAACAGAAGTAATTATGTCACCTGTTCTTGCAGACTGAGGGCTATTGCCAATTCCACCATTGCCTCATCATCAGCATCAGCGGGCAGCTCAAAGTTTCGGTCAAACCCGTACAGGGCCTCCAGACCTGAGAGATGATTGCCCTGGGCGTTGCCCTCACCTGGCTCCAACACCATCGGCTCGTTGTTTTCCTGTAAATAACACATCTTTATTAGTTTGATGAAGTTTCTACAACCAATGGTTGGAGGTGAGGTGTAATGGGGTTTTAAGTCCAAGATTATTGCAATTATAGAAACGTGTATGTACGTGAGTGTGTGTGTGTGGCTGCTTGTACTAGTGCGGACTGATGCCGATTCATAGTGCTATCCCATTGAGATACCATGTCGCAGTTTAACATGAATACCCTACTCAGACACCCTACACTGACTCCGAGCTGACCAGTCCATGTTTAGCCCCTTAATGTCGAGCGCCAGACAGGGTAACAACAAGTACCATCTTTTAACGTCTTTGGGCATGATGCAGCCAGTGATCGAACCCTGGACATTCTGCTCTCCGGGCGGACCCTCTACCTCTAGACCATAGAGGCAGTCACCAATGGTTTGAGATCTGGGAGCTTTTGGGTGGGGGTGTGACCCTAATCAAACAGTATCATGTAATCACTGACCACAACATCGAACTGGTCATCTCCCTCGGGGTCCTGGTCTTGGTGTTCCACATGGTTGGAGATCTGGGGGCCCGACGGGGGAGGGGTGTCTGGCTTGTCCGGCTTGGGGTCATCATCATCGTCATCATCACCACCAGGGCCACCTGCGACATCATCCAAAACACATCACTCTAATTCAACATTTCAACAATGTGTTGGGACTCTATTCACACATATATGTATCATTCGTACATCACATCTCAGGCATTATGTCACACTACCCGTGAAGATCCGGGTCAGAATTGGTCTCCAGTAACCCATGCTTGCTGTAAGAGGCAACTATGCTTGTCGTAAGAGGCGACTAAGAGGCTTGCTGACTTTGTTGATGCATATCAGCGTATCCTAATTGCGTGGATCGATGCTCATGATGTCAATCACTGGACTGTCACTTTCAGACTCGATTATTTACAGACTGCCATCAAATAGTGTGGCGTTAAACAAAAAACAAACATAATGTTGCACAATTTTCTTTTCTGTTTACTAAGGAACCACTGAACTTACCGAGACAAAAGCCAGTAAAGATTGATTCTAGCCACCTTAATGTTTCTAGCAGATTTCTTGTCCAATAAATACGGATGTTGTGCTTATATATTTGTAGACATTTATTGGTGAAATATAGGGGTGAAAAACAAATCAACCAGCTGATTGGCAACAACACAAGCTGGTAACTGACTAGCAACAGCAGTGAGTGCCTATCACCCCATGTCAGACAATGGCAAGGTCTATTTTTAATGCATAAGCTCTAGACCATACCTGCAGACAAAGATACCAATTGAAACTACAAAATTTCCTTCTGTGACACTAGATGTCCTAAGTGAGTGCTGTGGCTGTGTGTACTCACCCGGGGAGCTGCAGCGTGGTGGTGACGGGATGAACACCCGTCTCCTCCTGTGTGGCGGCCTCAGAGCTCGGATTAGGGCCTGGCGACATGCGAAGCTCACCACGGGGTCCTGAAGGGGGAAGACAGGAACACAAACTGAATTTATTCATGTTTTGTATTTTCTGGTGCTGTTGGTTCCAATGGCCGTCACATTGAAAACTCTTCAGAAACATTGACTACATAACTTATATCTCATTAGAGGGAGTGAGTGAGGTGAATGGGCTTTAATATCTCGTTCAATATTACATAATTAAATTTTCGTTGTGTTCATTGAAATTCCTGCATTCCGATTAGCTGAATTGATCACATGTTATTGCATTCATTTCCCACTGTGGCGAACTACTTTTCTTACTATGGAATGTCGGGAAATCCCCATATTACAGTCGAGGGAATTCTCTTTCTGCTCACATGTATCGTCATGCACAGGATATTAAGCAAAATTTATGCATATTCATTGTCCAATCAACTCTTTGAGACCGAAGGCCGAGAAGGAATGAAACAGCTCGTCTCGGTTCCACAACTTTCATGTCTTCGGGTTTCATTTCTAACAAGCATTTTTCCAATTGTGTCTTCCCGTTCTCAGGAAACTAATGTTGGAATCTGGCGGTAACTGACAATGTCATTTGAAACAGCCGCCTTCTCCTGAAGATATTTTTTATCATTCTCTCCATTGATTGGCTACTGACTTTGTAGGCGTGTCAAGTTATGTGCATAAATTAAACAATCACCTGATTCATGTCAAGCCACAGTATGTATTCCCACACCCGGAACGTTTATCAATCTTGTCATTTTTCTCTGCTTTGATATATACAACTGTTTTTGGTTAAACTACTGTAGATAAAACATATTTTCATTGTTGAATTTAATCATAAGCATTGACTTTGTATTTATTTCGATTCATACCTCAATGAACTGAAAAAAATACACCGTCAATCCTTATTTCAACTGCATACTGAAGTGCATACACGTGTATGGGGCTGTTGGTACCAGTCCACACTAAAGCCGGCTTTATAGCACTAGCCCTCTCAGACACAGGAAACTCACTCTGAACTGGCAAGTCCTTGTTTTAGCCCCTTAATGCCAAGTGCCAGGCATGGAAACAACAAGTACCATTTTTCAATTCTTTTGGTTTGATGAATCCTGGGATTGAACAACCAACATTCTGCCCTCAAGGCCCTCCATGAGTACTTACAGCGGACAGCAGCAGTCGGACGTAGTGTTTGGTGGCGAGGTTCACAGCCTCCTGGTCACAGACAGTGAAGGCATGGATGATCTCCACTACGGCACCCACAGTCGTGTCGACATGGGCCAATCCTGATACACACACACAATATTGTTAGTCAACACTAGACAGTTTTTTTGTTAAGATGATTATGCAAGATTGACTAAGTGAGTGAGTGAGTGAGTTTGGTTTTACGCCGCTTTTAGCAATATTCCAGCAATATCACGGCGGGGGACACCAGAAATGGGCTTCACACATTGTACCCATGTCGGGAATGACGAGCGAACGCTTTAACCACTAGGCTACCCGACCGCCCCAGATTGACTAAGCAAGGAGCGATTCTATTCCCACCTTCTAATGAGAAGCATCACTTACCCAAATATTTAATCTAAAAATGGTCACATGATCAATACAATCCCATTTAATTTTTTGGCTATACATAATGATAGATTAAGACCTTTCAATAAAAACATCAGAAGCTTAATTCCAAAATAAGCAAAAAACTAATTTAATTTCACATCGACAAAGTCAGCTAGTTCTTATGAAATCTGGACAATCTTGACATTCAAAGGCCTTATTTCAAAACCACATCCCCCTGAAACAAAATTGGCATGTAATAAATAAACCCTTTTGTGATAAGTGATGATGCTGTTCCTTTTTTAACTTTCACAGCATAATGTGAACTGTATCAACAGTGAGTCACCTGGCAAACAGACTGGAGCCAGCATGGAGTTTGTGGGTTTGGCCGTGTGCAGCTTCCAGAACGTCTCCACCAGCTGTGTAGTGAAGTGGCAGTAGTCCTTTGGCTCCAGCTCGTGGCATTTGAGGGATGTGGGGGGACTGGGCTCAGTCTTCTCCTCCTCCTTCTCCTCCTCCAAGTCCTGCACCTCCATAGCTGCACCAGACATTGCAACATTACTGCCCTGACTATTATTGGAGTCCTGATGGGGTTGTCATTAATCTTTGTTTGCTTGTTGTTTAACACTACATTCAGCAATATTCCAGCTATATGATGGCGGCCTGTAAATATTCGAGTCCGGACCAGACAATCCTGGGATTGATATTGTGAACAAAAATCCACTTCATTGGGGTATGTTGATGCCATCAACCAAGTCAACGGTGTGGGTATGCTAGTTCATTTTTAATGTGCATATCAACTTAGTAACTCAAGATTACCGAAATAACACACAAACTATGTATCCCACTTATGTAGATCTATGCTCTTTTTGTCAATCCTGCATTAGAAATTGGCACTCGTCCTGTAGTTCTTGCCAAACTGACCAACAGTTAAGGTATCATGAGGAATAGTAGAAATTTGCCATTTTAAGGGTTTTGCTAATGTTATCATTATAAGGAGAAGTGGACAAAAATGTTTCTACCACTGCAATCATTGGATTGTCTGGTCCAAACCCACTTCTTCACAGGGCGCCATCACAGTGCTGAGTATGACGTTACACCCCCAAAAACAGATTCAGCTAGGTATTTATTACAAAATATAGAAGTAGAATTAGGCAGAGGATGAGCACGACACTTCTAACTTCCCTTAAGCAATAGGAGGTAATGAAACTACTTAGAAACATCTATGCCAATGGATTTTTATTCATTTCATTATTGCACAATCAAAATTTACTTCCAGGGTACTCGAAAGTCACCTGACCTAAATTAGACCCCTGTGATTTCAGATTTCAGATACTTATAACAAAATCTTAGCCATGTCAAACACCAAAAATGGGCAATTGTGGAATAGAACCCAGCTGTGTTGTAAGCACTGAAATTTGAACCACTCAGCTACCCTCAAGCCCCTAAATCCTTGTAGCTTATCAAGATAATGTCTTGACTTGGTTGGTTGGTTTGTTGTTTTACGCCGCACTCAGCAATATTCCAGCTATATGACGGCGGTCTGTAAATAATCGAGTCTGGACAAGACAATCCAGTGATTGATATCATGAGCATAGATCACGCAATTGGGATCGATGACATGCATCAACCAAGTCAGCGAGCCTGACCACCCGATCCCGTTAGTCACCTTTTACAACAAGCATAGTCGCCTTTTACGGCAAGCATGGGTTGCTGAAGAGCTATTCTACCCCGGAATCTTCACGGGTCTCTGAAGCAAGTAAATATTAATGAAAGATATCTATTAAGGAACACAACGAGGTGCCCAACGTGGAATGTTAGATCATCAGTGAATGTCTCACTCTCTTCCTTTATGTCTCCTCCCTTCTCCGCGAACTTGAGCAGGTTGGCGGGCCGTGAGACGGCGACTGAGCGTGCCGTCACCACCAGTCTCTGGAAGGCCTCCACATCCATTTCAGAGCTCTCCTTCGACAGACTCTTCATCACGTGGACCAGCTGCGCTTGGTCCTGGAACACAATAATGGAGTGAGTGGATCAGGTTTAATGCAACCTACCTACCAAGGACACCTTACCTTGTGGTTGTTGTAGGTGGCCTTGTTAGCAAACAGTGTGGCCAGGAGGGACATCTTACCTTGTGGTTGTGGTAGGTGGCCTTGTTAGCAAACAGCGGGGACAGGAGGGACCTTACCTTGTGGTTGTGGCAGGTGGCCTTGTTAGCAAACAGCGAGGCCAGGAGGGACACCTTACCTTGTGGTTGTTGTAGGTGGTCTTGTTAGCAAACAGCGAGGCCAGGAGGGACATCTTACCTTGTGGTTGTGGTTGTGGTAGGTGGCCATGTTAGCAAACAGCGAGGCCAGGAGGGACACCTTACCTTGTGGTTGTGGTTGTGGTAGGTGGCCTTGTTAGCAAACAGCGAGGCCAGGAGGGACACCTTACCTTGTGGTTGTTGTAGGTGGTCTTGTTAGCAAACAGCGAGGCCAGGAGGGACACCTTACCTTGTGGTTGTGGTTGTGGTAGGTGGCCTTGTTAGCAAACAGCGAGGCCAGGAGGGACATCTTACCTTGTGGTTGTGGTTGTGGTAGGTGGCCTTGTTAGCAAACAGCGAGGCCAGGAGGGACACCTTACCTTGTGGTTGTGATAGGTAGCCTTGTTAGCAAACAGCGAGGCCAGGAGGGATGCCTTACCTTGTGGTTGTGGTAGGTGGCCTTGTTAGCAAACAGCGAGGCCAGGAGGGACCTTACCTTGTGGTTGTGATAGGTAGCCTTGTTAGCAAACAGCGAGGCCACGAGGGATGCCTTACCTTGTGGTTGTGGTAGGTGGCCTTGTTAGCAAACAGCGAGGCCAGGAGGGATGCCTTACCTTGTGGTTGTGGTAGGTGGCCTTGTTAGCAAACAGCGAGGCCAGGAGGGACCTTACCTTGTGGTTGTGGTAGGTGGCCTTGTTAGCAAACAGCGAGGCCACGAGGGATGCCTTACCTTGTGGTTGTGGTAGGTGGCCTTGTTAGCAAACAGCGAGACCAGGAGGGATGCCTTACCTTGTGGTTGTGGTAGGTGGCCTTGTTAGCAAACAGCGAGGCCAGGAGGGATGCCTTACCTTGTGGTTGTGGTAGGTGGCCTTGTTAGCAAACAGCGAGGCCAGGAGGGATGCCTTACCTTGTGGTTGTGGTAGGTGGCCTTGTTAGCAAACAGCGAGGCCAGGAGGGACTTGGTGTGCTGCTGTACTGTGGGTGGGGTGGGGAGGGTCAGCAGGCTGGTGGACAGATCCAGGGCTTTGTCTCGCAATGGATCCTGAACACAAACACAGACACTCAGTGCATATTGCAAGGGGACTAGTTCAGGTCAATTGGCAGTGCCAGCAAGTTTGAGTCAAGTCATTCAAAACATACATTGTTGTCTGTAAACTTAATTGTTATGATGTACATAGTTTCATCCTCAAAACAGCTACTTTTTTGGGGACAACACCTAAATGTTAAACTAAGTATTATGTTTTCTTCTCCGTAATTTATCTAATAGATTCAATGAAATTTAAATACAAATACTCTTGAACACATTTTAAATTCATCAACTTCATGTTGTGCATTTGTATCCTGATCACTTCATTAATCAAAGTGAGCCAGTGGTAAGAGTTACATCCCTTTGATCATCACAGGATCTGCTGATCATGATCATGTGTCCGATTCCACATGTACAAAAATCCTCTGAAGGTGTTGTTTCCCTGATGTCTGGGTTTGATGTCTGAGTGTATATACATTCACAAAATGCTGCTAGTTTTGAATGTCATAATGAAAACCTGTTGAGTAATTCCACACCAAAATTGTTTATATAAACTAGCAACAATGTTGAAAATATAATGCTGAAGCATATGTTATTGTGTACTAGTTATTTTATATGTAAGAATGACGTAAAACATTGTCAAAATAAATATGACAAGTTTCTCACCTTTTCTTCAAGTTTGCCAGCGGCAAATGCTCCCTCCAACACTTCCAGTGCACTGCTCAGAAGCCTGAAATAACAGCAATTACATATTGAGAGAGTTTGTTTAATGCCTCTATTTCATGTTCATGATGGTGTGTCAGCTTGATGTACCAACACGGTAAAAAATGACATACTGAATAAATACCGGTACCAAAAGATAATCAAAGCAAGAATAGCTCACAATATTCACTGTAGGACATTTCACACTATTAAGTATTCAAATGGTGGTGGGGACACGGGTGGCCCAGTCGTCTAAAGCGCCATGATTCCCTGTGCAGAGTTGCGTCCCTTGGGCACACCAGAAACCTATGATTGTGGGTTCGAATCCCGGTTCGCCCCGATTATGTTTCTAGGTTTGTCAGCACCATACCCGTGCTCGTGGGTTTCACCGAAGTGGTAAATATCTGAGACCTGCATCACTTTGGGCTTTCCTCCCACATTAAGCTAACAAGCCGCGATATAACTGGAATACTGTTAAAAGCAGCGTTAAATCCAAATCACTCACTCACTCACTCAAATGGTGGTAATGATCATGCATATAGGCACTCAGTCTTAGCCTGCAAGTTTTGTAATATGTCACATGAACATAGGTTCCTGGCGTGCCCAGGGAACACAACTCTGCACAGTGCATTGCGGCGTCTCAGATGACTGGGCCATCCTTAGCACTAACACCATCACAACTCCCACACTATAACATAGGCTTATGACAGTCGTAGCCCTAAGCCAATCGTAACTCGTATATTTTAACATCGACTCACAACAGTCATAGCGCTAAGACGATTGCAACTTCCATACATTAACATAAACTTACAATAGTCTTAGCACTAAAATTGCTTTGTGCATGTGGGACCAGTAAATGAAAGTTGCTGCCAGTTACTTTTTGTGCTGATGTCATCTGGGTGCCACAAGAATAATCGCTGAAACCAAAATGTTGCGTCAGACAGATATCCACTTACTTGTCTGCTGTAGTCATAGGCAGAGGTGCACTCTGCACTGTGTCAGTCTCAGTCGATGAAGCTGCAGCTGCCACAGCGGCCATGACCTTCGGAGCAGTGGATTCAGGGAACTCGTCTGTTTCCTCCGGCCACCCAAATGCCTCCTTGGTTTTGACATAGACCTTGATGGAGTCCACCATGGTCACCCCTGCAGGGTCCACACTGGCACCAACTGAAGAGAAGGACGCAAGAGAGTGAAGTCTTTACCCCAGTAATATCACAGCAATAATATTGCTGTTTTCTAAGTGGTTTAGAAACTGACGGACCAGTGTCCACTATAAGAAATGAACCACGTCAACCAAGAGCATTGATCGTAGCTGTTTAGTTATCATGCTGTCAGCTGACCAAATATCACCTTGTCTCCCAAGTTTGATGAAAAAATATTGAACAGTTTATGAGTTATGCTCCGGAAACAAACCCTACCCTCACAGAACCTAAGTCCATCTTGTTGCCATGGAAACGTAAAAAAAAAATTTCTCTCAAATTTCTTAATAGCAAAAGGCACCAGTTCAGCATGTACATGACAAACCTGCGAAGTTTCATGAAAAAATATTGAACGGTTTATGAGTTATGCTCTGGAAACGAACCCTACCCTCACAGAACCTAAGTCCATCTTGTTTCCATGAAAACGTAAAAAATAAAAATTTCTAAAATTTCTTAACAGCAAAAGGCACCAGTTCAGCCTGTACCTGACAGACCTGCAAAGTTTCATGAAAAAATATTGAACGGTTTATGAGTTATGCTCCGGAACGTAACGTGACAGACGGACGTACGGACGGACAGAGCCCGTTTCTATATCCCCCGCCAACTTTGTAGATGTTCATCCATAGAACTTGTCTTTCTTCACTTACTTGGTTGACAAGTATTTTGATTCAACAACTTGTGGATGCAATTTAAACATCAATGAAACCCAAAGATTAGCCAATATTGCCACAGCGACAGAAATTAACACTTTTAGTCCAAAACATATAGCAATACCCTTAAATATGGCAAATTAAGGCCTTAACTATTGGTCAATTTGGCAAGGAGTACAGGACTAGTGCCAATTACTAACACTGTTGCCATCCTGTTAATACTCGGCTCCGAACAAGGCAAAGCAATGGTACATAACATGAGCAAAGTTCCACCTTGTAAGGCATGATGACATCCAATCACCCAGGTCACACATTGTGACCACCCAATCAACATTTTAGTCCCCTCTTACAAAAAAGTCAACAGTGGTTGCTAGTTGCCTATTCTTCCCTATAGGGTCTCAATGTACTGACCTGCTCACAATTCCAAATAATCACACAACCAAACATCAAACCACTCACCAAACAGGCTGAACTTCTTGTCAGCAGTGAGAGACTCTTCGCGTGTGAAGGCCATGTCGATCCATCGGGCCCGGTTGACGTTGACCTGGGTGGTGCGGCCGAACACTTCCAGATAGGAGGGAGCTCTCTCTAAGCTCTGGCTCCCCACCATCACCCGCACACCCACCATCACAGTGGTATTGTTGGTATTGCTCAGCTCAACTGTGAAACCGGCAGGCTGAAGACAAACATGATTGGGGGTGATTAATTTACTTTCTACATAGCACACCCACTATCACAGTGGTATTGTTGGTATTGCTCAGCTCAACTGTGAAACCGGCAGGCTGAAGACAAACATGATTGGGGGGGTGGTCAATTTACTTTCTACATAGCACACCCACTATCACAATGGTATTGTTGGTATTGCTCATTAAGGGGGGTGGTGGGGGTGGGGGGGTTGGGTGTGGGGGTGGGGTTGGGGTGTGTGTCATTTTAGTTCCTACATAGCACACCCACTATCACAATGGTATTGTTGGTATTGCTCATTAAGGGGTTGGGGGTGGGGGTTGGGGGGTTGGGGAGGTGGGGGGGTTGGGGGGTTGGGGAGGTGGGGGGGTTGGGGGTGTGTGTGTGTGTCATTTTAGTTCCTACATAGCACACGCACTATCACACTGATATTGTTGGTACTGCTCAGTTCAACTGTGAAACCGGCAGGCTGAAGACAAACACAATTGGGGGGTGGTCATTTTAGTTTCTACATAGCACACGCACTATCACAATGGTATTGTTGGTATTGCTCATTAAGGGGGGGGGGGGGGTCATTTTAGTTCCTACATAGCACACGCACTATCACACTGATATTGTTGGTATAGCTCAGCTCAATTTTAATTTAAACAAAGGGAGTGTTTGAAAGTCACAGCTAAGATCAAAGCTGTGTTTTTAAATACAGTGTCTGCATGAAATCTCAAATTGAAAGACACTGATTCCAGTCATGCGCAGATCGATGTTTCTAAATATATCACAGAGATTTCCTGGAATTCATTCAAATTTGTTTTCATTGTAAGCATAATAGTCATAAGTATGACACTTCGTTTATATCAAGATTGACCTTGCAAATTTCTTTACTAATGACACACTACTTTGTGATTTATTTACAAGTAATTATGGTTCCATTAAAAAATTTTTTCACCCACTGTGAAATTTCAAATGTTACTTAAATTGTTTTTCTGAGTGATTTTTCACTCACAACTCATTTAAAAATGTGTGATGATAATTAAATAAGTGTGAATCTGTTTATAAAAAAGAAGCTTTTGACGATACAACATTGAAAAAGATATTGCTTTCAAGACAGGTTATCAACAGAAATTCTATGGTGCTTGGATGCTGTATCATCAACTTTTCGCAGCTTTCATTTTAATTTTAGTTTTGTACTTAAGACTTTAATGTTTGAGCCCATGTACTTTCCTGCACTGCAATATGATATATATAACTTTAATACTTAATGCATACTTGATATATATGCAGTATGTTTGTATTACTAGAGTGAATGCGTGAGTTAGAAGTATGTTATTTTCTGTAAAAGATGTATTGATAAGTTGTGCTATATGTCAAGGACTTTCTGCTACCCTGGGCGTAAGCACATTTTATATAACAGGTACCTCTTTTTAAAAAAAAAAAAAAAAAAAAAAATTAAATAAATAAGTGTGAATCACGCCACTGCAAACACTTTCAAAATCCCTGCCCAATGGCAGTGTCCCCCTAGTGTTGTGTTACCTTGGTGCTGGCGATGTACATCCCCGTGGTGTTGAGTCTGTGTTTCACCTGCTGGACATTGTACACCTGCAGCACATCATTGCCGCCGAACTGGAAACAAGTGTTACTGTTATTTATCATGAAACCAATAGTGTTATCGATGTACAAAACCAATCCAACAAGCATGAACTACTCGTATCCCCCCCCAATATGACATGTACAGTTGTGTGCAAGACAAGAAATATTGTACAGTTTGCTCTGGAACAAGATCTGCTCTGGAAACAAGCACTACCACCATTTTCAGTCGAAGTCAATGTTGTTGGTATGGAAACTCGATAAATAAATTCTAAAAAAATACCAAACTATCAAAAGGCACCAGTTCACCACAAGACCTACGTATGTTCCAAGATTGGTGAAGAAACATTGTGTGGCTTTCTAGAACTGCTCCGGAAGCGAGTACTACCACCATTTTCAGTCTAAGTCAAAACTCGAAAATTCTTTTTTTTTTTAAATCCCAAACTATCAAAAGGCACCAGTTCATCACTAGACCTATCTATGTTCCAAGTTTAGTTCAGATATCTCTCGTGGGTTTTTAGTTCTAACTGGAAACGAAACGTGACAGAAGGAGGGATGGAGAGCACCCTTTCCTACATCGCCCTTCCACTCCATGGCATGGGATAATTAACATAATAACAGATCAAGATGGCCACTACCTGAAAAGTTTATTTTAGAGAGCAAATTCTATTTATACTGTAAAGGCGACATTTCGGTAAAGATTCTTTGGAGTAAGAGAGTAAGAGAGTAAGAGAGTAAGAGAGTAAGAGACTTGTAGCACTACCATCCAGGCCATGTTCCACAACACAAGGTAATCATAGTGCTTAAAAGGTCTTAACTCACACACTTTAACATAGACGTATGACAGCCGTAGTGCGGAGATTGATTTGTGGAACATCTCCCCGGGGTGAGGTTAGACAAACTGGGAAAAGTGTACACTTACTTCGATGTCATTGGTTTGCTGGCAGTGTTCAAAGAAGTCAATAGGGAACGTCACCACTCCCGCTGGACGCCCTGGAACCAATCAATGAATGTATTATAAGAAACCCTCAAAGTATTCGAGTTGTTCTTTCATGAACATGAACATCAAAAGTAATGTTAGAATATCTAACATGTGACACTATACATATAACATGCCCCAAAGAATAATTTCATAAAGTAGGGGTAAAAATGAAATCATATCTGAATTCTGTGGTCAAATAACAATGACAATATTTTATGACCTGTAAAGGAATTCTTTGTACATATGAAAGATCTAGCAGATTGTATACATGAAATGACATATCAGACAAAGAGATCTAAAACAATACATAACCTAACAATCATTTAAGAGTGAGTGAGTGAGTATGGTTTTACGCTGCTTTTAGCAATATTCCAGCAATATCACGGCGGGGGACACCAGAAATGGGCTTCATTGTACCCATGTCGGGAATCGAACCCGGGTCTTCGGCGTGACGAGCGATGCTTTAACCACTAGGCTACCTGACCGCCCCCAATCATTTAAGAGATCGAACATAACAGCTCTATTTGAACATGGCAATAAATATCACCAGCCAGGAGGTAGAAGTGCACACTCTTTGTTAAAAAAATGGCCGCAGCCAGCTAAACTTTTCAGTGATAATTCTAAAATATTCCATGCAAAATTTCAGCCTTGATGTTTCAGAGATGATGTTGAAAATGTAAAGTCGTCCAAACAGTGGATGGACAGAGAGCAAAGGCTTTAATCACAGAAAATGACCTGATTTGCTGGACTTCTTCTTCTTGGCTGGTTTGAGCACTGCAATGGGACTCTGAGGCTGGAGGTAGGGGGACAGCCAGTAGTTGGTGTTGTCCACGTGGGCCATGTAGATGCGGAGGCTGCCGTCCTCGCACAGGAGGATCATGGTCGTGCGTTGCTGGAACATGCGCAACGCTCATATACTTACATCTGCATATGTAGGATTGTGTAGTGCCTTTGATATTGTGTAACACACCTGATATAATATTAGTCACAACCTCATAATGTTTACTTGATTGACCTTGAAATTACCTTTACTCTTACAGGGCAGGGCAGGGCAGGGCAGGGCAGGGCAGAAGCTTGTGAGGTGGGGTGGGGCAGATTCACCAATACATTTTTATGTGATACACATATCCCAAATCATGCTAAAGTCTTCATGTACTTGATCATTGAAGGATACATGTCATCCCAAATACCCCATGAAAAGAACTTATCACCTTCCTATCGAGAGACATTAAGATATTTCCACTACAGAAAATGTTGCAAGTTACTTCATAATTGTTTTTCTTTAAGTATTCCAGCAGATTATGAACATGTGAAACGTAATACCTGGATGGAACACAAGTTAAATAAGGCATATCAAGCATAGCCATTCCATATCAATAATACCGTATTCGACATAATAAGCGCCCAGGGCACTCTCAAAGTTAGAAATAGGGGGCTCTTATTAGAATATTATTTTGATGAAAAGCAACAGAATTGAAAGATCGTAAATTTCGTGGGTTGTGCTGACAGCCTGAAATGTTTATATATGACAGATATATTTTTTCTAGAATATATAATTTCCCATAATTAAGAATGCATATAACACACGTATTATACACGAATAAATAAGTCTTGTGTACATTGATCAATCGGAAGGGGTGCTAATTGGGATTGTTCACTTGTCAATATATTTTCCCATAATTAAGAATGCATATAACACACGTATTATACACGAATAAATAAGTCTTGTGTACATTGATCAATCGGAAGGGGTGCTAATTGGGATTGTTCACTTGTCAATATATTTTAGCAAATATCGCCGTGGGCGCTCATTAGAGTGGGGCGCTTATTACGTCGAATACTGTACTAATCAATATCAACCTCCAACTCCTCTGTGAGTCACTTGTCACTTGCTTTTCATAAGTAACAGCATTTCAGTTTAATCACACGTTAATGTCCGTGGAAAACCCAAAGTGATCCAGGTCAGAATTTCTGGTGACAGACCATGGAGACTTTTGAACACAAATCTGGGTCGGAACCTACAAATAGCATATCCTTGCATGTCTAAGGGAGACAACTCCGTGCCATAGACCACTAGGCCACCCTACTCAGCAGATCAGGAATCTCATGTCTCACCTGGTCTGTGTTGGAAGCAACGTGTCTCATGGCCACTACATCTTGTATCTGAAACAATACATATACATTTGTAGCTCTTCAACTATGAGTATTATATCAACATCTCTGAGTTATGTGACAGATCCAGCTATCTTGAGTGGATGTCAAAGTATGGGTGTTACATTATTATGACTATCAGAAATGTTATAAAGGATACATATATCAATTATTTGGGTGCTTCATGCCTAGACATGTAAGTGACAACAGCAGCGTTATAAATTGGCACCAGTCCTGTAGTCCTTGCCAAACTGCCCAATAGTTAAAGTATCCTAAGGAATAGGTTGTTTTGTTCAACAGCACCCAGGGCAACGTTCCACAAATCAATCGCACTGCTAAGATGACCATAACTCCCTAACGCTTATGACAGTCGAAGCGCGAAACTCATTTCCTTGGGCCAGGAACTAAAACTATATCGAAGATTTGAACTAAATTGAGACTATTGAGAAAACGAACTAAATCGGGAATATTGTGAATTTGAATTAAATTGAGAATATGGAGAGTTGGAACTAAATCGAGAATATCAAGTATTTGAACTAAATTGAGACTATTGAGAATTTGGACTAAATCGAGAATATCGAGAATTTGAACTACATCGAGAATATCTAGAATTTGGTAAATCAAGAATAGCGAGAATTTGAAACATGAAACTGCAAGACAAAAGGCACAGTGTACAAGAGCATCACCAACCTTTGTTTTAGCAGGTACAACTTTGATCTCCTGCATTTGGATGCCGTCGGGCTTGACCATGAGAACTACGGGGTTGTTGGAGGTCTGCGCCATGCAGTAAAGGAGGCCAGTGTGACCTGCGACCTCAGACCACTGCACCAGGGGCTGGTAGTTGTTACCTCCCTTGCCGCCACCATTGGAACTGAAACAACCACACATGTTCTCATCAAGGAGTGACCACCAGACAGCTGTATTGCTCTAGGGTTCTACTGAGGTGAGCTGAGGTGAGCTGAGGTGAAATGGGGTTTAACGTCGCGTCCAAGATTATTGCACTTATATAGCGACGTGCATGCATGTGTGTGTGTGTGTGTGTGTGTGTGTGTGTGTGTGTTTTTGTGTGGCTGCTTGTACTAGTCCGGACTGATGCCGATTTAAAGTGCTAGCTCACTGAGATACCATGCCGCAGTTTAACATGAATACCCCACTCAGACACAGTATACTGGCTCCGAGCCGACCAGTCCTTGTTTTAGCCCCTTAACGCCGAGTGCCAGACAGGGTAACAACAAGTACCATCTTTTAACGTCTTTTGGTATGACGTGGCCGGGGATCGAACCACGGACCTTGCGCTCTCCGGGCGGACGCTCTACCACTAGACCGCGGAGGCGGTCGGTTCTACTGAGGACTGAACCAGGGTGTATATCACTCCTGGCAGCATCATGCACCAGTATCCCAATGAGTGAGTGTTGTTTTACGCCAACAGGAAAAGGACATAACGCTCACCTCTTGAAGCTGATGGGGAACAGGTTCGTCACTTGTGTCAAGTCTTTGGACACTGGGGCAACAAAGCTCTTGCCTGCAAATATCAATTACAGTCGGTTTTCAGATCAAACAAATATTCAGCTACTTGCAAACCTATTATATCTTATTATAAAGATACCAAACCCTTATCAGAAGTAAATACATTTACAACAATAAATATTAGTGTGCACTCAAGAATCATTCTCAGCTCCCTGGGGTTGGTTGTTTGGTTTGTTGTTTAACGCCGCACTCAGCAATATTCCAGCTATATGACGGCGGTCAGTAAATAATCGAGTCTGGATCAGACAATCCAGTGATTGATATCATGAGCATCGATGAACGCAATTGGGATACGATGACATGCATCAACCAAATCAGCGAGCCTGACCTCCCGAGCCCGTTAGTCGCCTCTTACATCAAGCATAGTCGGCTTCTACGGCAAGCATGGGTTGCTTAAGACCTAGTCTACCCTGGATCTTCACGGGTCAGCTCCCTGGGCAGTATACTACACATTCTGCAATACTGCTGCAGGATTATAGCATGTCCCCCTGTTAACCATGAAGTACAGACAGTGATCCTTGTCTGGGGAGATGAGGAGAACAATGATGAGCTGATGCCTGTACCTTGTGTGTAGCTGAAGAACAACAGCTGCAGGGCATGGGAGTAGAACACAGACACGCCTCCACCTGCCACCTGGCCATTGTTGTCCTGAAACACGGAGATATCCACAATTTACTCTCCAATTCCAACAGACTTTGGAGGAGCATTTCTAATATTCTGAAAGACATTTTGCATGCTTGTGTATCTGTTACAGAGATAAACTAAGTATGTCCCATCTTTGCTACAAGAGTGAGTGAATGAGTTTGGTTTAACGCCGCTTTTTACAGTATTCCAGTTATATCGCGGCGTGTCAGCTTAATGTGGGAGGAAAGCCCGAAGTGATGCAGGTCTCAGACGTTTACCACTTCAGTGAAACCCATGAGCACGGGTATGATGCTGACAAACCTAGAAACATAATCGGGGCGAACCGGGACTCGAACCCACAATCATAGGTTTCTGGCGAGCCAAAGGGACGCAACTCTGCACAGCGAATCACGGCGCCTTAGATGACTGGGCCATCCGTGCCCTCCTTTGCTACAAGATGTTGGTTATCACTAATGTGGCAAGGGCCAAATAGAGTACCACTAAAGTATTCCATCACCTGGGTGTAATTAAGAAACAAACGATGACTGGGAGTTGTTTATCGCAGCCACCAGTGGTTTATTCTCCCTCCATTGTTCTATTGTACTATAAACAACAACCACACATCGTTTATTTCTTATATGAGATATCAACCTTATCTCTAGCCTCTTTAAGGATGATGATAAAATGTACATGCTTTAAATATATTTACCCAAATTTTAATAACGATGACTCCCTGAATAGAATATGACCTTGGAAAAGTTGAACAAGTCCATTTTTCGAACAGGTAAGTTATGTTTGGTATTTCTCGCATATTCTCACAATCCTCACGTTGATTTATCTGTACCTTTTCTCCCAATACCCATTGTCATATCTCGTCAAGTTTTGAATGCTTTCGTTCGGCCACTACATTTAGCCCAGCTACATCTATGGGGAACAACTTACTAGACACTACCTCTCAAAAATACTGTTGTCCAATATTTGACGTCATCAAGTTGCGAGCGCATATTTGAATCTCCAGAAATGATGTCACAATAGAACAGTATTTTATCGTGAAAAATACCATGCTTTGTTCTTCATTTTTCTTAGCGATATATTGCGTAGCTATCTTATATATGCAGACATGCATTCCTATGTAGGACTTACCTTGAGATCTGCATGTTTGACCTCGAGGACGTTGGTGATGTAGAAGGGGCCATGTACTGCACTGCTACAGTCCTCCATCAGCTGGGTGTAGATGTAGCCGGTGGATGCCATCAGCACTATGTAGCATCCGTCTTCGGTATACACGAATGTGGCGTCACGGATCTTACCACTCGGTAGCAGGAAGTAGTATTGAGGGCTGATAGCGTCAAGGCCAAGGTCGTAGATCTGCAAGTGTTGCATTAAGTTTTATACGTTGTCTCAATGTTACTGTGTCAGCGTGACGAGCAAATGCTTTAACCACAAGGCTACCCGACCGGCCACAACATGACAAATATAAAATAATAGATAACATATAAAATATAATGGAATGACACTTTGTTGGTATCTTCCTCATCTTTACTCAACAACATCTTTACTTGCCCAAAAGGCAAACATGAATGTTCAAAGTGGTGCAACACTTACTTTCAAATAGTCATTAAAGTGTTTGTACATTCAGGATCCTACCTTAACAAAGTCAGCAGTGACCACAGCAAGTTCAGTCTGGGAGCCTGGCAGCCATATTGCCTGGAAAACACAATCAAATATATCCTGTATTTCCTTTTTGGGCAGTGATGTAATGTATATTATCTGTAATAACATAATATAAAAGGTTAACACCGGAGAATAATCAGTCTCGATTATCTGCCGAAACAAATTCCACTGGGCGTAAAAGGTGAGTGAGTGAGTTGGGTTTAACGCCGCTTTTAACATTATTCCAGTTATATCGCGGCATGTCAGCTTAATGTGGGAGGAAAGCCCGAAGTGATGCAGGTCTCAGACGTTTACCACTTCGGTGAAACCCACGAGCACGGGTATGGTGCTGACAAACCTAGAAATATAATTGGGGCGAAACGGGATTCGAACCCACAATCATAGGTTTCTGGCATGCCCAAGGGATGCAACTCTGCACAGCGAATCGCAGCGCCTTAGACGACTGGGCCACCCGTGCCCCCCGCATCACATGAAGGAAGACCACAGTGATGTGTTATCTTCTTAGCTTTGAACATCCATTACCTTGATGATGAAGTTTCCTGTAGCCAGAGATGGGTGAAGAACAAGATGGTCAGCCACGGAGCCTGAGCTGGTGAAGGTCAGAACATGGCAGTCCTTGGAAATAAAAACAAACCATAAAAACCAAAAATTTTCATCAACACAGAGAGGAGGATGTTAGAAAAGTATTTCTGTCATATCCTCTTCATGTGGGAGTTAAGACATAGGAGGGTCCAGAGGGGGATCCAGAGGGGGATCCAGACCATTCCCCCCATCCCTGATGAAAACCAAATTTATGTTGTAGGCAGAAGTATGCTGCAGGCAGAAAGGATTCTGATATTTTGGACCCCTCCGTTTTAAAAAATGCTGGATCCGCCCTTGGCTGAAGTAATGTTAAATGGGGTTTAACGTCATTTTTAAATTATTTTACTTACGTAGCAACATGCATGCATTGTTGCTTGTACAGTCAGTCTACAAAGCTACAGTGTTCCATCGCTATTGCACTCTTCAATATGGCGCTAACTCGGTTATAGTGCACAGGAAAGCATGGCTCCAAAAATTGACTAACATTTTTAATAAACTCAAGTTTTCCAATGACACCATGTTTTCCCCCATCTCATCGTGATCACGTAACCATGGTAACACTGAAAATACCAGTTAACAAATCCTAACTGAAGTACGCAATTTAATCCTATTATTGTAATATCTGGTTATAATATATTGTTTATTGTTTATCTGGACTAATGTTTGCAAAATATTTTATAAATTATATTAAAAATTTCAATCAATAATTATAATAATGTTTACAATAATTTCGGCGAAATCATATGCAAAGTGATTGGTAGCTTGCACAACTCACCGTTACACAAGGCAACCACGGTCAGATTACTGCCACTGATGCCTTAAAACAAACTTTGGTTGCAAGAGAATGGATACACATATCATAAACGCCGTACCATGACTAGCTAAAAGTCATATTTGACATGCAGCTTCATCTCACCTTGAGTCCACACACAGCAAGGAAGTCTTCATTACATGGGTTGCCTGTGATGGACAAAACTGTGAAGGGGATGGGCGCTGAGGAGAGTCTCTGAAAAAATATGAGTGAGTGAGTGAGTGAGTGAGTGAGTGAGTGAGTGAGTGAGTGAGTGAGTGAGTGAGTGAGTGAGTGAGTGAGTGAGTGAGTGAGTGAGTTGGGTCTAACGCCGCTTTTAACAGTATTCCAGTTATATCGCGCTGTGTCAGCTGAATGTGGGAGGAAAGCCCGAAGTGATGCAGGTCTCAGACGTTTACCACTTTGGTGAAACCCATGAGCATGGGTATGGTGCTGACAAACCTAGAAACATAATCGGAGTGAACCGGGATTCGAACCCACAAACAAAGGTTTCTGGCGTGCCCAAGGGACGCAACTCTGCACAGCGAATTGCGGCACCTTATACGACTGGGCCACCCGTGCCCCCTGAAAAAATATGAAACCCAGTCATCAGCACATCAGTCTGGACACAGCAGCCCTCAGTCGCTACAAGGCACCTGTTGTATGTGCACACTTTGTTCACAACATATTTGTGCCGCACTCAGCAATATTCCAGCTATATGACGACAGTCTGTAAATAATCGAGTCTGGACCAGACAATCAAGTGATTGGCATCATGAGCATCGATCCACACAATTGGGATTCGATGACATGCATCAACCAAGTCAGCGAGCCTGACCACCCGATCCTGTTAGTCGCCTCTTACAACAAGCATAGTCGCCTTTTACGGAATGCATGGGTTGCTGAAGACCTATTCTACTCCTGATCTTCGGGGGTGTTCACAACATTAATGCCCATCTTACTTTCATACCCTGCTCTTGTTTGATGCTGCAACATTCAAGCTGTTTGATAATGGTGTGTACCAGACAATCCAGTGATTGACTTCATGGCATCGATCCCCGCAATTGGGATATGACATGCAATCAACTAAGTCAGCAAGCATGACCACATGATCCATTTTGTCATCTCTTATGGCCTGAGATTCCTGGTTAGAATATATCCATACCAACCTATGTTGGTCGTAAGAGGTGACGAGAGTGAGTGAGTGAGTGAGTGAGTTGGGTTTAACGCCGCTTTTAACATTATTCCAGTTATATCACGGCGTGTCAGCTTAATGTGGGAGGAAAGCCCGAAGTGATGCAGGTCTCAGACGTTTACCACTTCGGTGAAACCCACGAGCACGGGTATGGTGCTGACAAACCTAGAAACATAATTGGGGCGAACCGGGATTCGAACCCACAATCATAGGTTTCTGGCGTGCCCAAGGGACGCAACTCTGCACAGCGAATCGCGGCGTAAAAGGTGACAAAATGGATCAGGTGCTCAGACTTGGTGACTTGGTTGATTGCGTGTCGTAGTGGACTAAATTATTTACAGGTTTCTGTCACATAGCTTGAATATTGCTGTGTGATGTGTTAAACAGGAAACAAACAAAATGACAAGCATTGTTTCTGAGGACCTATTCTACCAAGAATAGTCTTACATCTTAAATCATATTAAAATATTGCAAGTTATTCTGTGGCATTTGATTGACTAACCAAGCAGTTGTTCTTGCGTTTATGAGTCCAAAATCAAAAACAATTTAGACCACACCCACTAACAGACTATTGTTTCATGGCTTGGCTGATAAGAGATTTGGCAGAGCTTGAGTTGCATTACCATCATTACTGGGCTGAATGTCACTGATTTCGTACTGTAGGCAATCTCATTAAAATCAGATCTTAGTTCTCGCTACCGCTAAAAAAAGATCTGAATACATCCCATTACGGGTCATGAAGGAACCACCTTTCATCCGACCAATCAGAGCGTCGCCTACCAGATCATGAAAGTGACAGTCGGAATGTGATTTCTAATCATGCAACCTCAAAATGTTAACACGGGGTATTCCAAATGATAGTTACAGGCTTAACGACTGAATCCATACAATCTAGACCATCTATTAGCCATTCCAGAATTTTCTTTTGTTCAGGTTTCAAATTTTTAATCGAGAATTTGTCAAAATATGTTTCGGAGTGTAGTCGCCAATTTAAAGCACGAGAAAGCTGCCTTCTGATTGGCCAGTGTCAATTTCTTGTCAGTCATTCCATTGGTCGGTCAAAGTTTGCACAAGGTGGGTATGACGTGACCTGTGGTGGGGTGAACTCAGATCTTTGTTTAGAGGTAACGAGAACTATGATCTGGTTTTAATGAGATTGTACTGTTGCCTACAGTATTTTCTTTAGTACTTACAGTGAGAGTGAGTTTCTTCTTGCTTGAGTCGGCCTGTTTGAGGAGGGCGGATAGCTGGAGGATGGTGATCTTGCCCTTCTCATGGCTGATGGCCAGGTGCTGTCTCTTACCATGGGGAGAGGACAACACACACATGGCCACACGGCGCAGCATGTGGGCGGTGATCAGCTGGCGGATTGTCTGCCCTTGTTCCCCACTGTAATTCATCCTTACGTTTTCAAATGCTCCTTCCTGCGATCCCAACGTCACAGTCTGGAAAAGGGGTCATGCAGATCAATTTAATTACTCATGAGACTCAATGATATTTTACACCACAATCAGTAATATTCCATCTGAATCATGGTTGCTTGCAAATAATAAGTGAGTGAGTGAGTATGGTTTTACGTCGCTTTTAGCAATATTCCAGCAATATCACGGCAGGGGACACCAGAAATGGGCTTCACGCATTGTACACATGTCGGGAATCAAACCTGGGTCTTCGGCGTGACGAGCGAACGCTTTAACCACTAGACTACCCGGCCGCCCCACAAATAATTAGTGAGTGAGTTCTGTTTGAATGCCGCTTTAAACAGTAGTCAGTGATACAATTTATGGGGGAAGAAAGCCCGAAGTGATGCAGGTCTAGATTTACCACTTTGGTGAAACCCACGACCAGAGTAGGTTGCTAGGGACCAATTCTAACCCGGAATCCCCATGGATACCTGGATAAAGGAACTGTCACATGTTATGCCGCCTTTCATGTGAAGATTCGGGGAAGAATAGGTCTTCAGCAATCCAGGCTTGCTGTAAAAGGCGACTATGCTTGTCGTAAGAGGCGACTAATGGGATCGGGTGGTCAGGCTTGCTGACTTGGTTGATGCATGTCATCGATCCCAATTGTGTGGATCTATACTCATGATATTAATCACTGGGTTGTCTGGTCCAGACTGGATGATATACAGACCACCGTCATTTAGCTGGGATATTGTTGAATGCGGCGTTAAACAACAAACCAACCAACCAACCCTTCATATATTATCATCAATGGCCATGTCAGAATAACCCACCATGAGCTGTTCAGAAGCAGGTTCTATTTTCTTCGAAAGGGAGTGTAGTTCCTGCAGGGCCCTCTGAGCGCGTGCAGTAGACCCCATGGGGGACATGTCCTGGTAGTTCTCTATCAGGGGCGGCAGGATCTTCTCCAACATCTCCAGCACCGTGGTCACTGTGTTGGCACTCTCCTGAAACATACAAAAGGTGCTTGCAGTACAGAACAGAGTTCTAGAAATGAAATTGTATTCTTTACAAATTTGTTTAGTGAGTGCGTAATGAGTGAGTATGGTTTTACGCCGCTTTCAGCAATATTACAGCAATATTCCAGCAATATCACGGCGGGGAACACCAGAAATGGGCTTCACACATTGTACCCATGTCGGGAATTGAACCCAGGTCTTCGGCGTGACGTGCGAACGCTTTAACCACTAGGCTACCCAACCGCCCCACAAATTTGTTTAGGACAAATGGATTGTTTTTAATTATTCTGAAGTAGAAACACCCCAATCTAACGCCTTAATAATAACAAAAATAAACAAAGTCAATATTAAATAAAAAAATGTAAAAGAAAATTGATAGGCAGAATGAAAAGTCATGCCTCTGACACTATTAACCAAAATGATTTAAGTAAAGTCTCAAAGCTTCAGTAAGAAAAAAAAGAAAGATACCAAATCAACAAGTCTGGCTTCCCAACAGCGACCAATGGTTGGTTTCTTAACATAATAACAATGGAGTCACCCGGGAGCCTCTTTATCAATAGGGAATGTTGAATAACCTCATCATTAACAGGAAACCACTTGAAATGTTTTGGCTTCATTGGCCACTTGTTTCTGAGGGCGTTAAACAGTCACTGACAAATCCAACAGCAAATTAGCAGGCCAAATGACACTAGAGTAAATGAACTGGTAGGTTTTTATGCCATTTTTATCAGAAATCCAGTCAGATCACAGCAGAGGGACACCACAAAATGGGCTCAGTACACAGCAACCAGGTGGGAATCAAAACCCTTTCGTATGACAAGCCAAACACACTAGGATACCCCAAGGCTCTCTAAACCCACTTGACCATCAGTGAAGTTAGCTGCTTGTTTGTTGTTTAACGCCGCACTCAGCAATATTCCAGCTATATGACGACAGTCTGTAAATAATCGAGTCTGGACCAGACAATCCAGTGATTGATATTAAAAGAATGGATCCATGCTATTGAGATACGATGACATGCATCAAACAAGTCAGCGAGCTTGACCATCTGATCCTGTTAGTCACCTTTTAGGGCAAGCATATGTTACTGAAGACCTATTCTACCCCTGATCTCCACAGTAGTGAACTTGTAAGTAGCCAGCTAACAAGATCCTCTCCTCCCTCACCATCTGTGCTAGGAGACTGTCTCTGCAGCTCTCAATCTGTCTACACAGTGCCTCGCGAGCCTTGTTGCTCATCTCGGTGGTCTTCATCATCTCGCTGGCCTTGTCGTCTATTGATGGGGAAGATAGTCGGCGCCGTAGGGAGCTAGGCTGGACAGTGTCCATTGAGAATGGTGACTGGGCCTGTCCACTGCCACTAGAGTCCAGCCCACTCTGAGCTGTCCTCTTGACCAATGCCTGGCAGGAAGAAGAACAATAATCATTGCATTTCCAAAACTCAAATCTGCCATGAATACATATGAAGTACTGAGTCACAAAAGTACATAGTACTTTGATAATCTGCAGCTCCAAGTTTTCTCCCCTTAGAACAACCAACACTCATATTACCACAGCATACAGATAGGAGTTGAATATTAAACATCACATATGTCCTAGTCCAGACTATATCCCACTCAGACACAGTCCTTGTTTTAGCCACTTAATGCCGAGTGCCAGGTAAAGTACCATCTTTTACCATCTTGTTTGTTTGTTTGTTTGTTTAACACCGCACTCAGTAATATTCCAGCTATATGACGACAGTCTGTAAATACTGTATTCGGTGTAATAAGCGCCCCGCTCTAATAACCGCCCACAGCGATATTTGCTAATATATTGGCTAGTGAACAAACCCAATTAGCACCCCTTCCGGTTGATCAATGTACACAAGACTTATTTATTCGCGTATAATACGCACTCGTGTGTTATATGCACCCTTAATAATGGGCAAATAAATTCTGGAAAAATATATCTGTCGTATATAAACATTTCAGGCTGTCAGCATAAACCACGAAATTGATCTTTTAACTCTGTTTTTTTCCACCAAAATATTATTCTAATAAGAGGCCCCTATTTCTAATTTTGAGAGCACCCTGGGCGCTTATTACGTCGAATACGGTAATCAAGTCTGGACCAGACAATCCAGTGATTGACATCATGAGCATCGATCAATGCAATTGGGATACGATGCCATGCATCAACCAACTCAGCAAGTCTGACCCCCCGATCCCGTTAGTCGCCTCTTACGACAAGCATAGTCGCCTTTTACGGCAAGCATGGGTTGCTGAAGACCTATTCTTCCCCAGATCTTCACAGGTCTATAGGAATATGGAATAATCGGGTGTTCTTCAACTTCTTTTGAGCAGTATATTACAAATCCACCATGATCAATGTTAACCCGAATAAAGAACTCAAATCATTTGAAAGTTACGGTTGCGGAAACCTACCTTGCAGCTACCATCCTCCTTGGCGCCACAGTCACAGAAGAAAGACCCAAACTTGGCATATGTCAGATCATGGTCTTTGTGGCAGACCTTGGCACAGATCGTGCACACGCCAACTCCATCGACCATCTTACAAGTGTGACAGTGGTACCTGTAACCCAACACAACATTACTGAAAATAACTTGTTTGAAAGGCATTACTTAGAAGTTGACGAATGACAAGATAGACACCATTTTTTTTTTCATTTTTTTTTTTTTTTATGGATAACAAAACTCATGTATGCTTTTGTTGTTACTGTTAATCCTCTACTGTTAATCCTCCACCTACTATATATATTCTGCACTTTGTCCCTCATTCAGTCTTGCTTGACAACGGTATAAGGATCTATACCGAAACGTCGCTTTTCACAGTATTAAAGAAGTTGTTATCCATAAAAAAAATAATTTAAATTTTTTTTGTGTGTCTATCTTACTGAAAATAGTGTCCTACAGCTTATCAGGTCATAGAGAAAACAAGTTAGTGGTTTGTGGAAGCTGCTTTTCAAATTGTTTAATTCTATCATCAGCGTTGTTTAATGCTACTGTGAAAGGTTTTTTAACGTTATCATCAAGGTTGTTTAATGTAATCAGTAATATATTTTTTTGCTGCATCCGAAATATTTCTTAAAGCTGCAATGGCAATGTTGTAAAATGCTGCATCAGTAAACGTTGCTTAATGGCAACATGTCAGTGTTGTATAATCATGTCAATGCTGCACCAGCAATGTTATTTAATGCTGCATGAGCAGTTCTTTAATGCTGCATGTGCAATGTTTTTTTAATACTGCATCACCAAGGGCATTTAATGCCACATCAGCAATGTTTCATGCTGCATGAGGAACGTTGTTTTAATGCAGCATCACCAATGTTGTTTTAATGCCACATCAGCAGCATTGTTTTAATGTCACATCAGCAATGTTATTTAATGCTGCAACACTTGTTTAATATTGCATCAATGTTATTTAATACTGGATGAGCAATAATATATCCACTACATGCGCAATTGTTTTTAATGCTGCATCAGCACTATCATACTGCATCCCACTGACCAGTGTTGGTTCATGAACTCCTTCTGGGTGATGGTGAAGGTACACAGCTTGTTGTTCAGCGACTCCTCATCCTGAAAAACAGACGATCAACTAGTCAGCGTAGTACTACCTTTAACAAGCATGATATACTCATATCCCCTGCCAGTGACATGTCCGGTTGTGTGCAATGCAAGAAATTTTGTCCGTTTTTCAAGATTTGCCGTGGAAAGGATCACTACAGCCATTTTCAATCTAACTCAAAGTCGTTGCCCTGAAAATGTTTTTAAAAATCCCAAACTATCAATAGCCACCAGTTCACCACTAGGCCTATCTTTGCGCCAAATTTGGTACTCATTGTTTTTAGTGCTGCTCCGGAAACAACGCAACGGCTGGACAGCGAGATGGACTGACGGACAGCAATCATTCCTATGTAACTGACAAAACAATGCAATTCATGAATCACTGTTCTGCTGCAATAAATAATCAAATTCTGCTTGGTAGCTTAAAAAAAGAAGAATGAAGAAAATGGGTTTTTTTTATGCCGCAGTGATATTCTAGTATTATCATGGCAGCCTATACAAACACAAAAAATGAGCATAGGCCAGCAAACAATGGCTTATAAAATGACAAATCATCCATGCATGTCCTCTCAGTTCTCACCTGCCAACTCTAAGGGCAAACATAAACGTACCAGCGACTTTTCTCTCCCAAAAAATTCTTAAATTATGTCATCATGATCATGACATAAGCCTGGACCAGAGTGAGTAAGTGAGTGAGGTTTTACTTCACTTTAAGCAATATTCCAGCAATATCACGCCGGGGGACACCGGAAAATGGGCTTCACACATTGTACCCATGTCGGGAATCGAACCCGGGTCTTCGGCGTGACGAGCGAACGCTTTAACCACTAGGCTACCCGACCGCACCGCCTGGACAAGACAAACCAGTGGTTTATATAATGACGAATGCCCTATGCATCAGAGTATGATGACACACAATCTACATATATGGACATCGAAAACCGATCCAGTTTAGTTACCTATTAAGGCGATCATTGGCTACTCGGGATCATAGTAGCTCCACCCCATGGAAAGAAATTATGCAATCAGGATGATTTTTGTATTTTGTTTGTCATTTAACACTGCACTCAGCAATAATCCAGCTATATGACAGAGGTCTGTAAATAGTTGAGTGTGAACCACACAATCCACTGATTGACATCATGAGCATTGATCTACAATAACGAGCCCGCAAGCCTCATCACCTGGTAGTGTTCTCTCCCCTCTTATGACAAGTATAGGTAGCTGTATATAGAATAATAAACAAGCTGTTGTTACACTACAGTACGATCGCCTTGTGGAACAGGGCCCTGCAAAGTTAACTATCATGTCACAATACCCGATGATGTAATTTGTGGAATTTTGTTTCAAGATCCATTGGCGAAACAATGCCATGTGAGGTCAGCCTAACAACAAGGTTGCTGGGGTCATGGAGTGTGCTCCCTACGCAACGTTGCTGAATAAGCCGAGGGATGTTGAGAGCTTTCAATATTTGTTCGTGAAACTTGTTCCGAATGTACATTACCACACGTTTCGGTATTACACAAGCTTGCATCTGTGTGGTATAGCCAAGTCTTACCGAGTCTTCAGCTCCGGAGTCCTCATCATCCTGGGTGAGTTCCTCTGTCCAGTCACTGTCGGCATCCTGCATGGTCACCACCTCTGTGTCCAGGGGAGGAGTGGCTGTCCCACACCTGATAAACAATCAGGTGGAGTAGATAAGTACAGGTGAGGTGAGATGAAATGGGGTTTAACGTCGCGTCCAAGATTATTGCACTTATATAGCGACGTGCATGCACGTGTATGTGTGTGTGTGTGTGTGTGTGTCTGCTTGTACTAGTCCGGACTGATGCCGATTTATAGTGCTAGCCCACTGAGATACCATGCTGCCATTTAACACCCCACTCAGACAAAGTACACTGACTCCGAGCCGACCAGTCCTTGTTTTAGCCCCTTAATGCCGAGCGCCAGACAGGGTAACAACAAGTACCATCTTTTAACGTCTTTTGGTATGACACGGTCGGGGATGAAACCCCGGACCTTCCGCTCTCCGGGCGGACGCTCTACCTCTAGACCACGGAGGCGGTCTTGATAAGTACAGGTTTTGGGCTGAGACCCAAGAGTAATCTCAAGTAGGAGTTTTGAGCAAAGGGGCTCTCATCAGACTGTTGGTAAGTGGGTAGGGAAGCTCCTTATATACTCTTTGTGTTCCAGGTATTCCCGATGATACCAGTGGAGTGACAAGGAGTAGTTACGTAACAAGGTATTTTCTGTACTAGTTCCATAAATGGGAGCTTCATGTAGGTCATTGAGTACAGTGACTGAGTCATAATTGGTTTATGCTACTATCAGCAATTGAGTTTAGACCAGGGGTTGATAGCATGAGCATCTTTGTAGAATGGCACACTCTTGGCCATGTCAAATACTGAAACAACCGAATCATTACTTTAGTAGGCACTTACACAGGCACAGGTGCCTGGAATCTATTGTGTCGAAAGCAAACAATGGGTTCAGTATAAGGCAGGTCCTGTCAACATTATTTCCCTAGCAGAGGAAACAAACCATATTCTAAATTTGGAAATAACTTGATTATAACTTGTATGAGGAGGCTGTCGATTCTGTTTTACAGTTGACAACAGAAACACATGATGCTGTGACTCCCTGTGCTGTTACAGTCTGGTCAAACTGTTGAGCCTACAAGCCGAACTTTACTCCTAGCATGATTATCATGAGATCTTTGTGTCATTATAAGAGTCTGTGCCAAAAACCTTTCAGCCTACAAGCTCCAACTTGGGTCTGAGCATCATTGTCATGAGATATTTGTGTCATTATAAGAGTCTGTTCCAAAAACCTTTCAGCTTACAAGCTCTAACTTTGGTTTGAGCATTATTGTCAGATCTTTTTGTCATTTTAGGAGTCTGTTCCAAAAACCTTTCAGCCTACAAGCTACTGAGCATCATTGTCATGATTTTTTTGTGTCATCATAACAGTCTGTGCCAAATAGATTACACGCCATCCTACCTTTCTGAGGTCCTCTTCAGAGCACAGAGGATGTCGCCAACATAGGTGAGAAGACAGCACATTGTCTGGAGCACCCCCTAAAACAGAAAAATGGAACGCTATTGGTATACTACAAACAGTTGGGTTTTGTCATCATCTACACCATCTACAAAATCAGCTCTGCTACATCGATTCAACACCACTCTCACTCAAGATCAGACAAACCTAGAATAGGATGTCACAACCAGTGAATTATAACATCAGCAGATACGAATGTAAGCTTCTAAACTCTTGGTTAAAACAATCAAAGAAATGTCGCTCAATCAATCATTTCTTCTTCACCTTAAGCTGTTTGCAAAGAGCTGCTCTAGGCAAGCTTTTCCACAAACTGAATTGTTTCTTAAAGCTTATACATGATTGTAAATTATTCTCAAAACCTTACCTTTCCAGCAGATCCATTCTTAAGAATCTTCTCTAGAACATCCTTCTGCTCCAAGTAGGATTTGCTGCAAGAGATGACATCAAATGTGCATCCTCTCAAATGAGACTTTAAAATTAATTTTGAAAATATTTCATAGAATGAAAAAAAAGACACTGAACTCTAACCTTGTTGTGGAGAAAAATCCTGATTATGAAATACATGGGGCATCAGTTTCTTATGCTGTGGTACCATACTAACATTAACCATCATATATGGTTGAGGCAGAGAAGATGATTGTGCAGTGTCATGTTGCTTGGCAACAGCATGAGGATCTATATCAAAATGTCACTATTACAGTAAAATAAAGACCGTTTGTTTGTTGCTTAACGTAGCACTCAGCAATATTCCAGCTATATGAAGGCAGTCTGTAAATAATCAAATCTGGGCCAGACAATCCTGTGACTGACATGACCATCAATCCACGCAATTGGGATACGATGACATGCATCAACCAAGTCAGTAAGCCTGACCACCCGATCCCGTTCATCAGCTCTTACGAAAATCAGTCGCCTTTTACGGCAAACATGGGTTGCTTAAGACATATTCTACTCTGCATCTTCACGAGTCATAAAATAAAGAAGCTGTTATCCATAAATTGTGCCTACTTCGTCATCCGTCAACTTCTAAAAAATACCTATCAAACAATTTATGTTCATGCTGTTTCAAGTACAAGGATTTGAACAAATCAAAATGCATTGCCTTTACTTCTTTTCTTCTTAGTCTGAATATATATATGCAAAATGAAGCCTTTCTAGCATGACAGGAATCATAGTGATGGGTGGACAGAATCCATGGCAATATCTGACGAGGTGTATGATAGGAGGTGCACTAATCATGCTAATCAGTGTCTCTAATAAATTGAAATTTGTTACCAGAGATTGAGCCATCCTGTGGCTGCCTGGAAGAGGGTGACATGGCCTGCCCCCTGCCCTGCCCCTGCCAGCATGTTCATGATGACCATCAGTTCAGGGAAGCCAGACATGTCCCCATCCTGCTCCGTCAGCAGCGGACTTCCCATGGGGATGAGGGCCGCCAGAACAGCCTGGGCCACCTCTTGACCCACAGGGCTGAAACATATGCTGGCTGTTACCACACACAGATACAACCCTTTACACACGGGTTGAAACACATGCTGGCTGTTACCACACACAGATACAACCCCTGATACACAGGGTTGAAACACATGCTAGCTGTTACCACACACAGATACAACCCCTGATACACAGGGTTGAAACATATGCTGGCTGTTACCACACACAGATACAACCCCTGATACACATGGCTGAAACACATGCTGGCTGTTACCATACACAGATACAACCCTTGACACACAGGGCTGAAACATATGCTAGCTGTTACCACACACAGATACAACCCCTGACACACAGGGCTGAAACATATGCTGGCTGTTACCACACACAGATACAACCCCTGACACAGGGCTGAAACACATGCTGGCTGTTACCATACACAGATACAACCCCTGACACACAGGGCTGAAACATATGCTAGCTGTTACCACACACAGATATAAACCTTGACACACAGGGCTGAAACATATGCTGGCTGTTACCACACACAGATACAACCCTAGACACACAGGGCTGAAACATATGCTTACTGTTACCACACACAGATACAACCCCTGACACACAGGGCTGAAACACATGCTAGCTGTTACCACACACAGATACAACCCCTGACACACAGGGCTGAAACACATGCTAGCTGTTACCACACACAGGTAGAGACCCTGACACATTAAGCTGTAATACTCACTTAGATGTTTGTGACCCCCACATACAAATGTGAACACTCAACATTGGATAGTTTAAAAGAAAACTACTTACCTTTTTTCCTTGACAATAAACATGGTAAGATTCTGTAGCAGAACCCGATTCTCTCGAACATTGCTCTCGTTCTCCTCTCCCTGAAATCACATCCATAACTTACATCGTTTCCTCCACAAGTAATGCTTTTTCTTGTTTGTTTGTGTGTTGTTTAATGCCGCACTCAGCAATATTTCAGCTATATAGTTGTGGTCTGTAAATAATCGAGTCTGGACAAGACAATCCAGTGATTGACATCATGACCATCGATCCATGCAATTGGGATACGATGACATGCATCAACCAAGTCAGCGAGCCTGACCACCTTATCCCGCTAGTGGCCTCTGACGAAAAGCAAGTCGCCTTTAACGGCAAGCATGGGTTGCTGAACATATATTCTAACCTGGATCTTCAGGGGTCCACAAGTAATGCAGGTGCATGTTGTCTAATGCTGCAGTCTCAATATTCAAGCAATATCATGGCACCCTTAAACAATTGAGTTTGGACAAGACAAACCATAGACTAAAAACATAACCAACATCCACACTGTTGAGGATACAAAGATTCGACCTCAGTCACGATACAGTGATCTGTTTTGGTCTTATCTCACAACAAGCCTAGGTGTTTGAGAACCAATTGACTAACCCGGAATTCCCATGAGAGCCGACAGCTAGTAGAAACTAACACTGGTGTTGTTTGTGGGTTTATACTGATTTGTACAGTGTTTCAGTTTGATCACAGTGTCAACTTTAGTCTAGGAAGAAAGCTAGCAGATTTTTACAACTTTGTTGAAGCCTACGAACACAGGAATGTTATTGACCAAACAAGGGTCATTATCAGGGCAAATCTGGTACATAAACACATATCTATCACAGGACCCTGGTGTGTATGAGGGACACAACTCTTCACAGCACTAGATGTGCTACCTCATTAACTAAACAATAAAGACATATTTTCGTGTAGAAGTAATATTTAATCATGGTAACCACAGGTAACATCAGCAGTAAATATACTGATCCTTATCCTTCCACACAACAGGCATGGAGCACTGGGGACTGCCTCTGCCTACCAACCCTCAACTCTGACCAAGACCCTGTCTCTGCCTACCAACCCTCAACTCTGACCAAGACCCCTGCCTCTGCCTACCAACCCTCAACTCTGACCAAGACCCCTGCCTCTGCCTACCAACCCTCAACTCTGACCAAGACCCTAACTCTGCCTACCAACCCTCAACTCTGACCAAGACCCCTGCCTCTGCCTACCAACCCTCAACTCTGACCAAGACCCTATCTCTGCCCACCAACCCTCAACTCTGACCAAGACCCTAACTCTGCCCACCAACCCTCAACTCTGACCAAGACCCTAACTCTGCCCACCAACCCTCAACTCTGCACCACAGCCCCTCAAGCCGGCCAACCCTAAACTCTGACCAACACCCCTGTCTCTGCCCATCAACCCTCAACTCTGCACCACAGCCCCTAAGCCGGCCAACCCTCAACTCTGACCAACACCCCTGTCTGACCACCAACCCTCAACTCTAACTATGACCCCGCATCTGGTCACCCCAGCTGTACCCACCTCCTCTGGCTTGGTCACAATCTTAGACAGCAGGCTCTGTAGGATGACTTTGTCCACAGTGGCCAGTTTGGACAGGGTGGCACAGAGAGCCTCGTAGCTCTTGTCTCCTGGACACTTCTCCGCCAGGTGGAACAGCTTGTTGAAGAACTTGAGGACTTTGGTTGCAAACTGAGGAGACAGGTTGTCACGGACCACTGACAGCAACAGGCTGGTCAGATCTGAAAACAACATCCGAAAATAATATTTCGACCTCTTAAACCCAAAACGTCCTCCTTCACATCATGTGGTCTGTTGGAATGTTTCTTTGTATAATGTTCCACTCAGCAATAGGCAAGCTATACGATGTCAGTCTTTAAATAATCCGAACAGGCAATTCAGTGAATGATATTTGACTGACTGAGGTGTGGTGGCACGTGGTCCTGTGAAAAGTGCACAGGTCACAAATCAGGTGAAGTTAAGAAACACTGGTCGCAGAGAGTCCGTGCATGGCTGACGGTGTTTCGACAGCATGGCTCCAGAGAGTTTCTAGGGCTTCGGTCCTACTCCTTACTGGCGTCTCCATCGGCAAGTGACTTTGTTTGACATGTGCCTCTGTTCACCCAGTAGTGGATACCCAGTAGGATGAGATGGTTGTTAACCTTCTAGCACCTAAAAGGCAGCTTGGGTTGTATACTCCCCAGGGAGCTGAGAATGATTCTTGAGTGTACACTGATCCAGTGACCGGGGTAATTATAGCGCTTTGAGCATGCCAGTGAGTGGTGTGGAAATACGAGGAATATAAACAGCCTATCAATAGTATATTAGTTTCTTGCTTTTATCAATATTACAGCTGGAGGCACCAGAAATGGACATGACACATCGTGAATCAAACCTGGCTTTTCATCATAATTCATGAGCCAACACATAAACCACTAGGCTACAACTCACACCCTGAAACTGCCGACTGTCCTGAAAGGGGATTACCGTATTCAACGTAATAAGTGCCCATGGCACTCTCAAAATTAGAAATAGGGAGCTCTTATTAGAATATTATTTTGGTGAAAGAAACAGAGTGGTTTATGCTGACAGCCTGAAATATTTATATACGACAGACATATTTTTTCCAGAATTTAATTGTCCATAATTAGGGGTGCATATAACACACGAGTGCGTATTATACACGAATAAATAAGTCTTGTGTACATCTTGTGTGATCAATCGGAAGGGATAATTGGGATTGTTCACTAGCCAATATATTAGCAAATATCGCCATGGGCGCTTATCAGAGTGGGGTGCTTATTATTTTTAATATGGTATATATGCCTGTAGTTACCAGCGCGCTCAGTGTAGAACTGTTCAAAGGCTTTCTTCCCAGCAGTCTTCTCCAGGTGGTTCTCCATGAACTTGAGACAGTCCTGCAGGATCTTCTCATCCAGGCCACTACAACATAACACGGTGCCATCTTATGGGCTCTGGGATATTTATCATATTACAAACATTGTTCGAAACTAAGAATGAATGTCAAAGGGCCCTTGTCTTAATGCTAAAGTTCAAGGCTTCAGGGTCCAAAATTCAAATACCATACCATGGCATCAAATGAAGAACCCCGCACCCCTGTTAAACTGTTGAGAACTGCCATATAGGATCATTACAGTCAGTTCTTACATCAAGCATGGGATTATGAGACCATTCACAGTATTTTACAGAATTTCAACTTAGGCAATACTACTAAGCAACATCTGACCAATCAGTAGATGCTTTATGCTGTTCTCAGCAATATTCCAACTTTATTACCTACGAGGGCAACATATCGGGGTTCATAAAAATCAAATGTGCTCTTGGGTCATATCACGTCACAAGACAACAGTGTATTGTCTCTGTCATACGGATGTCATTGTTGACGTCATTCGAATTTTAATGTGAAGTGAGGTTGCAATGACGTCACACTAGAAACAACATCATAGCTGAAGATTGTTGACGTCATTCGACAAATTGTGGTTCCGCTGCTGTTGCGACTTGCTGTCCTTATAGGTAAACACTAAAATTTGTCTTTGTATGAAGACATCTTCTTTGGTAATAAATAGAACATTACATTCGTGTTCATGAAATGCTCTCGATCGGGAAAGACTGGAATATAGACACTCATGTCATAGTGAGTGAGTGAGTGAGTTGGGTTTAACGCCGCTTTTAACAGTATTCCAGCTATATCGCGGCGTGTCAGCTTAATGTTGGAGGAAAGTCCGAAAAGATGCAGGTCTCAGACGTTTACCACTTTGGTGAAACCCACGAGCACAGGTATGGTGCTGACAAACCTGGAAACATAATCGGGGTGAACAGGAATTCGAACCCACAATCATAGGTTTCTGGAATGCCCAAGGGACGCAACTCTGCACAACGAATCCACCGCCTCAGACGACTGGGCCACCCGCGCCCCCCCACTCATGTGGTAAACATAGTATGACATTATATGTGACATTCAGCAGAGAGACAGTGTTGTTCCTGTGTTCACTGATCTTGTTGCATCTCACCTCTCAGCATCAGAATAGTCGATAATGAGTTCATGACAGACGGAGATCACATGGCCATACATCTTGAGAGCAAACTCTTCTCCATCAGCCTGACCCAGGAACTTTTCCAGCGAGCTGGACACCTGTGACAGAATTAACATGAATTAACAGCTTTGTAAGGACTTTCCTGGGGGAACCCTAGCACTGTTTTCAAGGCTAGTAACCCCAAAGTCTGGTAACAGCAGACATGATAGAAAAAACCTGTAACAATGGTGCTCCAGTCTCCTAACATGCCCTGAATTTTATATCCCATTTGTACAGTAGGCAGCTTCAGCCTCCAGTCAGGAGCTGAGTCTAGTCTTTGGTTTGGTTTGGTTTGGTTTGTTGTTTAATGCTGCACTCAGCAATATTCCAGCTATATGACAGCTGTCTGTAAATAATCATGTCTGGACAAGACAGTCTAGTGATTGACATCATGCGCATCGATCCACGCAATTGGAATACGATGACATGCGAAGTCAGCAGGCCTGACCACCCGATCCCGTTAGTCGCCTCTTATGACAAGCATAGTTGCCTTTACGGCAAGCAGTCTAGTCAAGACCTATTCAAAGCTTAGTCCATATTACAAAACTAAAATCGACCGATAATGATGCTTAGGGAAAACGTAACCCTTTGCCAAGTAGGTTTAAAATCTGTTCGAACAGACTGTAGATCCTGAATGTGACCCTGCAAGATATCCATTTATTTGTTTAAAGTCTGAAAATGATTAATTCATCCAATATTATTCCCTCATTAGCCAAGACATAAGGGTTGAGGATCACATGAATAAATGTTGGTCACAAGGTAATGCAATGTCTGTGACTGAGAACTCACGGAGTCAGCTAGGTATTCTGTGGTGATGTCGTACATCAGGGGGAACATCACCCGTACAAACTCCTTGCTGCTTTCTGCATCAGGACACCACCTGAAACAGTGATATAGGTGTGATGTAGGATTGGTTTGTTTGTTGTTTGGCTATATTCCAGCTATATGACGGCGGTCTGTAAATAATTGAGTCTGGACAAGACAACCCAGTGATTGATATCATGAGCATCGATCCACGCAATTGGGACACAATGACATGCATCAACCAAGTCAGTGAGCCTGACCACCCGATCCCGTTTTTTTACGGCAAGCATGGGTTGCTGAAGCATGAGTGATATATGGTCTGTAAATAAAACTCAGGCAAGCTGAATAGAGCCATTTTGTATTTTGCATCTCTGTTTTTGAGACAAACAGGAATTCAACATATCTAGTTCGACAGATCCGAGTATGAATAAATCACAGGGACCAAAATGTCAGATAGCAACAACTGGGAATTGGACCCATCCAAGTTGGACAAATCAAGGTTCAACCGTATCTTAATTTCACATCCCGATGCTGTCTACAACAGAGGTAATACTTACACCACCAGGTCACTGGCGAAGCGGACGAGTGAGTTGAGAACATGTCTCATGGAGGCGTTGATACAGAAGCTGGGCTGACCAGACAGGGTGACCATGTGGGCGCTGTGGACAGTGTCCATGTAGCTCTCACAGGGCAGGATGTCATTGGCGAAGGCATTTCTCTGTAAACAATAATAAGGGGCCATTTATGTTGCACTTCAATTCCGCACTACACACAGGCATGCTACACATTATCATCTCAGTCAATGGATCAGTGTGCACCTTCAATTTCTCAGGGAGCATACAACCCAAGCTGCCCGTTTGGTGCTTGAAGGTTTTTCCACATCCACCTCACATGTAGGGTACCCAATCCCAGCTGGGTGAACATAGGCAAATTTGAAGGATGACACCACACGGTTAACACTAATAACAGACACATTACCCTCTAATCCTACCGGGTACCCATTCACTGCTGGGTGAACAGAGGCACATTTGAACTAAGTCACTTGCCCAGGGTGACACCACACAGCTAACAGACACATTACCCTCTAATCCTACCGGGTACCCAGTCACTGCTGGGGAAACATAGGCACATTTGAACTAAGTCACTTGCCCAGGGTGATACCACAGGGTTAACAGACACATTACCCTCTAATCCTACCGGGTACCCAGTCACTGTTAGGGAAACATAGGCACATTTGAACTAAGTCACTTGCCCAGGGTGATACCACAGGGTTAACAGACACATTGCCATCTAAACCTACCGGGTACCCATTCACTGCTGGGTGAACAGCGGCACATTTGAACTAAGTCACTTGCCCAGCATGAAACAACACAGTTAACAGACACATTGCCATCTAAACCTACCGGGTACCCATTCACTGCTGGGGAAACATAGGCACATTTGAACTAAGTCACTTGCCCAGGGTGATACCACAGGGTTAACAGACACATTGCCATCTAAACCTACCGGGTACCCATTCACTGCTGAGTGAACAGAGGCAAACTGATTTGAATCAATTCACTTGATTAAAGGAAAAATCACATGTGCTACATGTGCTTCAGTGTTACCCTCACATACAGTGAGTGAGGGACTGAGTTGTTCCACATGGGCAGAAACGTAGAGATAATTCTGTCAAATGCTCATCACACTTTATTTTTGGTGAATGAATTTGAAGGCAAGTCGCATGTGCATATAGAACAACATGATGTAAACATGAGAAAACAATGTGAAAATGCTTAGGTCTCGGATAATTTATTCGATTTGCTATCACACTGACCAAAATTAATGTATGATCTTCAGTACAGTATGCATTTTTTCAATACATGTCTTGATAAATACTGCAATCACACATGATATAAATCTTTTGCATGTTGTGATTCTGAACCACAAACAGATTGCTGGAGCAAAGGACTTTCTGGTAACATAACCATGCCTACCCATGCTCCAATACTGGGGAACTTGTTCCTTGTTTGTTAAAGGGACTGTTCTGGTATGTAACCATGCCTACCCATGCTCCAATACTGGGGAACTTGTTCCTTGTTTGTTAAAGGGACTGTTCTGGTATGTAACCATGCCTACCCATGCTCCAATACTGGGGAAGTTGATCCTTGTTTGTTAAAGGGACTGTTCTGGAATGCAACCATGCCTACCTATGCTCCAATACTGGGGAACTCATTCCCTGTTGTGCTAGATTAAAGGATTGTTCTGGAATGTAACCATGCCTACCCATGCTCCAATACTGGGAACTCGTTCCCTGTTGTGTTGGATTAAAGGACTGTTCTGGTAACGTAACCATGCCTACTCATGCTCCAATACTTGGGAACTCGTTCCCTGTTGTGTTGGATTAAAGGACTGTTCTGGTAACGTAACCATGCCTACTCATGCTCCAGTACTTGGGAACTCGTTCCCTGTTGTGTTGGATTAAAGGACTGTTCTGGTAACGTAACCATGCCTACTCATGCTCCAATACTGGGGAACTTGTTCCCTGTTTGTTAAAGGGAGTGTTCTGGTCTGTAACCATGCCTACCCATGCTCCAATACTGGGGAACTCGTTTCCGCTGCTGCCGTTCCACTTTTCCACAGCATTCCTCACTGGGCTCGGAAGTATCGCCATCACCTCGGACCCCAACACGGACACCTTGGAGGCGCGGCTTGACCCGATGCTCATCACCATGCCAAATGCCTGTAGTCTGTGAGGGGTCAAAGTAGAGTCGTCCGTGTCAGCTACCTCGCCAAGGACACATGATCTGGAAAAGAAAGTATTCGGAATGTTTCATACCATGTGGGAGATGACATATTATTTAAATTATTGCGAAACCCAGCCTAAGATGATGTAACTCTGGTCCTACCACGATCCTTGTTTCCACATGTTCAAATCACAACCCTCTTTTCAACTACAGATAACTTGATCATAATGTTATATGTGACCCAATGCCACACTCAGCAATATTCCAGCTATATGACTGCGGTCTGTAGATAATAAAGTCTGGAGCAGACAATCCAGCATAGATCCTTGCAATTGGGATACAATGACATGTATCAACCAAGTCAGCGAGTCTGACCACCCGATCCCGTTAGTCGCCTCTTACGACAAAGGTAGTCGTCTTTTACAGCAAGCATGGGTTGCTGAAGACCTATTCTACCCCGGATCTTCATGAGTCACAACTTGTGTAAACAAACTGACTATGCTTGACACGATAAATGGCACCAAATCTAGTGCTCAATTACATTGCTTATTAGGAGCTTTGTCATGTACGTCACTGTTTCCGAGCAAGGTACACTCACAGTTGTCACACTAATGTCATGCTTACATTAACATAATAAATTACAGTAACTGAAATACTATTCACATGCACACCCCTGAAAGATAGGTAAACTTGAACTCACCTGACATATACACTGTAAGCTTCAACAAGAATAAGAATGGCAGGTATCAAATCTAGGGCAATGTCCATCGTCTGATGGGGATCAGCCTGGAATAAAAATACATGTTAGGACAGACTTTGGTTTTGTATGTTTGTTTGTTGTTCGACACCACACTCAACCATTTTCCGTCTCTATGACGGCAGCCTAAAATTATAATCTAGTCTGTATCAGACAATCCTGTGATTGGTATTGTGAGCAACGATCCACTGTGATGGGGACCCCCTATCCAATTAGTCCCCCCTTACAGGGTTAGAAATTGACACAAGTCCTGCAGTCCTTGCCAAACTGCCCAATAGTTAAGGTGTCATAAGGACAAGTAGAAATTTGCCATTTTTAAGGGTTTTGCTACATGTTATCATTATAAGGACTAGTGGACTATAAATGTTAGTTTCTACAGCTGTCTTACAACCAGCATAGGCTGGTGGGGACCAAGGCCCCGTTCCACAAAGCGATCTTAGGGCTAAGTTGATTGTAACTCACTAAGTATGTGATCTTAAATTTTTGTTACGATCAGCCGCCCGTTCCACAAAGCAATCTTAACTAAGAGAGTTGTAAGTTAAGATCAAAATGCTAAGTTGCCCCGGACCAACTTAGGATTGCTAAAATCGATCTTAAATATTGTACCATAACAACAAAGATGGCGACTTTGATTATGGTGTGCAAGGAAATGCGTCGTCTGCTAAACATGACCAAGGGAGGCCACTCCAAGGGAAAATTTCGTATCTTTATGGCTGAAGATTCCGATCTTTGTTAAGATAGGCTACTTAAGAACTTGTAAAGTTACAACCGCCCTAAGATCGCTTTGTGGAACGGTTGTAAACTTTAGCTAAGACAATTTTAGAATCGACGTAAGTCTCTAAGATTGATTGTAGTTACGATCACTTTGTGGAACGGGGCCCAGTTCGAAATCAGATAGCATAACCTTAACTTGTTAGTACAGATTTTCAAACATAGTGAGGCCATGAGACATTTCTCGGATGACCATGAGCAGTCTGCCATTTAAGTTTTCAGTTTGTTTGTTGTTTAACGTTTGACCCATTACCATGAGTGACTGAGTGAGTTGGGTTAAACGCCGCTTTTAACAGTACTGTATTCCAGTTATATCACGGCATGTCAGCTTAATGTGGGAGGAAAGCCCGAAGTGATGCAGGTCTCAGACGTTTACCACTTCGGTGAAACCAATGAGCACGCGTATGGTGCTGACAAACCTGGAAACATAATGGGGCGAACCGGGATTCAAACCTACAATCATAGGATTCTGGGGTGTTTTCAGAGTTGCAGCTGTTATTGAATATTTGGTGCCTGGACATTTAAATATGTCAATAACTGAGTGTAAGCCAGGTCAACCAGGGGTTGATCTTGACTATCAAATCCTGGACACACCATCATCCACATCAAGGATTTTAACCACTAGACCACCATCAACCAGCACTTACAACAAGCATATGGTAATACGGCATCCCAGAATCCACATTCGGATATAATGCAATGGAGTAGGCTAAGTGTAATGGGGCTTAATGGCGTGTTCAAGATTATTGCTTTTGCATAGCAATGTGTATGCACGTGTGTGTGCTTGCACTAGTCCAGACAAGCACCAGTTTTATAAAGCTGGCCCACTGAGATACCATGCTGCAGTTTAACATTGACACCCCATTCAGACACCGTACACTGACTTTGAGCTGACCCAGCCTTATTTTATCCTCTCAATGCCGGATCCCAGACAGGGTAACAGCAAGTAGCATCATTTAACACCTTTTGGTACAATGAAGTCATCTACTGCCAAACAGTATACATCTCTACTTACAACGGGCTTGGAGAAAGCGTCGTCCAGTCCCACCTCCACTTTGGCCACTACAGCGTCCAGCATCAAGATGGCAGACAGACCGGGCAGGTCCTTCATCTGGAGGATCTCCTTCTGGTCCACTATTGGCAGGTTCTTAATCTGAAATACACATGCGTACAGTGACACCTGGGAAACCCTGAGTATTGACTCAGAGACTTACCCATCAACTAGGTTCTGTGGAATATTAGTTCAGTAAATGTCACATGATATTGTCATACGAAAACTGGAACTGGTTGTCTTTGTTATGCATTTCTCTTTTGAACAAATATTCTAACCTGGTCCTGTATGAATTTCATAGAGAGTCGGACATCATAGTTGATGCTGTTTGCTGTTGAGTTGGCTGAAGAAACCAGTGTCTCTGCCTGTTGTGTGGTGGAACCTTGCTTCACAAGCCAGTCCTGTAACACATGAAGCAACTCCTTGATGATGATGATGATGATGATGATGATGATGAGACATGAACATGATTAGTGAGTGAGTTGGGTTTTAACGCCGCTTTAACATTATTCCAGTTATATCACCGTGTGTCAGCTTAATGTGGGAGGAAAGCCCGAAGTCTCAGACGTTTACCACTTCAGTGAAACCCACGAGCATTGTTATGGTGCTGACAAACCTAGATTCGAACCCACAATCATAGGTTTCTGGCGTGCCCAAGGGATGCAACTCTGCACAGTGAATCATGGCGCCTTAGACGACTGGGCCACCTGTGCCCCCAAAACATGATTAGGAATAGAAAGTTCACAACTAGCAGATGGAATGGAACCTCTGAGTTGAAGGATCAACAAACTAGGCTGTGGACAATGGTTAACACCTTAGTCAACAGTATAGTACAACAATATAGGCACAGCACTGACTATAAAGCACCAATCCCTCTAGTAAAGGATGATACACAATCAACCAAGTGACTCTGACCACCTGGACTAGTTTAGTCACTTCAGTCAACAATATAGTTGAGTCTGGACAAGGCACAACACTGACTATAAAGCACCAGTCCCTCTATTAAAGGATGATACACAATCAACCAAGTCACGTCACAGAGTCTGACAACCCGGACCAGTTTAGTCACCTCAGTCAACAATATAGTTGAGTCTGGAAAGGCACAACAGTAACCGCATAAGCACCAATCCCTCTATTCACAATCAACCAAGTCACCAAGCATCCGAGCCTGACCACCCGACCCATTTAGTCGCCTCTTTCAACAAGCAATACAGCGTTGGGTGCTCATTCTAAACGACTGTGAGAATAAGTCATAAATGCAATAGACAGTGTGCCCACCTTCACCCAGCTGACAAATGCCTTGTGGCCAAGTCTGGGTGCCCAGCGGAGGGTGTGAAGGATGTGCCCCTTCCCCATAGACAGCTGGCTGCCCTCCAGAAGCTTGATGTACTGGATGGACGGGGGCAGACACGCCAGCAGGCGCCACACGATCAGGAAGTGGTAGTGCATGGCTGAGGCATCCTGGGAAAATAAAAAATGCATTGAAAGTCATTTATTTTCCAATACCTTGTTTGAATAATATTACACATGTTAAATTATCAATACTAAATTTCAATTCCCTGAAATTAAGGGTTAACAGCTAGAGTATTTTGCATTGGTGGCACTTTTTCTCAGGGAAAACCAAGTCGGTCACCATTCAATCCTCATTTTAGTCAGGTCTTACAATGAGCAAGAAGCAGTGTTATGCACAAACAGCATGGGTCTTTGTTATACCCAAAATACTAAAAGATAAATAAGTTAGGAGGTCTCTAGATTAAAAAAACAAACAGAGGAAAACATCCCTGACACCGGAACTCCCTCTAAATTAGAACACTGTTAAAAAATAAGGACCTGTTGTTCATCCCGAAGATAGTGTAGATAGAGTGTAGAGAGAGTGTAAAGAGAGCGTAGACAGAGTGTAGAGAGAGTGAAGGACATCTAGCAAGTCTTACCAATAGAGTGAGTTTGTCCTTGGTCTTGTCACATCGTGATCCGGCCATGAGCAGACTGATGCATGCGTAGACAGAGTGTAGACAGAGTGTAGACAGTGTAGAGAGAGCGTAGACAGAGTGTAGACAGAGTGTAGACAGTGTAGAGAGAGAGTAGACAGAGTGTAGAGAGAGGGTAGACAAAGTGTAGACAGAGTGTAGAGAGAGTGTAGAGAGAGCGTAGAGAGAGTGTAGAAAGAGTGTAGAGAGAGTGTAGACAGAGAGTAGAGAGAGTGTAGAGAGATGAGGACATCTAGCAAGTCTTACCAATAGAGTGAGTTTGTCCTTGGTTTTGTCACATCGTGATCCGGCCATGAGCAGACTGATGCATGCATCATACAGCTGGTTGTAGTTCAATGTCTCTGCATTGGACAGTAGGAAGTTGGATGCCTGTAACATTGAAAATAAGATTTAGTTTGGTTTGTTTGTTGTTTAACGCTGCACTCAGCATTATTCCAGATATATGACGACGGTCTGTAAATAATCGACTCTGGACAAGACAATCCAGTGACTGACGTCATGCGCATCAATCCACGGGATCGATGACATGCATCAAACAAGTGAGCGAGCCTGACCACCCGATCCCATTAGTCGCCTCTTAAGACAAGCATAGTCACCTTTAACGGTAAGCATGGGTTGCTGAAGACCTAGTCTACCCCGGATCTTCACGGGTCAGCTCCCCTACGCAATTGAGATGTAATGGCACCTCTTACGACAAGCATAGTCGCCTGTGACGGCAAGCCTGGGTTGCTAAAGGAAATGATGCTAATGAAATGCCAGATGCAGTTATAAGTAATACCCACCAGTCCATCTATCTTCGGGGAATCTTGATTGTTTATCTCCCCTGGTCCAAGGCTGTAGAATCTCGGCTTCATGTGTCCCACTATAGAGGTGAAAATGTAGTATTACCATGGCAACAATGTAACAAACACCATTGTACCCATGAAAAATATTACAAACATAAATAAGAAGAATTGCACAATCTGTTAGTCTCCGACTTTAGACGCCAGTCCCAAGTCCAAGTCTAGTAAACTTCAGTTTTTTTCAGTAAGCTCAGTCCATATAATAACACTAAATTCTGCTTAAGTTCACTTTAAGGTATGAATCTCTGGTGTCAAGCAGTTTTATTGATGATGGTAACTGAAAAAAAATAACAAGAGATCTATGTAACCATGGTAACGCTATACAGTAAAGTTGATGACATGAAATTAATTTACGTTTTGATATAAACTGTAAGAAACATAAGCCATGAAATAAGTATCATTTTCCCTGCAATATTAATACCTTCAGACAATTCCTGCGTTGTGAGATTTTTGCGAAAGTTCTCTTCCACCTCCCGACACACAAAGAACTGACTTGCTTTAGTGATGACCCCTGTCTCGCGATCCCCCGTCTGGGTCAGTGTGTGGACAGTGAACAGATTCCACTGGACCTGCAGGGGAACAATCATCATAATCATCATAATAATCATACCGCTGACAAGAGTGACAATAACTTTTCACAGGCAATGATTTGTGTTGTCTGTTGTTTAACACCACATTCATCAAAATTCCAGCTACATGTCAATGGCCTATACATAATTCAGATTGGACCAGATAATCCAGTGATTTGTATAATGGGCAATGATCCATGCTGTCAGGGTACACTGACACGCAACGACGACGCCTCTGAGCCGTACCATTGGGATACAATCAAATAAGACACACTTTCAGCCGGGTGACACTTTCACTAAGTGATTGCAGTGCTACAACTATTTTGAGAGTATGTTTAATTGCTGTTACGATATGAGTTACGGTAGTCGGAGCCCTGTGATCTCTTTGTGAGTGAGTTGGGTTTAACGCCGCTTTTAACATTATTCCAGTTATATCACAGCGTGTCAGCTTAATGTGGGAGGAAAGCCCGAAGTGATGCAGGTCTCAAGACGTTTACCACTTCGGTGAAACCAACGAGCACAGGTATGGTGCTGACAAACCTAGAAACATATTCGGGATGAACCGGGATTTGAACCCACAATCATAGGTTTCTGGCGTGCCCAAGGGACGCAACTCTGCACAGTGACCCATGCCCCCGATCACTTTGTGAAACGGGACCCTTGGAAACTTTTTTGCCTTGAATTCACTCTACACTGTAAACAGATAATTTCAGTGATAGGGAAGGGTATACGCTTATACAAAATCAAGGGTATCACAAAAAGAGATGATCATCATAAAAATTTTTTTCGAGATCAATTAAATTCATGGTCCTGGAGTGTAAGAACAGGGATGGTACAGACAGTCCAAGGATAATAACCTGGAATTCAGAATAGGATCTGCAGATCCAGGTATGGCCAAGGGACAGAATTCAACAACAGATACCTGTGGATGTTCCTACCTGATCAATGAAGGTTGCCGGAGGGTCATAGAAGTAGTGAAGCAGGTAGTCCAGCACTAACATCACTCGGCTCAGCGGCAGTGGCACCGTTGTCTCCAGCTTCCTACACAACACAACAACAACTGCCTCTGTGTATGTACTTCAGGTTAGGTTACATGTAGGACCCGGTAGGACCCTTTTTTGTAGTGTGATGCTGCAGTATTGGCAGTACTTGGGACATGTAAAATATAGGAGTGAGTGAGCGTTTACGCCACTTTTAGCAATATTCCAGCAATATCACGACGGGGGACACCAGAAATGGGCTTCACAAATTGTCCCCATGTGGAGAATCAAACCCTGGTCTTCGGTGTGACCAGCGACTAAAATACATACAGCATACGTTTAACAATCTCTACATCTGCATTTAGTGCACCTGACTTACCAATGAATTTTTAATTGGGCTTTACAGAATACTTCAGACATGCTAAATAAATCTAAATGCCCTGGGTCTGATCCTAGTGCTGTGAACACTATGTGGAATAGAGCTCTGAAATCAATATCATTAAAATCAGATCTAAATACTGCTGAACTTTGACCGACCCATGAAATGATTGGCAAGAAGTCGACATTAGCCAAACAGAAGGCAGCTTTCTCATGCTGTACAGCAAACTGGCGACTACGTTTTCAAACATATTTTGACAAATTCTCGACTAAAAATTTGAAAACTGAACAAAAGAACTTTCTGGATTTTGGTTTGTTGGTTTGTGGTTTAACGCCGCACTCAGCAATGTTCAAGATATATGATGGCGGTCTGTAAATAATCGAGTCTGGGCCAGACAATCCAGTGATTAATATCATCAGCATCGATCCACGCAATTGGAATCAATGACATGTATCAACCAAGTCAGCGAGCCTGACCACCCGATCCCGTTAGTCGCCTTTTACGACAAGCTTAGTCACCTTTTACGGCAAGCATGGGTTGCTGAAGACCTATTCTACCCCGGAATCTTCACAAGTCAGAACTTTCTGGAATGGCTAATAGGTGGTTTAGCTTGTATTGATTACCGGTAGGTGAAGCTTGTAACTGTCGTTCAGTAGTGTTTTAGTAATAAAGGTTGCATGATTAGAATAAAACATTCCGACTGTCACTTTCATGATCTGGTGAGCGATGCACTAATTGGTTCGGATGAAAGATCGTTCATGACCTGTATTGGGCTGTCCTCAGATCTTAGTTTAGTGGTAGTAAGAACAAAGATCTCATTTTAATGGGATTGCTCTGAAATTGAATTTCATGCCAATAAATACTACTGGCAAAGGCAATAATTCCTGTATGTTTTAAATTATTTTAGTTTCTCATGCAATCCACATATATAAAGCATCATAGAAAATAATAACAAGTGGCACATCACTGTCAGAAAATGCCAAAAAAAGAGACATCACGAAAATAGATGACTTTATGCCATGTTATGTTTCTCTCACTATGGAAATACACTGTTAAATCTCGACTTCGGTGGCTAGGTGGAGTGAGCTCACACTTACTCAGGCTCCATGTTAGCCAGTGTGATGATGCATTCAGCTATGCGCAGCAGCAGTGACTTCTTCTGCATCAGCTGCAGACTGTGGAACAGGAACAGCAACAGCTGCATGTGCTCCACGTTGATGTCTGCACACAGAAACATTACATCATCAGAGTATTTGTGAGTGAGTGAGTGAGTGAGTGAGTGAGTGAGTTGGGTTTAACGCCGCTTTTAACAATATTCCAGTTATATCGCGGCGTGTCAGCTTAATGTGGGAGGAAAGCCCGAAGTGATGCAGGTCTCAGACGTTTACCACTTCGATGAAACCCACGAGCACGGGTATGGTGCTGACAAACCTAGAAACATAGTCGGGGCGAACCGGGATTTGAACCCACAATCATAGGTTTCTGGCGTGCCCAAGGGACGCAACTCTGCACAGCGAATCGCGGCGCCTTAGACGACTGGGCCACCCGTGCCCCCAGAGTGAGTGAGTGAGTGAGTGAGTGTGGCTTTACGCCGCTTTGAGCAATATTCCAGCAATATCACGGCGGGGGACACCAGGAATGGGCTTCACACATTGGACCCATGTCGGGAATCGAACCCGGGCTTCGGCGTGACGAGCGAACGCTTTAACCACTAGGTACTCGACTGCCGCTCATCAGAGTATTATGTCTATTTTATGTACTCTAGTCTGCTGTGATAAAAAGGACGGTTAAAACACAATACGAACACAAAACAGTTTGAAACACGGGCATCAAAGGATAGATTCTGTGGAAAATAGGTAAGTGATCGTCAGTCACGTCCTTCGTTGGTAGAGAAGAAGAGAATGATGACATATAGGGGCGTGTCCTCCGACACAGATGTCATGGAGGTCAATGAGGTCATGTTGGGCTAGGAGTACTGAAGACGTTACACTAGAAGGATATGATCTCAGCACCTGGCGCTTAAGACCACTTGCCTACTCTGCCCCAATGACTCATTTATCTGGATATTTGTTAACACAAATAAATGACAATACAATATGGATCAAAAAGGTTTCACTGTAGACAAGGTAACGAAATGTTACTACCTTCAAACTGTTCTGTCTTGTTGTCAAAGTTGAGGATGGCTGTCTTGAGAGTGACGATGAACCTGACCCAGATGTTTATGACAGCGTTGTCACTGTGACTCTTGATGGTCTTGGCCTCTCTCTCCTTCTGCTGTTTCAGCAGCAGCACCTCGGCCAGCACAGCCAGCGTCCGAGGGTACACGGTCAGTGGCCAGGGGTCCACGGAGTTGGGTGACACTCCCAGCTGGACCAGTAGCACGTCCTGACACAAGAAGGTAACAGTGGAACAATACATCGTTACACCAGTGCAGCGTAAGTTTGCATACGAAGATACGATTGCTTGGTTTGTTTGTTGTTTTACGCCGCACTCAGCAATATTCCAGCTATATGACGACGGTCTGTAAATAATCAGGTCTGGAACAGATAATCCAGCGATTGATATCATGAGCATCGATCCACACTTTACATGCTTCAACCAAGTCAGGGAGCCTGACCACCAGATCCCGTTAGTCGCCTCATATGACAAGCATAGTTGCCTTTTACGGAATGCATGGGTTGCTGAAGACCACCAGATCCCGTTAGTCGCCTCATACAACAAGCATAGTCGCCTTTTACGGCAAGCATGGGTTGCTGAAGACCTATTCTACCCCGAATCTTCACAGGTCTGCCAAGCTACGATGATACATGATACATTTTCTTCTGAATCTATACAAGACACTTCCGTCATCATATTACTTACTTGTTTAATGACACCCTCCACCCCCTGCAATTTTAGTCAAATATTGCAAAATATGTTGCAGTTAGCATTCCAAGTTCACTACTACAAACAGCCACTATGAACATGCATCTACAGCCAGCTTTTCCATGTGATCTTGCTTTGAAGTGTTTATAGTCAAGAAGTTTCCACATGATTTGACGTAAATATGTGTATCACGACCATATCGTATCTTATCATAATATTGAATTTGTATCATGATACGTATCGTATCGTGACCTTGTATTGTTTCACTCCTACAAGGTCGTCACACTATTATTGTATTTTGCATATCTTATCATGCTTATAGTCCTTATCCCTCTCTGCGAGAACTCTTCCTGTTCTAGCCCGTCATGATTCACATGACACGATACATACTAGACACATTGAAACACACTGTTTGTATTTCGCATATTTGATATTCCTTATTCCAGCATGCAAGGTCTCCTTTGGTTCTAACTGTTGTGCTATCACCTATTATGACCAACATAGGTTGGTGGGGTACATAAAGTAGGTGAGGTGAAATGGGGTTTAACATCGCGTCCTCGCGTGTGGCTGCTTGTACTAGTCCGAACTATTGCCGATTTCAAAGTGCTAGCCCACTGTGATACCTACCACAGTTGAACATAAATACCCCACTGAGACACAGCATACTGACTCTGAGCCGACCAGTCCTTGTTTTAGCCCATAAATGCCAAGCGCAAAACAGGGTAACAACAAGTACCATCTTTTAATGTCTTTGGGTATGACGAGGATGGGGATGGAACCCCAGACCTTCCGCTCTCCGGGCGGTCGCTCTACCTCTAAACCATGGGCGAGGTCAGTTATAAAGTAGCACAGGGATGTATTTATAAGCATGGTAGAAATACCAGATGCACAACATACCTGCAAGTTGTCAGACAGACAGCCAGTTGCAATGAGGCTGTGATTTAGTTTGGCCAGGGCGACAGATATATCTTCATACACCTTATCTGAAACAAGAAGAGAAATAAAATCATGTCAATCACGGCCACTATCGTTTTGTTTCGTTAGTTGTTAGATTAATGTTTCGTATGGCGATTAACAATGGACAAACACACAAACAAAAGGTGCATTTTACAAGTTTAGGTTACTATTGGGAAAATCTAGATGTGATTAAAGCCCAGAATGAACTTACCATTGCCAACCTTGTAGCATTCCTTGTCCATCTCCCTGATGAGAGTAGCCAGGTTGCTCACATGCTCCTCATTCAGGGACGTTCTGGTGTACAACACAATACATAACATTTACATACTGAATGTAGCAGGAGTTAAATGCCTTCTAGGCATTGTTCATTTTCTTTACAGTTTTTGAAATCTTTTAGCAAGAGTGAGTGATCCAGTGAGTGATCGAGTGAGTGAGTGATCGAGTGAGTGAGTGATCGAGTGAGTGAATGATCGAGTGAGTGAGTGAGTGAGTGATTGAGTGATTGAGTGAGTGAGTGAGTGAGTGTGAATGGTTTTACGCCACTTTTAACAATATTCCAGCAATATCATGGCAGGGGTCGCCAGAAATGGGCTTCACACATTGTACCCATGTCGGGAATCGAACCCGGGTCTTCAGCATGATGAGCGAACGCTTTAACCACTAGGCTACCCAGTGCCCCTCTTTGAGCAAGAAAGAATATCCTTTACATATATGTGCTACCTGGTGTCACTTATTCCTCATATATTGTCTTCAAGTGTATGTGTCTAGCATGAAAGTTTCTGATACTGAGTCTGATCAAATGTTAACTTTACATCGGTTATGCTCATTGCCAATCAGTTGTATGTTCTCTACCAATGATTGAATGAAATAATCAATGCTGATGTCAACATCACCAGTGATTAAGCTAGTGAGTTTATTTGACCAGTGTTTCAGGCTTAACATGGACACCTCACTCAGATGCAGTCTATTGACTCCCATCAGTCCTTGTTTTAACCCTTTTATGCTGAAAATCAGGCAGGTAACTATATTTTAACATAGTTTGGTATGAGTGAGTGAGTGAGTGAGTTGGGATTAAGGCCGCTTTTAACAGTATTCCAGTTATATCGCGGTGTGTCAGCTTAATGTGGAAGGAAAGCTCGAACCACGAGCATGGGTATGGTGCTGACAAACATAGAAACATAATCGGGGCGAATCGGTATTCGAACTCACAATCATAGGTTTCTGGCGTGCCTCAGGGACACAACTCTGCACAGTGACCCATGCCCCCGATCACTTTGTGAAACGGGACCCTTAGATGACTGGGCCACCCGTGCCCTCCTATTTTGGTATGAAACAGCCAGGGGATTGAACCATTGACGGTCTAACCCCTACACCACAGAGGTTGTTTCTCACAGGTATTAATCATGCATGTTCATTTCCTTATCTATCTATGAAGAATCTGACACTTATGGTTATGGCGAAAAGAGTTGGTCCCGTGCACAGGCTGCCTACCTGATGAGCTTCTTGATCTCAGCATCAGGAGAGTTCACCATGAACACATTCAGAAAGCTCAGGACACTTGTTGCCATGGACACAAACTGCAAAGAAATGGTAATATAAATACACCATGAGTTCGTACTGTTCGACCAGACAATCTACCAATAGATATAATGAGCAACGATCCATGCCATCTGGGTACAAAGATACGTAACCAAGTCGCTGAACCTGACTACCTGATCTATCTGGTCACCTCTTATAACAAGCACAGTTTGCTGGGGACCAAAGAAGTATCAAAAGCTAAAGGGATCTGTTAATGGAACACTAATAATACATGAGTTAATATTAATAAGAACATCCTTCATAGGGTTGGTTGGTTGGTTTGTTGTTTTAAGATGCAGTCAGCAATATTCAAGATATATGGTGGCGGTCTGTAAATAATCGAGTCTGAACCAGACAGTCCAGTGATTGATATCATGAGTATCGATCCACGCAAATGGTATTGATGACATGTTTCAACCAAGTCAGCGAGCCTGACCACCCTATCCCGTTAGTCGCCTCTTATGACAAGCATAGTCGACTTTTACTACAAGTATGGGTTGCTGAAGACCTATTCTACCCCGGATCTTCACGGGTCTCCTTCATCATTGAACATCAGACTGGTTATTAAGTATTTCACAATATCCCTTTAACAAGTTTGTGAGGACTGATATCTCTCAAGTACAAGTTAAATGTAGGATTCAGCACTGGACTCAAAGTTATCCAGATAAGCATGGAGGCAAGAATAAGATTGTAGGAGGGTGAACGCATATCTAGCGTTAATTACATTGACAACATTAATTTTCTTCAAAGTCGGATGTACCCACCCCATCTGGTTCTCGTTTGTCTGGTACAAAGTTCGGTTTGTCGCCATTGCTGGGATGCCTGCTCCTCTTGTTTTCACCCCCACCGTCAACTCGTGGTGGGAGGGGTGGAGGGGGCGTGGCATCAGAGGGCTCCTCTGGGGACAGGGTCTCTTCAAACCAGTGGCCAAGAATGGGCTCCGAATCCTCATCTGAAAATTGATTCCAATCAATATTGTCAAGAATTTGATAAAGTCAGTTGCGTTGTGTAAGGCTGAGGTCAGCAAACTTAATATGGTGGCCCCTAAATAACGGATCAGACAAACAAAAGTAGTGAGTGACATTTCTATCTCGTTATACAGGTATTCTGATAACAGTAGCAAACATCAAATCTATCAGGAATGGTTATACATGGTTCTATCTAGACCTGCTCAGAGTCTAATTTTCAAATGTCAGTAAATATTCTCAAATTCAAAAAATTCAAAAAATTCATGTTATATAGTTTTAATATTATGGCTTTTGAGACATGGTGGACATGATTAGTATTTCTCTGACCAATAAGAGGAAGGGGCTTTAATGCTTAGATTGTAATGCTTACAACGTTGAACTGATTCCAATGTTAAAATATCCATGAACTTTGCAAAAAAATCCACATATTCTTTTTTAATTTGCCTGCCATGTCAAGTTAGTTTAAAATCCTAGATAAATATTCTTGTTCATTCAATACTTGTTAGATTGTGTGCTATAAAGAAATCTGAGTGTGAGTGAGTTGGGTTTAACGTTGCTTCGAACCCACAATCATAGGTTTCTGGCATGCCCAAGGGACGCAACTCTGCACAGCGAATCGCGGCGCCTTAAAAACCACTCCATGAAGCGGGATGCAGACAAATGGTTTGAGTTGTCACAGCCTACCTTCCTCCTCGCTGCTGTCCTCGGAGCTGCTGAAGTCGTCCTCGTAGAAGGTGTTGGAGTCGGAGGTGCTGCTGCTGCTGGTCTCCGAGCTCTCCGATCCCTGCTTGAGTCTCTTCAGCATGGCAGCCTACAGCAAGCAGTTACAGGACACATGGGAGTTGTTTGTCTGTTATTTAATGTCACACATGTGCCACAAGTGTTATTTAATTATAAGGCCTCATCAGATTCCTTATGTTTGCTACCATAGTATTTAGAAGGAATGCCTAATTTGAAACATTAAACATTGGGGTTATGACAAGACCATGGACTTCCAAGCATAAGTTTGGACATTTGGCAATTATTCGGTTGTAAAGGTAAAATGACAATCATCCATGTTGCATTCTGCAAATAACCAATCCTTGAAAGTAAATAATCCAGTTAGTGATTGTTATTATGAGCAAACTCTAACCATGCCAACCAATCAACACAAGGACATGGATTCAATGGCGCCTGAACGCTTGACCCCATAGAATAAGCATGGGTTGCTGGGAGCCAATTCTTACACTGAAGCTCCATGCAAGTGTATCAAGTGGTGAAATTCACCAGCTTCATGGGGTGGCTGCAATCAAAGACAGGTAACACCTAAGAGAAAGACGGCACCCTAGATGACATGTAGGGGAGGGGTTTGAGGGAAGGGGAGAGTCCCCCTGACAGACCAGCACCCCACCTGACTGATCTGGGAGGGGGTTTGAGGGTTTATTGCCACACCCATGGGAAGGGGAGAGTCCCCCTTACACACCAGCATCCCAGATGACTGACCTGGGAGGGAGTTTGAGGGTGCATTGTCACATCCATGGGAAGGGGAGAGTCCCCATTACAGACCAGCGCCCCAGCTGACTGACCTGGGAGGGGGTTTGAGGGTGCATTGTCACATCCATGGGAAGCGGAGAGTCCCCTTTAAAGACCAGCATCCCAGATGACTGACCTGGGAGGGAGTTTGAGGGTTCATTGTCACATTCATGGGAAGGGGAGAGTCCCCATTACAGACCAGCGCCCCAGCTGACTGACATGGGAGGGGGTTTGAGGGTGCATTGTCACACCCATGGGAAGGGAAGAGTCCTCCTTACAGACCAGCATCCAAGCTGACCGACTTGCTTCGGAAGGGGGTTGAGAATTCATTGACACACCCATGGGGAGGGGAGAGTCCCCCTGACAGACCAGCACCCCACCTGACTGATCTGGGAGGGGGTTTGAGGGTTTATTGCCACACCCATGGGAAGGGGAGAGTCCCCCTCACAGACCAGCATCCCAGATGACTGACCTGGGAGGGAGTTTGAGGGTGCATTGTCACATCCATGGGAAGCGGAGAGTCCCCTTTAAAGACCAGCATCCCAGATGACTGACCTGGGAGGGAGTTTGAGGGTTCATTGTCACACCCATGGGAAGGGGAGAGTCCCCATTACAGACCAGCGCCCCAGCTGACTGACCTGGGATGGGGTTTGAGGGTGCATTGTCACACCCATGGGAAGGGAAGAGTCCTCCTTACAGACCAGCATCCAAGCTGACCGACTTGCTTCGGAAAGGGGTTGAGAGTTCATTGTCACACCCATGGGGAGGGGAGAGTCCCCTTTAAAGACCAGCGCCCCAGCTGACTGACCTGGGAGGGAGTTTGAGGGTTCATTGTCACATCCATGGGAAGGGGAGAGTCCCCTTTAAAGACCAACATCCCAGATGACTGACCTGGGAGGGAGTTTGAGGGTGCATTGTCACATCCATGGGAAGCGGAGAGTCCCCTTTAAAGACCAGCATCCCAGATGACTGACCTGGGAGGGAGTTTGAGGGTTCATTGTCACACCCATGGGAAGGGGAGAGTCCCCATTACAGACCAGCGCCCCAGCTGACTGACCTGGGATGGGGTTTGAGGGTGCATTGTCACACCCATGGGAAGGGAAGAGTCCTCCTTACAGACCAGCATCCAAGCTGACCGACTTGCTTCGGAAAGGGGTTGAGAGTTCATTGACACACCCATGGGGAGGGGAGAGTCCCCTTTAAAGACCAGCGCCCCAGCTGACTGACCTGGGAGGGAGTTTGAGGGTTCATTGTCACATCCATGGGAAGGGGAGAGTCCCCTTTAAAGACCAACATCCCAGATGACTGACCTGGGAGGGAGTTTGAGGGTTCATTGTCACATCCATGGGAAGGGGAGAGTCCCCTTTAAAGACCAACATCCCAGATGACTGACCTGGGAGGGAGTTTGAGGGTTCATTGTCACATCCATGGGAAGGGGAGAGTCCCCTTTAAAGACCAGCATCCCAGATGACTGACCTGGGAGGGGGTTTGAGGGTGCATTGTCACACCCATGGGTTGGGAGGGAGGGAGTTTGGTGGACCAACCTGACAGTCAGGAGTGGGAAGACCTTTCAGTTTTACCTTCTTGAAAGTGACAAGGACGAGGCTAAGCAGGAGGTCGGTCAGGTTGACCCGGGCAACCAGTTTCTTGACCCTCTTCCAGGCGGACGCTGATGTCAGGATGGTCACATCCATACCAGGCTTCACTTCAGAAGGAACAGTCTGGGGACAGAGAGACAGTCATGAGTGGCTCGGTGCATTGCCAGGGATTCACATAGGTATCTGATATTTCGACTCAAAACTTACATTAAATATTAGCAAAAATGCCTAAACTGAAATGACAAAAGTCTCATCATATATAAGGTTTATCATGAGATCGTATTTCTGCTTCATCAGTTCCTTGGTTTCTGAGATGATGATGCTGACAGTTTTTATGTTGAGGAAAGCCATTTTGAAAGAATTTAGTAGCATGGTCAAAGTGGAAAGGTCAAAATATTAATTATCACAAAAGACAGTACACTTGTCTTAAACCCTACTACTATATACACATGTACCAAATCCATTTTGGCAGCCATTTTGAAAAAAAAGGATTTTAAACTCGAGCGAACGCTTTAACCACTAGGCTACCCGACCGGCCTTTGATGATAATATATTAGGCAGCCCTTGTGTTCACTGCATTATTGTGATATCACTTATTGTCTTTAGTTCTTTCTGTTAATGTAAACAACCGATCTGTGAAGTTATTATTGTGAACTCATATATTTATAAGAATTTGACAATATTATATTTGTGTTTTAAATTAATTTTATATTTATACCTAAAAAAATATTGAAGTCAATTGTTAAGATTACACTGAACCTACCTTCAGGTCACCAAGAGATCCTTCTATCTGCAGGTCTTCAAACAGAGTTGTAAGCAGCTGGACAGCATTAGAGCCCAGAGCCACCGACAGTGCTCCAAATCCTTGGAAAGAGCTGAAACAAGGGCTGTAACACTGAATCAGTGAGCAAAGTTTGATAATTTTTGTGAGGTGAGGTGAAAGGTGAGGTGAAATGGGGTTTAACGTCGCGTCCAAGATTATTGCACTTCTATAGCGACGTGCATGCACGTGTGTGTGTGGCTGCTTGTACTAGTGAGGACAGATGCTGATGTATAGTGCTAGCCCACTGAGATACCATGCCACATTTTAACATGAATACCCCACTCAGACACAGTATACTGACTCCTAGCCGACCAGTCCTTGTTTTAGCCCATTAATGCCGAGCGCCAGACAGGGTAACAACAAGTACCATCTTTTAACGCCTTTTGGTATGACGCGGCCGGGGATCGAACGAGCGGACACTCTACCACTAGACCACGGAGGCAGTCGACAATGCGTCTGAACAATCACGGCAATGTTGGATTGCATGAGCAAGTCTTATTACATTCAGGAGCCTCATTGGAATCTTTATGATCAATGCATTGGCATTTGAATGTAAGAATCCTTACATCCTACACATTAAACATCAGGGTTATGACAAGGCCTCATGAGCATGATGAGTGTTGTGTATAGTTTCCAACAGTGGCATGCATCTACCTAGTTGTACCATGAGAATGGTTTCATGCATCTTCCCGAGACAAGAACCTGGACTAGTTAACTCTCTTGCCTCGGGAAGAGGGGTTTCATGCTGCATTTAGCAATATTCCAGAGATGTCATGGCGGGGGACACCAGAAATTGGCTACATATCGTACCCATGTTGGGAATCAAACCTGGGCCTTTGGTGTGAAGAGCGAACACTTTAACCACTAGGCTACCCCATTGCACCCCCTGTTCTACAGGCGAAATGACAATCATTCAGGTTACAAACTGATGTTACAATCATTCAGGTTACAAACTGATGTTACAAGGTTACACACTGAGGTTACAATTCTCAATAGTAGAGCAAGGGGTTCTGTGGACCCAATCTGTCCTCATTACAATAAGGCCTCACAGTCAAGACATACCTTCTCCCAGAGCTGGGCCTGCTTGAGGGAGAGCTCGATTCCTTTCCCTTCTGTCCTGTCTCCCCGGACTTGTTCTTCCCTGCATCCTTCCTCTCCAGGATCATGGCAGGAGTCAGCCCCAGGATGCCCTGAAGGCCCTTCAGCAGCACCCAGGCAGCCAGCAGGTTCAGATTCTGGGCAACCTGGAGTGAATAAGTGAGTTTAACACTTTATTTTGCTTGTTGTTTAATATTCCAGCTATATGCATAGAAAAAACACGCCTCCGTAAAATCCCTCTGGTCTATGGCACTCGGGCAATTCTCTCGCTCGCAGTTTTACATTTTCAACCAAAACTTCAGATGCTTGTCTTATCCAACTTATGTACCGTCTAAATGCAAGAAATACCAGAAAAAATAAGAAAACATCAAGATACCTTATAGTGAAATAATACAGCGTGTCGTGGTATAAAAGGAATTCAATCAAAGTGTGCGAGAGAAAAAACACATGCAGCATGGACCAGCTGGAGTCATGACATGGAAAACTGAATAAGTTTTCATCACCTTTCCTGGTGGCTCATTGGGAAAACAGTGGGTTACAAAACTTAACACGATATGTGAGGTTGCAGGTTCGATTCAGATCATGGCATTTTCATGCCAAAAAATTGTGACCTTTAACCAATCAAAAATGCATATTGTGTTCATATCAAGAGGCCAGTTTATAAAACGTCAATTGTAAAACCTAGGTATTTCAATTGAAATTTGAATCAAATTTAATTTTATTCCCACTTTTTATTATGTTACATTTAACAGAATCTCTAAGCAAATTAATAAAGAGTTTTGCCTCGGCATCCAAGTGCAATTTGGTAAATTGTTTTGACTACTCAATCAAGAAAAGATTCTTATAAAGATCTTCTTAATGATCCTGTTGAAGAAAAGATCAGTGACAATATACATACACTTCCGCCTGCTCTGGTCGAGTTCCTCACAGCTGTGGACACTGTGTTGAATATTTCAAGCTGAAATAACAAATTCAAAACATTAAACATATGTATGGTGGCACACAAGAAACAGAGAGTCAGGAATATTCAATCTACAATCTACATCTGTGAGTCATCAGGAGTGGATCAAAGAAACCTGCGATCCATATTGTGAGCAATGTCCCAAACAATGGGACACACTGACACACAATCTACCAAGTCACTGAGTGAGTGAGTGAGTTTGGTTTTATGCTGCTTTTAGCAATATTCCAGCAATATCATGGTGGGGGACACAAGAAATGGGCTTCACACATTGTACCCATGTCAGGAATTGAACCCGTGAATTAAGCGTTACGAGCGAACGCTGTAACCATGGTAACCACAAGGCCCCTACCAAGTCACTGAGAATCACCACCTTGTCCATTTAGTCCATTTACCTGTTACCGCATTCTACATAATAAGTACCCGGGGCGCTCTCAAAATTAGAAATTATTTTGGTGGAAAAATCGTAAATTTCGTGGTTTATGCTGACAGCCTGAAATGTTAATATACCACAGATATATTTTTCCAGAATTTAATTGACCATAATTAAGGGTGCATATAACACACAAGTGTGTATTATACACGAATAAATAAGTCTTGTGTACATTGATCAATCAGAAGGGTTGCTAATTGGGATTGTTCACTAGCCAATATATTAGAAAATATCACTGTGGGCGCTTATTAGAGCGAGGCACTTATTACGTCGAATACGGTATATTAATGTGGGAAGAAAGTCAAGTGAGAGTAAATGGGGTTTAACGTCGCATTCAAGATTATTGCACTTATCTAGCGACACATATGCATGCTTGTATGAGGCAGTTTGTACTAGTCCAGACATATGCCGATTTCATCATGCCAGTACTAGTCCACACTGATATCCCACTGAGACACAGCACACTGACCACGAACCAAAGAGCCCTTGTTTTCTCCCCTTAATGCCAAGCACCAGGCAGGGTAACAATAAGTACAATCTTTTAATGTCGTCGTGGCATGATGTGGCCTTGGGATCAGGCCACAGACATTTTGCTCCGGGCAGATGCTCTATCCATGATGCCACGGAGGTGATCAATAGGTCCTTAAACCCAATGCTTGTCGTAAGAGCTGACAAATAAGATCAGGTGATTGTGTGACCTTAATGTGTGCTCCATCCACTAGATCACAGAAGTGGTCAATGTGGGAAGAAACCCTGAAGTGATGCAGATCAGCATGGATATGGTGCTGACAAACCAAGCATCAGAATCAGCAGATCCTGGCTGTCAAGGGAGGCAACTGTGCACATAAAAACAAGCACCTTCATCCAGTCTGAGTGAAAGTTGTTACTGCCGCAGTCAGCAATATCACAGCTGCCTCAAAGGATGGTAAGTAAGATAGTCAAGATGTGACTGGAAATTTTGGTTTGGTTTGGTTTGTTGTTTAACGCTACACTCAGCAATATTCAGACTATATGACGGCGGTCTGAAAATAATCGAGTCTGGAACAGACAATACAGTGATTGGGATTCGATGACATGCATCAACCATGTCACCGAGCCTGACCCCCCGATCCCATTAGTCGCCTCTTACAAGCATAGTCGCCTTTTATGGCAAACATGGGATGCTGAAATTGTGACTCACTCGCCCAATGTAAATAAACCTAAGCAACAGTTCACCCCATTGGGATACACTGACAAACATCCAGTCAGGTTGCCATGGTTACATAGTGATTGGAATACTCTGAGAATCATTTAGTCAGGTTGCCATGGTTACAAGGTGTAACCATAGTATCCTCATTACAAAGTTCTTATGATTTAACAAGAGCCAGAAGCCCTACTCTGCCTCGATATTCTGACAAGGGAGTGAGTATGGATATTCCAGCAATTTCACGGCGGGGGACACCAGAAATGGGCTTCACTTATTGTACCCATGTCGGGAATCGAACCCGGGTCTTCAGCATGACAAGCGAATGCTTTAACCACTAGCCCACCCCATTCTGACAAGGACGCACTTTGTTAATAAAGCCTGACTCACTGTTTTCTGTACAATACTTGTTCCATATCCTTCGATTTCCTCATCCTTGGATGCTGATGGCTGGTTTGCAGCAGTCGGCTTCACCATGTTCACTATAGTGTTCGCCATGGCAACCGTCACTGATGCATACAGGCAGCTCAGGGTTGCTGTGACAATTTTCTCCAGCCGTTTTGGGGTCAGAGGCTCCAGGGCTGGGAGGGAGAAGGCACGCCACACGATGGAAATATCACTCAGCAGCGCCTGATAGCTGCAAAAATTAGAAAAGAATTTTGGGGTGATCTCTTAACCAGCAAATAATCAGGAGTTGTAATGGTAGGTTAATATTGATAAATGTCACCTTAAATATTTCATTTTATAACACGAGGACGATAAGGACATCTTGAATGCCCTTCTTAAGTTCAAAGACTATTGACCATCTTAACCATTCTGCCAAGGGGAGACAATCAGGTGGTACTTTGGATTATGCATTCTTCCAAGTAGAGCCCAGGTCAATAATGTATTACTGGGACCTACTTTGCGTGAATATCCTGAGTATGTATCGGGCATTTTCAGACCAGAACTTCCCACTGGGAGACAAGCATTGTGTACAAGGGACCTATTCTGTCCCAAAATACCCCACTGGAAGACAAGCATGGAGTACAGGGGACCTATTCTGTCCCAAAATACTCCACTGGGAGACAAGCATGGAGTACAGGAGATCTATTCTGTCCCAAAATACCCCACTGGAAGACAAGCATGGAGTACAGGGGACCTATTCTGTCCCAAAATACTCCACTGGGAGACAAGCATGGAGTACAGGAGATCTATTCTGTCCCAAAATACCCTACTGGAAGACAAGCATGGAGTACAGGAGATCTATTCTGTCCCAAAATACCCCACTGGGAGACAAGCATGGAGTACAGGAGATCTATTCTGTCCCAAAATACCCTACTGGGAGACAAGCATGGAGTACAGGAGATCTATTCTGTCCCAAAATACCCCACTGGGAGACAAGCATGGAGTACAGGGGATCTATTCAGTCCCAAAATACCCCACTGGGAGACAAGCATGGAGTACAGGGGATCTATTCTGTCCCAAAATACCCCACTGGGAGACAAGCATGGTGTACAGGGGATCTATTCTGTCCCAAAATACCCCACTGGGAGACAAGCATGGAGTACAAGGGATCTATTCTGTTTCAAAATACTCCACTTGGAGACAAGCATGGTGTCCTAGGACCTATTCTGTCCCAAAATATCCCACTGGGAGACAAGCATGGAGTACAGGGGACCTATTCTCTCCCAAAATACCCCACTGGGAGACAAGCATGGTGTACAAGGGACCTATTCTGTCCCAAAATACGGTATTTTCTTGAGTATAGTGCGTACCCTCTAGCGGGTTTAGTATTTTGGAAAAAACCCATTCAAATTCCAAGCGCAGAAAAAAATTAACCGTACCCCTTCAGCGAAGTCCGGCAAACAAACGGCTGAATTTGAGATAAAAAAAATCACCAGACATGTTTATTTACCGTTGAAATAGTATTTATTGTTCTGCTGGGCATTGTTTTATATCCAGGGATTAAGATTACCTTGTGTATTTTCTCGTACACTAAGCAATCAGCTGTACACACGTTTTCTTGGAATAGACCGGTGATTCGGTCAAGACACACCCAATGATATAACTTTACAGAATTTTTTATGCAAGGATCGGCAAAAATTGTATCTGAAACTATTTTTTTTATCAGGAATAATATATTCCAATATATTGTTAATTGAGATGCAGCTTTTACTAAACATATTTAAAATAATAATAACCCTAAGCGAAGCAGCTGATCGCTATTGCCGGGTATATTTTTTTTTACATGGAACCAGTCTGACCAGTCACCGTCAAGGCTCATGCACCGTGTTTGCGAGAATTACATGTTGACGTAGAATCGTCAAACAAAAACAAATATGACTTTAAAAGAGTCAAAGTATGGCATTTATGATAAATGTATCCATTCTCTGTCAACTAAAGTTCAGGCGTCAATAGCGGTAATCCGACCGTGGTTGCTGTTAATAACTGTGAGTTGTGCGATCTTCCGATTGCTTCACACACGATTTCGCCGAAATTAATAAAAACAATATTCAAAGGAATTTTGAATAAAATTAATGAAATAAATTACAAACATAAGTCCAGATATACAAAGAACACTTTTTATAGCCAGACAGTGTAATGACATGATTAATTTGTGTACTTCAGTATGGATTTGTTGACATGGTATTTCCGGTGTTTCGTGCTCATGGTAATGTCTTTCCATCATGTACATGGGGGAAAAAACTTCCAAACTCATAATTTGTGTATAATGCGCACTCCCTTCTATACAGCTGTGTTTTTGGGAAAAAAAAGTGTGCACTATACTCAAGAAAATACGGTACCCCACTGGGAGACAAGCATCTGCTCCTGTCATATACTGATCAACAAGTACAAAATCATTTCAAATTTGAATAACAGGCGGTTTTATTTACTAAATTTACGGGACCACATGTGCATCAATTTGCACCAATCTAAACACACCTTGCCACGTGTGAGCATTCAGTAACTATCGCTGAAGGGAGCATTTATTCACCATTATGATCACAGGTCTTTGAAAGGCATTTAGGATACACATAAGGAAGAGAATTTATGGATGTCAACTTCTTTATTATGAGGAACACACGATAACCTTGTTGATATGGACAGCAAAGATGCTACAACCTACCTATTTCTTGTTGTGAGAGCCTCCGACAAAGTCCCCGGCATCAGGAATGTTTTCCCGGCAACAGCATCCTTGTATCGCTGGATGTATTTTCCAAGAAAGGTCAGTTGGAAGCAACAGTCCACCAGGACATTGGCGCCATTCAGCTGAAGCAAGTGAGCTGTGTTCTTCTTGGCAAACAGGACTGTCATCTCCTCTGTGGAATCGGCAACATGGATCACAGTGCTGTTGCCATCATTGCTCATAGTTTCTGTTGGGGTGCCAGTCTTCGGTACACCGCCGGCGCCCATTTCGTCAAAGACCGAGGTCAACTGGTCAAACAAGTTGTTTCCCGTGTCCAGGCGTGGTCTTTTCACTTCTTTTGGTTTTATCTCTTCTTGTTCTGGAAAACATTTCAAGATATATCAAATTATATATCAATAGTCACACATTGATACCATATAGCACTATTGATAGTATTGATGTCATACACAGTGATACAGGGACAAAAACTGTTTATCATTAACTTTGCTGTATATTTTAATCCTAATTTCACTTTTCTTTTAGACATAGGAAGGTATCCATTCAGTTATTGTACATAATCATAAAAAGGACAATAATCACGTTAAGCAATCTCCTCTCTAACATGATCCAATAAATCTAGGAATAAATAAAAAGTATTTGTAACTGTCAGCAAAAATATTCTGCTACAGCGATGCCAGCCCTTCCTGAATCTTACTAGTCTTGGAATAGCAGACTTTTGGGGTTACGGTTGGTTGGGTGGTTTGTTGTTTAACGCCGCACTCAGCAATATTCCAGCTATATGTCGGCGGTCTGTAAAATAATCGAGTCTGGACCAGACAATCCAGTTATTGACATCATGAGCATCGATCTACGCAATTGGGATCGATGACATGTATCAACCAAGTCAGCGAGCCTGACCACCTGATCCCGTCAGTCGCCTTTTATGACAAGCAGGGTCGCCTTTTACGGCAAGTGTGGGTTGCTGAAGACCTATTCTACCCCGGAATCTTCACAGGTCTTTGGGTTTACGGACAATAGTGATGTATCAGTGGTTTCAGCCATTAGTGTTCAATGTCAAGGGCAGTTTCAGTGTCCTTGAGCTTTGCTCCTACAGTATTTGAAACTTGGGATTAATCTTTTAACATATATCGAGTGAGTCATGTCAAGAGACGCTTCACATTCAGACTTCACTGTCCCTCATTACACCCCCTCGTCATTACGAACCTGTGTCCTCCCCATCTGTGATGTGGGGAGGTCGAGTGGCCGACTTCAACATTGAAGCAAACGTCACCACATCAGCCTTAGGTAGACATCCTCCTCCATTGCACAGCCCCTTGATCAAGATCATCAAGTACTTCTGCAAATGGATGATATGATGGAAGTAATAAAACTTTTCTCAAGCATATACAATGAAGTGTGTTTTGTCAGGTCATAAAATATATTTTTTGTTTTGTTTTGTTGTTTAACGCTGCATTCAGCAATATTCCAGCTATATGATGGCGGTCTAGAAACAATCGAGTCTGGACTAGACAATCCAGTGATTGATATCATGAACATCGATCCACGCAATTGGAATACGATGACATACATCAACACCTGATCCTGTTAGTCGCCTCTTAGGCGACACTTTTTTTATTTCTTGGTTTACGGATTTCAAACTCATTTCAAAAGTGAGGCAGGCCAATTAAAAAAAAAAGAAAAAAAAAGCCTCTCACATTTTTTTTACCTGAATTTTGTCCTAAAAAGTTAGGTAGGTATGAAAAAAAATATCCTGGCGTAATAAAAGTAAAATAACTCAATTTTTCAAGAACATTTTATTATATCCCTGGCACTCAGCTTGTGCAAAAATGGCAACATAAAGATATTCATGTCATGGGTGGAAATGCATGAAAGACACTGCTATTTTGGCAGCATGGGCAACGTTTAACTCTTCTAACACCAGCCAACCAGAAGATTACTGCTGTGACACCAAGTTCCCAGAGACTGTTGTGTGATAGATGAAACCAACATTTATCAAGGAATTATCTGCTGAAATTAACATCTTTGCTACTACATGTTTGGCCATACACTATTTGAAAGGTCTAATTAATCCTATTGTTTATAAATATGAAAGTTATGTGTATTTCATTATACAAATAATTCATGAACAACTAAATAAAGTTCGTTTTAAATAAATAATAATGTAAGCTAAAACATTCATAACGTCCAAATTAAGCGCAAATCTAACGATTTTTTCGGCAAATATAAGAATTCATAAAATCCACTTACCCATTTCTTTTTAATTTTCATTTGTTTACGTTGTTGGAACATTATTTTAAAAAGAATTACAAATAATATCTGTCATCACCCATTTCCCGATGATAGTGGCTGTCCGCTCACTAACATGAGGAAATACCTCGGTTTTCAAAGCTTTGTATGAATAACACATACGTCCTGCCATGTCAGTATGTACATTAAAAAAACTTATATTGTTTCACCGACAAAATCTGCTACAAGGTCCGTGATTGGTCAAATTTAAGCACGTGACCTAAGGCAGCTAATCAAATTACAGCAACGATAATTTTCAGATTTTGGCGAAAGGTTTGGGTTAAATCATGTTATTCTGAACGTTTTAGCATGAAATCGCGATCTATATTAAAAATATGGAACTTTATGGATGCATAGAACTAGGTTTCGAGCTGTGACAAAGATTTCTTATGCATATATTTTGGCATTAAGATCGTGTCCGAGCCGAGAAATCGAGGCGACGAAAGCCGAGATGTCATTTGACTTACGATATGCGATCGCATGAAAAGTTGGAAATAATAACTAAGATGTCAGTTTGGCAACTTTTATAGATATATTTTTGATGATTTTATTACTTTCTAAATAAAGACGTTTCAGCGCGTGAAACGTCTTTATTTTGATATTTGACATGTTCGATGAGGACCCGTTGTCGAAGTGTGTCCGAGAATTTTATTTTCAATAACATTGCGGGAAATAGTGTCAAGTGAATATATTTTTAATCTATAGATAAAAAAAATGATAAAATCAAATGGAATACGTATTTCAGACATTGTGAAATGTGATAGATTTAATAAATGAATGATATGACAAGTAGGTTAATAAAATTATAAACTATTTTGACGTGGCTTGGACGGTCTACCGTGCGGTGTGACTTGTGGCTTTGAACGGCCAACAGTGTTGAATTAGTTAAACTGGTCACCACTGCGCTTTGCGTTGACAAGCTTTGATGGTATTAGAGAAGGATCCCAGCAAGAAATATCAGAGTGACTTCCCTTTGCTTTACGCTCGAAGAGGAAATGAAATCTTTTTTTTTGTTTGAACTTTTTGTCGAAAAGATCGGCGGTAATAAAAAAAATGGTAATTTTCATTTTTATATTTTTTTAACATTTGGACTTTGAAAGAGCGGCGCATCCGTAAACCAAGAAATAAAAAAATTGTCGCCTTACGACAAGCATAGTCGCATTTTACAGCGTCTCAACGGGTCTCAAATATAGTCTGAATTCATAACGGTCAAGTTGGTCTGATTAGTCTTAGCTTTTAACATATTGTATTCACAAATGTTTTGGTGAACATGAAGGTTGGGCAGAATTAAAAAGATAATATTTTGTCCAAATGTCATTGTTTTAGTCAGATCTGTGTATGTATTTTAAGTGTTTGCATTGGTCTTCACAATAAGGGGGGTCCCCTTTGAAGAGTTAGCTGCAAGCATCCCTGGCGCTTGGCCATCAAGAAAAATGTTCAAATGTGGGCCTGAAAAGGTATATTGTAAGCCATTCTGAGCATAAATAGAGTGTCTGGTTGAAATCTTTCAGTGTCTGTTTTTATGTGTGTATCACATGGATTTTGGGAGGCGAGAGAACCTCGAAACATAACAATAAGTTATGTGTGAATTAAACTTTTTACAAAATGAAACATGTAAGGGGATGCATGTAGGTTTCAGTGCGTATCTTTGTATGTGGGACGCCGTAAACGCAAACTCAGTTTTTAATGTCAGGTCATGGTGCAAGACTGATTGCCTCTTCTGTGTCTCATCCAGTGTGAGAGTCAGACCCACCTGTGATATCGTGCAGCTCTCATTGTGGTTCTGTAGACGCAGCAGCATGAAGCGCAGCAGCACTCGACATGCATTGCTGGCCTGGATTAGTGTCGACTTGGTCACTGAAATTAAAGTGAAGTGGTTTATTTCACAATAAAACATTGTTCTATCATGACAGCATTTCTGGAGATTTGAAAATGCGCTCGTAACTTGATCATGTTGATGATGTCATATACGTTATTTTTTTATTTGGATAAGGGTCGACTTTGTCACTGAAATATAAGTGAAGTGATGTGTTTACCATGTGTAGATTTAAAAATGACTATACTACTCCACCTTTTAAAGGGACATTATCTTTCCATGATACACAAACATGATTCTCATTTGTCAAGTGTATATTTAAATCTCAAATATCTGATGATCCCTATCAAAAGTTGAGTAGTATAATTGTGAGTGAGTTTGGTTTTACGCCACTTTTAGCAATATTCCAGCAATATCACAGCGGGGGACAACAGAAATGGGCTTCACACATTGTACCCATGTCGGGATTTGAACCCGGGTCTTCGGCTTGACAAGCGAACGCTTTAACCACTAGGCTACCTGACCGCCCCAGTATAATCGCGAGAATGCTTCCAATACATATATATCCTCCCAGTCATGAATACTTGTCTCCCAACACTTCCAACTTCCAGTGATTTACTTGCCACCAAAGACTAGAATACCTCAGTGTAACTCTTAGTGTAACTCTTATCAATGCCAGAAAAACTTAACTGTGTCACAAGTGAGGAAGTCACAGTGCCAAAATAATTGGAGTTTACAAAGCCAGACTTGTATTGTGCCATTATTTTCAGTACAGTTACCCTTAGTTTATGGTCTAGGATCCGCTGATCTTACAATCCAGTGATTGACATCATGAACATCAATCCATGCAACTGGAATCCGATGACATTCATCAACCAAGTCAGTGAGCCTGACCACCGGATCCCGATGGTCACTTCTTACGACAAGCACGGGTGGTGCTGAAGACCAATGCTAACCCGGAACTTCACGGCATGCCAATAGCATGGATTAAACACCGAATGCAAAATTGGGGGAAAATCATGTTTTTGTTCAAGATTTGATTTGTTTTAATGTTCATATTTTTATCTATTCTGCTAAATTGGGAAATTTATATTTTTTAAAAAGGGACTTTTCTGTCATTTCCGGCAGATTTAGGACCAAATATCGGCCTCAGCAGGTCTAGATATATCCCTACAATACCTAAACAAATATTCCTCTACTCAACATGCTTGCACACCAGTTTTCCCACTCATCCGGCAAATTTAGAATTGATAGAAAACAGCTTTGCGATTGAGCTGAGGTTAACTTGTGCTATGTCACGTAACTTCCATTGACTCGGGGGGGGGGGGGGGGGGGAGAGTGCTTTGAAGCGGGCTATAGGGGACTTATTCTGCTTCTCAGAAATCCATGGGCAGCCTGAATTGCTCGTGGTGGGTATAAGATATTGATTCCCCAATTTATTTCCCTCCAAGGCAGCATACTTAGTATTTTATCAAGATCACATGGACCAATCAGATCTCATCATTCTGACACGGAGGTACGATAATTTCCCTTGCACACGTCACATTAATGTTGCTAATCATGCTAATGCATTAGATATGACAGTTATACAATTATGCTGACTATGCAGATTTATAAAGTTGGCACTTTAGTTTCCTATTCATTCAATTATTGTACTCATAACATGATAAAATGAAAAATGCTAACAGAATTAATGGACAAACTCATAAATGTGTCAGCATAACACTAGTATTTATTGTAACCTATTAGTTTTTGTATTGTGACCAACCAATCCCCTATGATATTGTAACCAACCAATTCCCTTACCAACCAATCCCCTATCACATTGTAACGACCCCATCCAATATCACACTTTAACCAACTGATTCCCTATTAAATTTTAACTCACTTATTTTATTGTAACAAACCAATTCCCTGTTATATTGTAACTAACCAATCCCCTATTATATTGGACCCGTGAAGATTCGGGGTAGAATAGATCTTCAGCAACCCATGATGCATGTCATAGATCCTAATTGCGTGGATCAAAGCTCATGATATCAATCACTGGATTGTCTGGGCCAGACTCGACTATTTACAGACCTCCGTCATATAGCTGAAATATTGCTGAGTGTGGCGTAAAACAACAAACCAACCAACCTATTATATTGTAATGAACTGATTCCCTATTACATTGTAACCAACCAATCCCCTATTGCATTGTAACCAACCAATCCCCCATTGCATTGTAACCAGCCAAACCCCTATTACATTGTAAGAAACCAATCCCCTATTTTAACTGCCATGTTACAAGGTCTACTGTGGCCTGTCATCCTGCAGGGTGAGGTGAGGTGAAATGAGGTTTAAAGTCGCGTCCAAGATTATTGCACTTATATAGCGACGTACATGCACGTGTATGTGTGTGTGTGGCTGCTTGTACTAGTCAGGACTGATGCCGATTTATAGTGCTAGCTCACTGAGATACCATGCCGCAGTTTAACATGAATACCCCACTCAGACACAGTATACTGACTCCGAGCCAACCAGTCCTTGTTTTAGCCCCTTAATGCCGAGCGCCAGACAGGGTAACAACAAGTACAATCTTTTAACGTCTTTTTGTATGACGCGGCCGGGATCGAACCCTGGACCTTCCGCTCTCCGGGCGGACGCTCTACCACTAGACCACGGAGGCGGTCTCCTGCAGGGTGAAGAGAGAGAGGTCAACGTACAGTTACTGGAACTTGCACTGATGAAATGAGAGGACAGGGCCACAAAGGAGGAGTAGAATGGCTCGAACTCATCATCATGTTCCAGGATATCCTTTTCACTGAAAACAAAAACACATATTGATAACCATGATCTTTTGGAAAATATATAATAAAACTGAATATAAATGAAAAATATAATAAAATAAAAACAGAAATGTTCGAAAATCAGAATGAAAGTCTGGGGTGTGAGCTTGTTATCGCCCTCATCATGTTTATTAAGGGCGTCTACTTGGTAAAAAAAATATCAGGTGAAATAAAGGACAAATGTACGCAATCACAGTCAAATGGTATTAATAAATCATTAAATGTTACTAATAAAGGTCATAAGAAAGAACAATGTATACTAAAGAACGTCAGGGCGCACAAAGGACGCCAAGTATGTTAAAGGACAATGTTAATAATATAGAACGCAAGATGGTGCTGCAATTTATACCACATTCCGATTTTAATCGGCCTGGTCCTCTGTGTATATGATAAATGTTGGCAATGAGCAACACGACAGCGACGTGCACAACACATTTGTATTTTGTCTTTTCTTGTGCACCCAATGTGTGACGTCATATACATGTTGCAATTCTATCAAGTGTTTAGTCATCGTCACTGGGAAAAGAAGGACATTTTGATATTTTTTTTTTGTTTATTTGAGAATTGACTTTCGTTCATATAGTTTGTGTTTAAAGCGTTTAATGATCTTTATTATCAATGTTGTCCTTTAGTGTACTAGGTGTCCTTTGTGCGCGCTTTTGTTGTTCAGTACATATTGGGTTTTTTCATCTTTATTGGTAACATTTAATATTTTGCCAATAACAATTGACTTAAAGGGCAATTTTTGTCCTTTATTTATTTAAACTGATATATTTTTTTAACAAATGGCTACCCATAGCTTATGATCTTATAAATAGTTAAAGATTTAGGAATCAAATATTATAGGAGCAAACCTCAATGACCCCACTTAATTTTGAATACTGCACTCACAATCGGAATATTCATGGAATTGAACTTCGGTCAACAAAAAGAACCTGGGTTATGGACACTGAGAAATTACCAAACTGGCATTCTTTTTCTCAGCCTTTGCCTCTAAGGAAGAGAATTTATGATGTCAACTTCTTTATTACGAGGAACACAACGTTTCAGAGAATGTGCTTTTATGGATGTTAACTTCTTTATTATGAGGAACACAACGTTTCGGAGTATATGCTTTTATGGATGTCAACTTCTTTATTATGCTTACTCCATCACTCCTTACTCATTCACCAGATGAAGCAGTACGCATAAATTCTGAAACATTGTGTTCCTCATAATAAAGAAGTTGACATCCATAAAAGCACATACTCCAAAACGTTGACATTTAAATTCCTTTCAACATGTTCAATGTCTTAGGCTCTAGTTTCCAATACATAGCAGGGAAAACAACAAATGTTCTCTACAAGCACAATAATGTAGCAATAATGATAACATGTGTGCATAGTGGAGGTAAGCAAACTGCTAAAAAAAAGTAATTCCCCGACCAGTACCTTCAGCATGTTCAGGAACATGTTTACACCACGAACAAGAGCAGATTGCTTCAGACAAGTGCTAATTTCTTTCCTTGCACATGCTTTATGGTTCAATTTTCCAATAAATATTCACCTGCTGTTCACATCAGTCTACGTGATACTTATCAGTGTCATTAGGCACGCCATAAGCATTAATTCCGTCTACCTGTTGGAACTAGTCCGATAACTCTATTTCCACAGCAACTTGGTCTACTGCGTTTTGTACTTTACAACGTCACACGGCGAACAGACTAAACAAGACAGATAAGCCTCCAATCTGGACATGCAAGCATTGGCTGTCCTACAATTTAGTAGGCCTACTGCGTACATATTGAACGAAGCATAACGACAATGCATCTGATTTCCTTGTGTATTGAAAGTGTTGGTGTAAACAAGTTGACACCAAATCTGCCTCATCATCTGCCGCAATTGATCATGACTAAAAGCTAAGTTGTAACTAAACGTATTTCTTGGTGTACCTTTTAAGTATGCCTTTAGTCAAATCTGGGAGGTCATTTTTGTTGAATGATGAGTATGAAGCCGACAAAAGTGGCTTTATTGCCAACGAAAGCCCTTGTCCTGGGCTGGTCGCCATTTCGCTTTCTTTCTGCTACCGGAATTCGGAGAGTTATCTCCCTTGAATTATATTTTAACATTCGGGATGTTCCGGTATGTTTCGGTTTCTACGAACTAGACTTGATTCGGCTCGCTAATGTTTGCCAGTTTGGTATGAGTTTGTTGTTTAACGCCACACTCAGCAATATTCCAGCTATATGACGGCGGTCTGTAATAATAGTCTGGACCACACAATCATGAGCATCGATCCACGCAAAAAATAGGACACGATGACATTCATCAACCAATTTTTTAAGTCACTCGCCTCTTACGACAAGCATAGTCGCTTTTAACGGCAAGCATGGGTTGATGAAGACCTATTGTAACCCGTCCAGTGATTGACATCATGAGCATCGATCCACGATACGATGACATGCATCAACTAAGTCAGCGAGCCTAGCCATCCTATCCCGTTCGTCGTATCGTGATGAAAATTAGATGAGTTCTGCACTTGGTGTGTTTTGTGTATGTTCCAGAAAATTAGATTCGACCCAAAAATTACGAATTTTATTAAAACGTACCAGGATGAAAACAGTCGCGGAAACACTGCAAACTTCAGGTTAATAACACAGTCTGAGGTATGATACTCGTCCCCACAACATCACCATCAAACTCCCCTGAATCTACAATCACACAATACGTTCCCCTGTACCATTCCCTTGAATTTACAATGACACAATACGCTCCACTGTACCCGTCCCTTGAATCTACAATAACACAATACGCCCCCTGTACCCGTCTCTTGAATCTACAATCACACAATACGCTCCCTGTACCCGTCCCTTGAATCTACAATCACACAATACGCTCCCCTGTACTCGTCCCTTGAATCAACAATGTCACAATACGCACTCCTGTACCCTCCCTTGAATCAACAAGGTCACAATACGCTCCCCTGTACCCGTCCCTTGAATCTACAATGACACAATACGCTCCCCTGTACCCGTCCCTTGAATCTACAATGACACAAGATAGACACAATTTTATGGATAACAACTTCTTTAATACAGTATTAAAGAAGTTGTTATCCATAAAATTGTGTCTATCTTGTCATCCGCCAACTTCTAAGTAATGCCTATCAAACAAGTTACAATGACACAATACGCTCCCCTGTACCAATCCCTTGAATCAACAAGGTTGAACCAACTTTGTCACAATACGCTACCATGTACCTATACTATAAATCTACAATGTCACAAAACGCTCCTTTGTACCCTTCTATGGGGCGGTCGGGTAGCCTAGTGGTTAAAGCGTTCGCTCGTCACGCCGAAGACCCGGGTTCGATTCCCGACATGGGTACAATGTGTGAAGTCCATTTCTGGTGTCCCCCGCCGTGATATTGCTGGAATATTGCTATACCACCTGTATTGACCTTTTTCACACTTCGCTACTTCTGGTTTGAAAGCGAGGCTTGGAGAGCAGAAGGTGAAGGCTGGATAGCACATGAAACACATGGAGATGTCAACAAGGCATGCAATCGGGACAAACTGTGACAATTTAACCATCCCGGTACATTTATCGTAAGTATTGAACATTATTCTTATTGACAAACTATTCTACTGTTATCTGGTCTCCTTACCGATATAAATTTGAGTCTGGCCGTTCTGTTGTGATTTCAATTTAAAATATCCATGACCACCTGGTAACTCCCAGTGCAGTTTATGGTAGCTGAACAGACTTAATACAAATTCTACTGAAATCTTGTAAAACATAATTCATTGTTTACACACCATTAAGCCAAACTATTTATTGTGAGTTTAAATAACTTTGCGGGTTGTATTTGAAGTCGAACTATTGACCTTTTGACCATATCTAGATATATGTCAGAAACTAACTAAATTGATATGTTGATATAATGTATCAAATTGTAACCTACTGAGAATTTACAATCGTAACAAATCAGAAGTTTGCATCAGTTGTGTATTTGATGTAAATTGTAATGGACTCAAATGCATTCCAATAAAATATTAGACCTCTAGATCTACTTGTGCTGTTGGGATTGTGAACAGTTGTTATTTTGATTGTCAATGTTGACAGATTAGATAGCGTGAGGTGTAATATTTCAACTGAATTATTACATAAAGGGTGTGTAAATATCAAAGTACAGTTTGATCTGCAATTTTGGTAACAATTAATATTTCTACCAAAATGATATTTACTTTACTGTACCAATTTAATCATGTCATGAAATGAACAAAAACCCAACTAATAATGTCCAGTAAATGTTCAATCTACATGTGATCTTTATATAATTTACAGAAACAGATAACTCTTTAACAGTTTGTATTCAAATATTTCAAATGCATAAAATGATATTGACATTACTAAAAACTTAAAGTATAAAAAGAATTATTTTTAATTCCCATGCGTATTGCAATCATAACTCATTTATTCCCTTGGTTTAATTGTGAAACCCATCTGGTTTTATGTCCACAAACATGTTTTGAAACTTTTAAAACAAAAAGATATTTTTGGGTGCAAGCAATTGCCATGTATTATTGATTGTTAATCATATCAATTTATATATAAGAATATAGTTGTGCTTACTGTGTCATTTTGCAATAATTATATTGTTATGATGTAATATTTTACTATTGTTAACAATCTTTAGAACTTTAGTTTATTTCAATCACGTCAAGTGGTGTGATCATTTTGATATTTTTTTATAATTCAATCAAAACGAGAAAAATAAAAAAATATAAATACATAGAAGAAATTTGTTTTCCTTGTCAAATTACGATGATAGCATGAATTTATCTCATGCTCCTTGTATAGCATGCTCCTTGTGAAAATTCATTCCATTTCTTCTTCGAATGTACCTTATATGATGATTTTAGGGAGACATTACTGACAGCTATCGATAATCTTGGAGGACAAAATACTCTACATAGTATTCTTTTTGGTGATTCAAACTTAGATGTTTTCCTGAATACAAAAATATTCTTGTCTGTACACAAATTTATAGAAACGACTAACAGATTCAGTAGCTAGCATATTATTGTTTCCAAACTGTTAATAATTAATATTATTAAATCTATATTCAACACTAAAATGTATAATATTAGGATATGTATGAGATGCACACTGTCTTCACTTTCCAGCACATTGTACATATCCTTCATATGAGCACTGTATATATATTGCGCACTATGTTTCCACAATGTGAAGCTTCACCTGTAAATTGTTCATTTTCATTATGCAATATTATGTATAACTGTATATAGGGAGAAGGCGGTAATAAGTGCTGCCCTTTGTCTTTTTGGACAATAAAATATGTTTAATAATATTTCATCTTGTGATCTGACAAAGTTAATATTTTTAAGTCAAAATATCAACTTTAGTAAACCACATGAAGAGATAAATATTGCATTTGACAAAATAAATTCAAGTCTTATATTTTCTTTGTGATCTTCATGACCTTACTCAGAAAACCATAGTGTCAATGAGGCAGACTGACTGTAGGTGTGACAAAACGTGATATTTCACCTGATTTTAATAAAAATCTTATTTTTTTCACTCTAGCGAAAGTATGTTTTCAGCATGGTCATGATTAAATACATATCGGTAATACAAATATCAAAACGTGTTTCATTAAAACAAGAGTGAATTTCTGTGTGACATTGATATAAAGAGCTGTAGTACACTGTCATTAAATTGATGCATCTGTTGAGTTTACCCTTTACTCTGAATATACTGTTTGAGTTTTCGACATATCAGATGAATTGATGCCTTCAAGATTGTTCTATAGTACATGTAGCATGTAATGTTACACACTGTGATTAATTTTCCTTAAACTTCTCTATTTCAGAAGAATGTTGTTTTCTAAATAAGCAATATTTTGAGAGAAGGTGAATATGCATTGTTTATAAAAAATGTCATTGAAGTAGGAATATTATTACAATATAATAGAATTATTCATTTCAGGCCAGCGAGTCAACACAATGAAGTACTAGTATCCCGTGACGGATGTCTGGAGGAGCTTTCTGCTGACAGTAACACAATGGTTACAATGTGCATCCTGTCAAAGGACGAGGAAGTGAAAAGCCATATTCATTCAATCAACAAATGTGGTTCCTGTCACATTTCTCTTAAATAGGACGAGGAACTGAAAAGCCTTATTCACTCACAAATCAACATGGCCAATATTTATCGGACACTGAAAAAGCACATTGTACCATTTGTTTACAAGCAAGAAAATTATTTTCTCCTGGAATTTAATTAGGTGCTTTTGACTGACAAAGACACCCAGTCCATGTTAAGTTTTGAAAACTTATATTGTGAGAAATAAAGATATGAAAATTTTGGTTTGTTTTTCTTTGTCAAATATGAGAAGTCCAGATTGTTCCATCAACATAATTTGTACCGATACATATATTTTATCTTGGCTTGATTACCAATTGAAGTTGATTCCTTTTTATCTTTTGTTATTTTATCTGTACTCATATCTGATCAAGACATTTTCAAACTATTCAGGATAAATGTATTAGTAGCTTCCTTTTGATATACAATTACCTATCATCATACAGGATTAGGTGAGGGTGTTCAAGAAGTTGGTAGTTGTCTCAATTCTTATATTTCTTCAATTTCATGCATTATTTATATTTATCAATTTTTAGTTTCCTTTTAACTTATTTTAAACAGTTCACACATTATTACTTTTGTAGTGCACGGTGCAATCTCAATCGGCAATAATCAGTTAAGTAAGTGATGTTTGAAGAATAAGTAAAGTATCATCTGTCATTGTACACACTGAATAGGGTTATCGCCCTTCTGAATATTTATTTTGACACACGAATTATTTTCATAATTAACATTGTAATATGTTAAAATGAAAATCATAGCAGAAAAAGTGTCTTTTGTCAACTGGACTCATGGCAAAACGATAGTGCGTTGTGCAGCAAACACCACTATGAAACGTGAAATAAACATGATCTCAATCTTGATCTAGAGTTCGCCAAGCCACGCATTGACTGAGCAATTTTGCAAAAGTACACTGACGTGT